ATAGAGCCTTTACAGCTTTATTCTCATCTACCTCTACCCCATCATGACATGCATTATTTCAGGCAAGAACGGGCACCTGTGTAGAACCACCAACGTTCTGTAAGATAGCTGGATAGCCAAGGAATAAGTCACTGGTTGGATTCGTACCAACATGCAGATCAAAAATAGTGAGATACATTGAACAATAGAGTTTACATATTCCGGAATAACCTTGACTACTTTTAATGTATATGTATTCATATTAAGCTCGTCTGTATAAAAACAATCGCTATTCTTTGAAATTGGTGACATTGCTTTGCAATACCCCGTGCCATTGTCAATGTATGTCATTATCCAACAGTTCCTTAAAGGGACTTCACTGTGTTTCTTTTACATGATAGAACTGGAATTAATTTTTTGAGATTCATATTCCATTTGATGTAGGTCTAAACCAATAACTTGTGTGCAAAATTTCAAACGTGAATCATTTGTTGACATCATGCACGACAATAACATGCTGCTGCAAAATACAACATGTACCGGAAATAAACCTGTAAGTCTGTCCTTGGAGACCCAAAACTCCACCTGAAATTAGAGGATCACCTTAGGTATATACAAACTAATTAAATACTATGACATTGGTCAATTAATGCAGGCTGTATAAACAGAAGTGTTAAAATAGTTTCTTTCTTTTTTCCATCAGTCACCTTGACCTTGAACCCTGTGATCTTAAACTCAACCTAAAGCTAGAGGACCCCCTAAGGTATGCACTATTTAAGTATGAAAGACATATTATGTCATTGAATGCAGTCTGTATGAACAAAAGTGTAAACATCTATTTTTAGCGTAAGTGACCCTGACCTTAGATCTAGTGACCCAAAACCAACCGAAAAGGTAGAGAACGCTTACTAAATATGAAAACAAAATCCATTTGTACCAGTCAATCTCACTATACCAATGCACCGTCATTTGATATATACAACAACAAAATACGAGCAAAAGTTAACATTTCTTTATTTTCTAACATTAAAAGCATACTTTTAAGCGTATAATAAATGCCTAATAAATAAATACACAATAAAACAACATATTTTACTAAGGCAAATCTTAATCTAATTTCTTACGCTGATTATCTCCCTTGAAATAAATACCAGCTAATTGCAGGAACTAAAACTTTACAATCTTTTCTCACCAATAAAGAACCTAACCAGACTATAAATCTTTAAAGTCAGACCAGTCTGTACAGCCATGCAATTTGGTTAAAGGCCCATTAAGCCTCTATTATTTCTCAAAAACATTCAATTTTTGGTCTCCTGTTACATTTTCATTAAAGGTTCTCATTGACTCATTGGCCATAAAGATGAACCATCTTTTGCTTTTTGGCAAATGCCACAGTTAGATTGATTCAGAATTTTGAATGGAAGCCAAAATACTACTTTGCTTACATTTTAAAAACCTTTGCAACACAACGTTTCACGTCCAACACTACTTTCTTCATGTGATAAACATCTAACCTGGGTCTAAGGTTATATAGAAACTCTCTAAGCGCAAACTCAGATCTCAGGTATTTGATTGGTCAGAAACTGTCGCAAGATCTACACTGACCAATGAAAATCCTGATATTTTAGAAAGTACTCCAGAGAATGGTTTTGTGACCTAAGGCCAATTCTTAATCCAGTATTTAAACATTATCAAACATATACTTTGCTCTTTTTTTTTAAGAAATAAAAATTATTTATTTCTGAGTCTTAATGTGCCTTTAAGTTTTGTTGTGTTGTCTGATACAACTACAAAATTTGAATTTTAATTGTCCAAAATTGATAAACATAAATATCACATGTCTCTTTTGAAATACTGATGAAAATCATTTTTATAAACAAAGACAAAAAAATACAACATAAATTATAAAAAAATAAAAGAAACATAATGAAAAATCATAACAAACAAAAACAACAAATATCTATATAATATCAAACAAAATTGTTAAATAAAGAAAATTTTGATTAATAAATCTTAGTCCCTCTTAAGATGAGAATGCATATGAGCCGCGTCATGACAAAACCAACATAGTGCGACCAGCATGGATCCAGACCAGCCTGCACATCCGCGAACAGCATGGATCCGGATCAGGGATCAGACTGCGCAGATGCGCAGGCTGGTCTGGATCCGTGCTGGTCGCAAACCCATTATGTTGGTTTTGTCATGATGAGAATGCATATGATAACAAAAGATAAATGTTAATGGCAAAGAAAACAGCACTTAGAAAATTATGTGTGTATTTGGTTTATACAGAATTTATTTTAGTTTGTTTGTGTAGACCTTATAAAAAATATTTAAAGCACTTGCAGTATCTACTTAAAAAAATCAATACAATAGAAAATGTGACAATAGATATATGAATTGTAATTTTATCACAAAAATATTAGCTTTTTATCAATATTTATTCACAGTGTAACTACCTTTAAAACAATCGTATTTTGTCTCATTTTAGTAATTATCAATATACATATTACAAATTATAATAACAAAATACAATAATCCCTAGCTCTTTAATTTCCCTAAAGCTAAAATAACATATTGCATGAAAAAAAAAAGAAAAAAAAAGAAGCTCTAATCATATCTCAGGTTATAGAACACATGTATTTTACAAGGAGTAAAGGGATAAATCAACAAGATTAAACAAAGTTTTGTATTCTCTCTAACAGCAGATTCACAATAGACATACTCCAGTATTAAAGAATATTTTGGGTTTTTCCCCAGCTAATCCACCGGTACAAACTTTGACAGTTACATCTTCAAACAAGAACGTGTTTGTTAAACACAAATGCCCGTGGCTCAGATTCTTGTCAGTAGCAATATTTCAAAAAATGTTTACCCATTCACTCAGTTATGGACAGAAAAATTGCCAAAAAATTGTAAACACAAGTTATATAGCTTGACAAAGTCATGGAATTTTGTAATTGTGAAAAATATAAGTTGCCAAGTCATTGCTATGACTTGTGAAGTGATAAATATTCAACTTTATCAAATATATATAAATGTAAGAAATCTATACTTGGCACCCTTGACCTTGACCCACTGACACCAATAGACTATCATGCAAGTTATCTTCCTACCAAATATGAAATACATCTGTCAATAAATAAAGGCTGTATGGGCAAAGTGTAAAAATCTATTTTTAGCACTGGTGACCTTAATTAAACTGACCCCTAACTCTATCCAAAGAAGAATACCATGTAAGTTATCTTCCTAGCAAATATGAAATACATGTCAATAAATAAAGGCTGTATTGGCAAAAGTGTAAAAATCTATTTTTAGCACTGGTGACCTTGACCCAACCGACCCCTTACTCAATCCAAAGGAAGAATACCATGCAAGTTATCTTCCTACCAAATATGAAATACATCTGTCAATAAATAAAAGCTGTATGGGCAAAAGTGTAAAAATCTATTTTTAGCACAAGTGACCTTGACCCACTGATCCCTACCCCAATCAAAAGGATGAATACCATGCAAGTTATCTTCCTACCAAATATAAAATATATCTGCCACCTAATAAAGGCTGTATGAGCAAATGTGTAAAAATCTATTTTTAGCACTGGTGACCTTGACCCAACTGACCACTAACTCCATCAAGGTTTATGTTTCTATCAATTATAAATAACATCTGTCTACAGAATAAGGTCAATACACCTGTAAAAATGTAAAAATCTACATTTGTATTCTTAACATTGGTGACCTTGATATTGGTAACATTGACCTTGACCCAAATGACCCCTTACTACACCCAAAGAAGGAGGACCTTCCTTGGCATGTTTGTATTAAACTTAGACATCACATAAAATATAAAGGCTGTATGAGCAAAAATGTTTATATTTATTTTTTAAACCAGTGACCTTGACCTTGACCCTAGAGACCGCTTACTCCACAAAAAATTAGAGGACCATCAAAGGTATCCACCTACTAAATATGAAAGATATCATTAAAGAAATTAAGCAATTAGAAGAAATTTAAGATAAATCCAACTTGCCGAAATAGGTTAACCAGACAAGGCCCTATTTTCAAAGTGAAAAAAGGGAAATAACTGGGAAATATGGTTGACACAGTTATATAACTTGGCAATATCATGTACTTTGTATTGATAAGTAAGTGTGGAATTATAAAGCCATTAGTATAGATAGAACTTAAGATATTTCCAACTTGCCGTTTTAGGTTAACCATTATTCATTTTCTAAGTGCTGAAAAGGGCAATAACTTGGCAAATATGAAAGCCAGAGTTATGTAACTTGCCCAGATCATGTACTTTGTATTGATTAGTAAGTGTGTAAACTTAGAAGCCATTGGTACAGGTAGAACATAAGAAAAATCCAACTTGCCGTTCTAGGTTAACCTCGTACGGACAGACGGACGGTTCAATCACTATATGCCTGGGGGCATAAAAAACAAGCGCAACAGGTTGACTAGTCTCTATTGTGACTGATAGAGCACCCTGAAGCTATAACAGTAAAAGTTTGTTTGTACCAGGGGATTAGCTTGGGAAAACCCACATTGTCAATTAAGGACTGTGTCTCAAAGAGGAACCAATTCATGCCAGTACAAGTATCTATCTCTGTGTAATAAAAATAAAAATAATATACATGTACATTTATCACATGGTCTTCAGTAGACAATGAAATTTTATCTTTATAATTTCACAGTGAAATTATAAAATATTATTTTCACAGTAGCCAGAATATATTCAAATGCAGATGAAAATAACATATCGCAAGTAAGAGGAAATATCATTAAATATACACTGTGTCAGGAGTAAAAAGTGCTTAATTGTAAGCTCAAGAAAATTTGCCACACATGAAAATACTCAGTAAAATCACAGGAGCTTGAAATTCTATCAATAATTGCTCAAAAGTCTGATTTAAAAAAAAAATCCATACCTATATATTTTTTTATATATAGGTATGGATTTTTTTTTTAAATCAGACTTTTGAGCAATTATTGATAGAATTTCAAGCATCTGTGGTGAAATATATTCGATCTTTAATGCAAAACAAACAGATATCCTCTATTTAATGTACATTGTACACAGTGAATGATTTCTCTAATATTCTTTTAATTGTAATTTTTTGCTAGTTTTAGTTTTAAATGTACACTTCTGAGGTTTTTTATATGACGGAACTGTAAATAATTTTTGAGATTTATGCTCCATTTCATTTTGATGTAGGTCTAGATCAATACCTTGTGTGCCAAATTTCAGATCATTTGCTCACTCAGTTTTTCCAGCATAATAATTCTAATTGTGAAAAATGACATAAAACTGAAAAGCATTGCAATGCTTTTCATTCAGACTACATGTAAGTATAACTCAAAATTAAGATACACAATATATTTATGGGTTTATTTCTTAATAATCTTTTGCCAATTGTTATGTTTTAAGTTCCCCAGCCGGGTGATTTAAGAAATTCAAATTTGATGTTTCTAGACTTTCGGGCCTCAGAGGAGTTCCTTTAAGTCTCACACTAACACTGTTAATATGGTATGGGTAGACCTCATTTGCCCATTCATGCTTTCATTTTGGCTGAGCAAAACCACCAACTCTACAAAAAGCTGACTGCATAAGTTCCTTAAATAAAAGAATTTTACAGCTACTGTGGGATTTGAACCCAAACCAGTTAGCTGCAAGAGACAAAGGGACAGCAAACTGCACTTACCTATTGTAAAAGTCCAAAAATAAAATCTGTTGTCAATTCTGTATGTTACGGTTATATTTTTTGTTTTCAAAACTATTTATTTAAAAAAACAAAGGGGATACTGGCACATTAAAATTTGTCTTTAAGTTAATAAAATAGAAATGAAAAAAAATACTGAAAAAAAACCCCATGAATATTAACAAAGTTTGACTGATGAAACAGAAATAAAATAATGAAATACAAAACAAAAATATTAAGAAAAACAAAAAATGTGAATGATTGAAAAAAAAAATATAAAACTACATATATATATATATAGACATGTAAAAATTAACTAAGAGAGATTCTGATCCACTATTAATCACAAGTTTTGTAAATAACAAAAAATCATGAAAGTAAATACACAAAATGAACAGGTTTGTTCTGAATTAGATCACAGAGTAAAATATGTACTATTTAAACAAGGTCATAAAATATCCTACGCAAAAGTGTGTTTTTTTTAATAGATGTGTTATTTAATTCAAACTAAAACAAAACTGAATTGTTAGTATAATTCTTTACAAAAGAGGTCCCAAAATGTTTCAATAATGCCCACCAAGTTGTCAGATAATCAATTTTTTTTATAGAGTGAAGAAAGCTTGATGTGTAGAATTTTAGTCACATAATTATCACATATTTTACAACATTATATAAGTGTCTAGCTGTCCTGATTTGCTAACTTCCAAAAGCTTCACCTCCAAGTTTAATTTCAGGCATAGAGTGGGCACAGGGGCAGGCAGAACTTTATTAACTTCTAGATCTTAATTTTAACCTACAGTTATGAAGAACATGTAAACCAAAAGTCATTGACCTTCACTTTGCCTGACCTCATTCAGTGACCTTCACTTTAATTGACCTCATTCAGTGACCTTCACTTTAACTGACCTCATTCATTGACCTTCACTTTACCTGACCTCATTCAGTGACCTTCACCTTATTTGACCTCATTCTCATTTTTCTTTCAACAGAAATTGAAAAAAACCTTCATTTTGTGATAAAAACTAAACACAATAAATATAAATAAAACACAAAGACACAATCTCTAACATCTGTCACAACAAGTACACTAACAAATCACTCATTTTGACTAACAATGATCAAAATAAAGGTCAACAAAAACAGTAAACTATAAATAAACTTCTCCATTTAATATTTGTATGTTATTCATCTCCCTAAAATATTTAAAAACGACATACAAACTGTGTCTCACAAATTTTATCCTCCCTGTCTCAAAGAAATGTAATATTAATAATCTGTGAGAATTTTATTTCAACTCTTTTTACATGTTCATGTATTAAGGGGATATGATATACTGACATATACGTCAAATAAAATCTCTGTATTTTCTGTTCCCATCTCTTAGCCTTATTATTATATGCTGGCAACTGGTTCTACCCATGTGACCAGTGCAGACCAAAGTCATCTGGCACACCTTCGACATCTGTATGGTCTGCACTGTTTGTTAGGATATTCAATGCAACAATAATATTGCTGTCCAAAGTTTGATGTCATTAAATGATATCAATTTGACATCTATTGATATAGTTCTGACAAATAATATAGTTTCCTGAGACCTACTTAAATCTTTCTGTGAATTTTCCAAAAATGCCAAAAAGAATTTAAGCCTGTCATGTGATTATTACCAAACTGAAGCTAAAAATAGAAATTCAAATAGGAACTTCCCTTTCAGAGAGACAAAAAAAAGAGGTAAAAATAGGGTTATCCTAATACTGACACAATACTTCTGCATGGCTAAAAATAGACAGAAAATCAGCATGGCTAAAAATAGACAGAAAATCAGCATGGCAAAAAGAGACAGAAAATCAGCATGGCTAAAAATAGACAGAAAATCCGCTTTATTCTGGTTTCTTTTTAGGAGAGCTTGGATATTGTTGAGAGAGGGGAACCAGACTGAGAAGCATCAGATGACGCTGATACTGTTTACTGTTCCTGAACTGTATATCCGTGCCATGAAGACGGTCCAATACTCCTAGCACACCATAATTCTGATTGAACCTGTTAAGATAAAGCTGCTATATTACAAATGACTGATGAATACATTATACCATACATATATAAGACTCTGTAGAATTCCTCATTATCTCTCCCCCATATATTGGTAAAGCCCAAATAGTTGTTAACTTATCATTTAACATGATGTAAGATGGCCTAACATCTGCTAACACACACTTTGTGTGAATCCACACAGAGCAATATATGTATTAATGGCACCTTTTACAAGAAACCAATTTAAATTTCAAAGAATTAATGCAGCAAATTAATTTATTTTTGGACTTATCAATTTGCAAATTACTTACTTTCCAGACAATCTTTAGTTTATGGTTATTTTGCAAAGACGCAAATGGTGCTTTATAAAAAAAGGGGAGGTAACTCTTACTTGAGATGATGATAATCATGTGCCTCTGGAGATGGGAACAAGGGGAGATGATAGCCGCAGTGAGAGATTGTTGTAGACAGCAGGGCAATACTGAACCATAGTAAGGCAGTTGCTGAAAATAACACCACAGCAAAGTTAATACTAGAACTCCGCGAGTCGGATGTGTCGCCTTGTGAACAATATAGTTTAAGAGAAAAATGGCAAAGACAAAAATGAAATTTGAAAATCAACAAAGGGCAATAACTCAAAAAATAAGAAATGCAGATCAGCAGTTTCTGTGCACTGCACTTCTTATCAATAAAATCTATCATCCTATTAAGTTTAAAGTCTAAAGCTTTTATAATTTATGAGAAATGGCAAAAATAAAGTATGAAAATTAACAAAGGGCAATAACTCAAAAAATAAGAAATGCAGAGTACCAGTTTTTGGGCACTGCACTTTTTCATAATGATATCTATCATCCTATGAAGTTTCATGTCCATAGCTTTTATACTTTAGGAGAAATGGCCTAGACAAAAATGAAGTATGAAAATTAACAAAGGGCAATAACTCAAAAAATAAGAAATGCAGAGTACCAGTTCTTGCGCACTGCACTTCTTCTTAATGAGATCTATCATCCTATGAAGTTTCATGTCCATAGCTTTTATACTTTAAGAGAAATGGCCTGGACAAAAATAAAGTATGAAAATTAACAAAAGGCAATAACTCAAAAAATAAGAAATGCAGAGTACCAGTTCTTGTACACTGCACTTCTTCTTAATGAGATGTATCATCCTATGAAGTTTCAAGTCCATAAATTTTATCTTAAGGAGAAATGGCCCGGACACAAATAAAGTATGAAAATAAACAAAGGGCAATAACTCAAAAAATAAGGAGTACAGAGTACTTGTTCTTGTGCACTGCACTTCGGGTCATTATGAGAAGCATGCATACCAAGTTTGAAGTCAATCTGACTTATAATGACTGACTTATGCTCCGGACAAGCTTTAGGGGACGCCGACGACGACACCGACAACGACGCCGACACCGACGACGACACCGACAACGACGCCGACGACGACGCCGCCGACAAAAGTAACCCCTATATGTCGCCTTTTTCAAGGCGACACAATAACAGTAGGTTTTAAGAAACAATGCATTATATTACATTTTTTCTTAGAAAGTACATCACTTGAAATGTGTGTATCTGAAATACAACATAGAAATTTTTAAGGTAAATTGTTTAATGGTTAAATTAACCCAAATTGGAATTCCAGCAATGCTTAGATACTTTTAGATAAATCAACAGATCACAACACATGTTAGGTATATACAAACCCTTAATTGACGAGTGATTTTTAAAAGAGGCAGTGACTGATTAATCATTGTAGCAGAATTTAATTTGATTGCATAACCTTATATAGCTAGCTAATCTGAAAGCTTTAAAATGGAGCAAAACACTTTAAATGGTCTTTATTTTGGGTATGTGATAAATAGAATATTAAATTCGTGTAAGTTCATTACTGAATTGATTGCAATCGTTGAATAAAATAATATTATGCTCGCCAGAGGCTCGCATAATATATTTTTATTCAACTCGTGCAATAAATTCAGTATTGAACTTACACTCATTCAATATCTCCTATATTTAGTATGACATATAGTATACAATTTACTATAATAATATCATACCAAGATGAGATCCCATTAGAAGTGGTCCTAGTGCTGGAGGAAGGATGTTACTGAACAGATGCTCTATAGGGTGAGCGTATATAGCCACAATACCAATAGGAGCCGTCCACTCATGATGTTTCTTATGAATATGTTTATACAGACGTGGATGATGTAGTAATCTGAAAAACAACAATATTATTACAAGAATTTGTAACAGATTTACCAACATCTCCTGCCTTTAAGGGTTTTTGTTTGGCCAGATTTTATTTTTTCTTATTATTTTATATAAAATCTGGAATTAAGAAAAAATTAAGTGTTATGCATAACTTTTACTGTGAATTGTGTGAAATTGGATAGGGTAACAACTTAAAATGATTATAATTTGAAAATGGCATGGTAAACTTTCTTCATATTTTCACTAATGTTTAGATTTGTATGATAATAATAGTCATCATAAAATAATATTTTGATGCCCCTATTTTATATGACAAAATCGAACAGGTTTTCTTACCCCACCCTCTTCTTTTTTTGATGTAAAATAACAAGTACCTATCTTAATAATCAAAATAATCTTTTCAAAGACATTTGCCATTAGTTTTATTAATAGTTATTATAAAAATATTGTTCTTAATTAGTACTTTTCAACTAAGAAAAATATGAAACTAGCTAGACTTTTCTTCATATAAAAAAACATATTCTTTGTTGTTGTATAAAACTGGTACACTAATAAAGACATCTAATACCTTAAGATATAAAGCAACTGTAACAAGAGCACAACAAAGGCGGGGCAATATATGGCCGAATGTAAATTTGTTTGAGAATTTCAACTGAGACCCAATGATCAAGAAACTTAGCTGAAAAATATTTTATCTTAATTATCTTTATGACACTATATGACCTCCAAGGTTGAGGCATTTTTTACCCAAAGTGCATAAATTAATAAAATAAATAAAATAAATTCATAACAACTTTAAGAGAGGTCTACTTAAAACAATGCTATATGCTTACAGACAGAAGGATGGATGAACAGGTGCATAACTTAATATGCTAGAAGTTTTTCGAGCATATAAAATGATAATATATGTATGAAAGTAGCAGGTTTCATACTGACAATTGTACAACATATTTAACAGACATTTTCAACTTTGTGTATAAAAAGACATCTTCTAAATCACTGACTCATACCTGTGTGTATAGTAGAAGAAAAATTCTTCTACAAGTGAAAAGACAAGAATTTCAAACAAGACCCAATGAAAGGAAGGTAGTTCGCCACCGATTGAGTTCCCCCGCTTTATGAATGACCATGTCACACCATAACAAAACACAAGCCCTATAACCACCTGGTTGAATAAAACCAACTTGATGGTCTTCTTGAACTGTTGCATGTCCATCTGAAAATATATATTAAACAAGAGCTGTCAGTAGGACAGCACGCTCGACTATTCTAAGTGCTTGATAGTAAAAGAGCCTTGATAATGTTAAATTTTTTAAGTTCACAAAAGGGCTAATTTTTTTTTATAAATTCATGTTATAGGCCTAAGAGAGAGTCTAATTATACAGTAATGTCACAAGGGTGTTTTATTGAGTATAATAATACTAATTACTAATGAATAAATAAATTTGACAGAAAAGGTACAAAGGCTTGTTATTAAGATGTTTTATCAAGTAAATCACTGCTTTATTATTATGAATGCATAAAATTGTCCCAAAAAAGGCACAAACCCTTCAGTAGTTATTGAGATAACAGCTTACAAGCAAAACTTTACCATGAATTTCTAAGTTGAAAAAGGGGAGAAAAATCAGCCTAAATGCAAGATAGAATTATGGATCTTTGTCAGTGACCTACAATTATGACCCTAAATGCATATGTGAAGTTTTAAATAAATATCTTTAATAGTTATTGAGATATGTAAAACTTGCATGTAAACATTAACCAAAAGACTAAGTAGAAAAGGGGATATGAATCAGCCTTAATGCAAGATAGAGTTATGGAACTTGGTCAGTGACATACAATCATGACCCTCCAATTATGACCCTAAGTGCATGTGTAAAGTTTCAAGTAAATATCTTTGAAGACCTTTAATCTTTAACCAAAATTTGTAAGTTTCAAAGGGGCAAATAATTCTGCAAATATTTTAGGCAGAGTCATGCAATTTTGCAAACAGATATACATTGTTACTATAAAAAAGTATTTTAAATTTCAAGCAATCATTGAGATATTTGACTTTACAAAAAAACTTTAACCAAAATTTCTAAGTTCCAAAGGGGCATAATTCTGTCAATATTGTAGGCAGAGTTATCCAACTTGTCAATCTGATGAACCTTGTCACTGTAAATAAGTATTGTAAGTTTCAATTGAATATCTCAAGCAATAATTGAGATATTTGACTTTACAAAAAACTTTAACCAAAATTTCTAAGTTAAAAAGGGGCGTAATTCTGTCAATATTGTAGGCAGAGTTATCCAACTTGTCAATCTGATGTACCTTGTTACTATAAATAAGTATTGTAAGTTTCAATTGAATATCTCAAGCAATCATTGAGATATTTGACTTTATAAAAAACTTTAACCAAAACTTTAACCAAAATTTCTAAGTTAAAAAGGGGCAAATAATTCTGTCAATATTGTAGGCAGAGTTATCCAACTTGTCAATCTGATGTACCTTGTTACTATAAATAAGTATTGTAAGTTTCAATTGAATATCTTAAGCAATCATTGAGATATTTGACTTTACAAAAAACTTTAACCAAAATTTCTAAGTTAAAAAGGGGCATAATTCTGTCAATATTGTAGGCAGAGTTATCCAACTTGTCAATCTGATGTACCTTGTTACTATAAATAAGTATTGTAAGTTTCAATTGAATATCTCAAGTAATAATTGAGATATTTGACTTTACAAAAAACTTTAACCAACGCAGACGCCGACGCGGACGCTGACGCCGACGCCAGGGCGACTACAATAGCTCTCATATTCTTCGAATAGTCGAGCTAAAAATAAGTAAGGAAAGTATTTACATGATAAATATCATGGAAACTGAGGTAAAGTAAAAATAAATCCTTAAATGAAATGAACTCTTATTTGTTAAAGGGACTATAAAGCTACATGTACATCATATGAAACATTTTTCTAGGATTAATCAATAGTAAAATTGCATTGTTTCCAAAATATTAGGGTCTATTTTTGCAAAAGAATGTCTCTGTTAATTAACACACATGTTTATTGTACATAAACAGAATAAAAATGTTCCAGACCAAAATATTATACTTCTATTTTAAGTACAGTTTTAACATGATTTAGCAATGATTTCATGCATGTGCCATTGGGGTTTAAGACAATTTCTCATTCATACAAACATTTTGGAACCATTCATTTTTAAAATGTAAACAATAATTTTTGCAGCAGGTATAAAGCTGATTCAACCTGATAATTTAGTTATATTTAAATCAAAATAAACAACATTTTTGAGTATAATACTAATAATACTCTATCTATGATTGCACAGCTATAAAAACTATGCATCAAAAGGGTTTAACATAGGTCACACGACTAACGGAAATACCAAAACACTACCGAATACCGGAAAAGCCCCCGAATACTCGATAACAGATATAAGAAAACCGAAATACCCGATAGTAATGAAGTTTAATATATCAATAAGCACTCAATTAAATACATTGTATCATAATTCTCGTATTAGTCTCATTGTCAGTGACTGTACTGTACAGTCCAAACAATTTGCCGTTTTTTTGTGGCTTACTTTGAGTTATTAACAAAGACAAATAACTTGCAGATTGTCATGTGTATCTGCTATAGTTTTCGTCTTTTCAAATAAAGCACTTCTCAGTGTTTTGAACATAACTTTTTCTAGGACATGTACAAGGCATACAAGGTCTTGGAGTGATTGTGTTTTCCACTCAACAGCCTGTTTTAAAACACGATTTCAAAGCAATAATTAGATGTTATTCTGATTAAAACCTGCGGTATTCCGGCTCAATAGAAATATCGGAGTATTACAGCTCCCTTAATCTATCATTAATGGGTATTTCGGTTTTCTGATATTTATTATTGGGTATTCTGGTATTTCTGTAGTATTTCAATATTTCGGTTAGTTGTATGACCGGTTTAATGTTAATATACTGACCTGGACATCTTCCTGTATTTTATATTTCTTTATACACTGTGGTATGCCAGTTATATCCAGCATCATAAAGAATGCATTAGCCAACCAAAACACACATCCAGATACAACCCACATTGCTGCAATAGTTAGTTAATAAATTTATTCTTTATCTCAAAGTACACAAGTGTTAAAACCAATAATGTGCAAAAAGCAGTAAACTGAAAATAATGCCTTGAAAAAACAATGAAAAAAATAAAATATTCTAGAATTTTTAAAATCTAGATTATTCACATAAGTTCACCAAGGGGATTATTCTTTATATACTTTTTACCCCATATTATTATAATAGTTAGGTTTGACTGAGTTAGTTTATATATAAATACATTTACAAACAATGATCTGGTAAATACTTTATTACCAGGAAATGATGTTGTATGGCTTCTTTTTTTAAAGATGTAAATCCCCCCCCCCACCTCCAAAAAAAAAAGAAATCACACTTCCTTAGGCTTCTATAAGATTGAGTTGTTGTGTCTAAATTGATAGTTTTCTACACTGGTTTTTTTAGTGTGTCTATTTTTAAAGCATGAATATCTATAAAATATGACCCTATTAAACTTATGACACAAATTCCAGACAGGAGCATTAAGTATGGACTCGCATCAGCATTAAATTCAGGAGTGAGCTTAAATAACAGACTACGACAGTACAGCTTTAAATTCAAAACTGAGCATTAAGTAACAGACTTGTGACTGCTTAAAATTCAATTACTTGTATGTACCCGCAACTAGCAACACACTGTGCTGTTGGAACAGGAGTGCAACTTTTCCTTCAGCTTCTTAATTAGTATTTACACCTAATCATTCAACATAGATCTTACCTGCAAAACAAAACATGAAGTCATTGTCACGGCCTAGCTTGTCATAGATAAAGTCCCAATAACTCTGCCACAAACTTCCAGTTGCTCCCCATATTCTGTGGACCTGCCTACAGAATAATTGAAACAGGAGGTCAATCATGCGAATATAATTTCCATATCAGAACCTTTATCTTTATTTTTGTATATGACAGGTTATTTTACACTTGCTCCCTTATGATATTCTGTGGACCTGCCAACAGAATAATTGAAACAAGGTCCATTATGCGAATATAATTTCCATATCAGAACCTTTATTTTTGTAAATGATAGGTAACTTTACACCGACATGTTCTATGTATCTTCCTTTAAATCTTTTGGTCACAGTTGAAGATCTTGAAAATATTTTAAAACAAATTTAATGCCTGTTCTTTTGTTGTGCAACTTTAATTCCAATAACCTTGAATATGATATGTTTTATATAATTTAGCAAAGAAAATCAATATTCTTATTTACTTTTATATACTGCAAAATCATTATTATTCGTTGAGCACACATTTTTGTGGTTTTCTAGTATATATTTCTGGAATATTACATAACCTACATTATCTCAGTCAATGAAATTTCTTGGTGGTTGTTAAAAGTGATTTATCATAATTAAGAAGAATTTTTTTCAAGGAGATGAGTCCTAATGGTTAAGGTGTCTACCTCTCAACCCAGGTATCATGGAGTTCAAGCCCTAAATTGTTCACACTCATCTTTCTTCATATGACAGTAGTACTGGTTAGTTCCAGGAAGTGGACTCGAAAGTGATTAATATAAGTTGCAAGAACTTGTTTCGTGATCAAGCTTAAATAAATATGTTTAAATGAGGAAGAATTTTTTACTTTATATTTTAATACATGTACACTGAAAGTTACTATTGTTACAATATTTGTCATCATGCACATTATACTTCAATCTTACAAATGCCACAACTTACATGTACTTACACTTTCAAATTTTACTTGTTAAACATGATAGGTGAAATACATGTACATTTTTGAAAATATTTCAACCAAGTTTACACCTTACCAATGAAATGAATTCCTAGCAGCTGCAAACAGTAGAAGACATGAGCCCATCACAAATAGATACTTCTTTACAGAGTCCAACAACCTTACAGACTTTGGGCCTTTAGTTTCCTTGGCCCCACTTGGTTCTGTAATACATTCTGTTCCCATTTTCACTGAAAGATAAACAACAACAAACTGATTTAAAATGGGAGTTGTCACTCCAAGTTTATACATACATATAAACTTAGTATCCTACAAATGTTTGAAACCTAGCTGTGCCTACATTGACCAAGAGTGATTTCCGTAAGTTATAAAAAGTGTGTTTTAATATTATAAAAAAGCAAAACAATAAACATGTATTGAAAAACTGTCCTGGTTTGTTGCCTTTTTATCATTAATGTTATTATGGAATATATAATAATGTATATTCAAAATACAGAAAATTGCCCTAAGGCAAACACTGTTTGTGGCTGATAATGATTTTTTTTATAAGAAGCCAAGCAGGGAAATATCGCTCCTTGCAAAAACAAAAAATGTTTGTTGGGCTCGACTATTCTCAGTGCTTGAGAGTATGAAAAGGAGCATAACTCTGTAACTCAGAGTTATGAGCCCTGTGCCCATCAAGTAAGTTAATCACATAGAACAAGTGTGTGAAGTTTCAACCCATTCCCTTCATTTATTTGGGAATTACCATCTTGCACACAAAAACTTAAACAAAGTGTGACAGCGACACTGACAACGACACCAGGGTGAGAACAATATATCTTCCTATTCTCAAAATGGTCAAGCTGATAACACAAAACAACCTATACAGTGACAAGAGCTGTTGGTAGTACAGCATATCATGCTTGACTATTCTAAGTACAAGAGTCTGGATTAAATAAAGAATTTTGTAAGCTGAAAAAAAATGCCCTAATTCTGTCAAAATCCATGTTAAAGTTATAGGCCTTGGAATTGGATAGGGACTATCTATCTATCTTCCATTAATGTCAAGACCCTCATAGGGACCTAGACATGTCTGCTTGTAAGAGTAAAAGAGTTGTTTAAAAACACGAATCAAAATGTTAAGAAAACTATATAGGGTGAGATATGTTCAATGCAAGCCATTGTTGCACTGAACTGCTCTTGAGTAGGGTAACTGCAGGGGGTAGGTGGTTCCAGTGGTATACAGTCCTAGGAAAGAAGGAGAAATCATAATAGTCTGAAATTGCTGTGAATAACCTATAACACAGGGGATTGCCATGGCGTGATGTTCGGGAAATGGGTGCCACATCTTCTGCTATGGGGATATCAATTAGATCATGATGAATCTTATAGAAAAGGGATAACCAAGCATTTGTACATCTGTCTGTCTGTCTGAGTTCCAGTTTTGGTAGCTTAAAGGAGCGAAGCATGTCTGTGATGCTAGATGTCTGACCTTGTATTATGTTCTCAAATAAGTGTGAGAAGTTTCATTGTTCCCCTTTTAGATTTGGAAATACATGTACCAACTTCAAATAATGCACATTAAAACTGAACCAAAGTGTGATGCTAATGCCCACACTAACACCTGGGTGAGCACATTGACAGCTTTCCCTATTCTTTGAATTATCGAGCTAATAAAATGATGAAAAGGTATTGACAATTTCTTTTATAATAATCATTAAAAAAAATAAAACTATATACAATTTATATGTAATTAATATAAATGTTCATAATTTATTGGGAGCTTTGTCATCAGAATACACTCATTGATGCACAAATGAAATTGACTGTGTGCAGGATGGTATCTCAAACTCTACTGAAGGGAATGGGCCGAATTTTTAACCTTCATTTATGTGAAACACAAAACAAAAAAAATGGGTGAGGTGAACATGGTGAAGTGTCTCAATCAGATTTCGTAAAAGAGGGGTGAAGTGTCTGCAAAAAATGGCTTTGGGTGCAGTGTCCTGAGGGAAGTTTTTTTTTCAAATTTAGAGAGGTGAAGCGTCCGAGGGCTGAGGTGTCTTTGTTTCCAGGCTGAACAGTCATGACATTTGACACTTTATTTCTTACTCAAGTTACTGTTTAAAAACTAAAAGCTAAAATCAATCATCACAATCATCACATAAAGCAATAAACGAACTTTTCAAATTGGCAACTCAATGGTTATTAATAAAATAATAAATTAAATCCTTCATTCTCTTAATTCTACAATAATCTCACAATCAAATTGTCAAGAAAAAAATATGCGCAACAAGATATTCAATCGTTACACATTTTGACCTTGCCTACCAACCGCGATAACCTAGAGTTTACGTTTTAAATGTGACTTAAATTCACAAAACTTCGTGTAATTGTTAAAGATTTTAAAAAAAATGTTTAAATATCATGCATTCAGTAGACAAAAAACATAAAATTACCCCTTCTAACGTTTTTTCTTTTGTTTCTAATGTCAAACTGTCAAAGATGGTTATTCCTGTTCTTTGACGTACCGTACCGAGTAAATCAGCTAACTGCTGTCACACGGTAACAATATACCGGTACTGGTACGGTCAGATGACATTAATTGTCGGGGTTGACCTAACACTGATCATACAGTCGCTGTCATTCAATGCCCAGGAAATCGAAAGATAATCGTGCTGAATAATTCGAAGCAGACAGCAAGCGGCTACAAAAAGAGATGAATTTTGAAGCATGAGTGCAACATAGATCAAAGACATTATCACAGAAGGCAAATCATAGAAAATGTGTTCTTTCATCAACTGCATGTAAACAATACGGCAGCAGTGGTGTCCTCATACTAAAGACAACTGGTATAATAAGTCACCATCCTGAACAAAGAAATTTAGTAGCGCGTTCCATAAGAGGAAAAGTCACATATGCCACCACTAAATACATCTCCTGCTAGACATACATCACTTCATTGACAATTTCGGTGAAGTGAAACTCGTGAAATGTCTAAACCCCCACAAAGCACATAGTCCTGGCAACAAACCAATCTCACTTATATATCATACATAGTCAGGTCATGAAACATCTTGATCAACGCCATCTTCTATCAAATTTACAACATATGGCTTTTATAAACGGCGTTCTACTGAGGTATTTCAAGTGTTCGTAGCATTGCTTCCGGATGTTAGTTGGACAGCTGGTAAGATACGGGCTGTTGCTTGCATTTTTGGCTGTAGAATCAGCATGTGGATTCCAGAACAGTTTTATTCTTAGTATTTTCAGTTGGTAACTACATGTTATTGTAGAGTGTGGTCATATGTAAAATAATTATGTAGCATCACAGTGTTTTTAGCGTTTGAACCCTGGGTCTTTCAAATAGAATTTGAAAGACCCTGGAGAACTGCACAACCTCACACTTAGATCGTTTAAACTCAATCTGCCAGCCTTTTTTTCACTTCTCCTTTTTATATGTTGCTCTGTGGCACTACCCTCTTCTGACCGGATTCCCATCTACAGTAATGAGTCTTTAGCAAAGAAGCACGAACTACTTTCATTGATTTACAGGAGAAAGAACAAGGGACTAAGCACACTTCCTTGTGGAACTCCGGGTGTCAGCAGCTTGCTACGTGGTATGACCATCAGGCAGCTGTTGCCAGTCAGCTCAGTACCTGACCATGCATTCTTTGGTGGCGCAATTTGTGTAGTACGTACCATGAGGGACGTTATCGAAAGCTTCGCTGTTCTCAATGTCTAGCAGGATAGCATCAATTTGATCACCTTCTACAGGTGTTGTAGCGATGTCTTGAATGGTTGTGATCACATTGAGAACAGCGATTACGATATTCTTTGTTTATATGCGTGTTCCTGTTAATAGAAGCATGAGGTGTTAAATATGATGTTTTTTATCATGAATTTACTTTAGCTATATATGACTCAGTGTTAACAATTAAATTTCTTTCAAAAATATTTAAACATCTTTCTTTTGTAAAAAAAAAATAATAAAAAGTATTTTTTAAGGAACTATTGCGTTATATTATGTGCCGCGCTGACCTATAATACTTAGTGGAGAAAGTTCAAATTCTTCCAAACACTTAGGGACGGTATATTGTTGAGAAATAAATCTAATGATGTTATAGAAGGGTTGGGGGCACCTCTTGTCAGACGCCGCCTATATAGTTTAGGCCGGGGGTATTTATGCCTAGTGTTAAACCTTTTAAAATGCTTGCTGGCAGACATGTCTACCTCACAACCGGAGTCATAACCACTTTTATCACACACCCGTCCCGATTTCGCGACTCCGTAAATGTGGTATTGCACGGCCGTGCATATATTTTGACGTGACGTCATTAGCGTTATACAAACATGTGTAAAGACATGCTAAATGTTCGCGTTATACTATAGGCGTCAGTGAAAAATGACTCTTTTTTTCAATTTAAACGGTCTTTATTTTGGCTGTGTGATAAAAATGATATTAAATCCCTGTAAATTCATTACTGAATTTATTGAACTCGTTGAAGAAAATAATATTATGCTCGCCAGAGGCTTGCATAAATTAATTTTATTCAACTCGTGCAATAAATTCAGTATTGAACTGACACCCATCAATATCCTCTATTACTTTCATTCATACATTAAGTTATTCGGAACAACCTATAGGAATTGCACGCAACCAATAGCAAATATCAGCAGATTTGTTTTGCATTACATCTGCAGTGTATGCATCAAAACAATCTCTAACACATTACAAACATTGATATAGTTTTCCCACATTTGGCCTCTAAACAAAACTTTATCCTTGATATCATAATCTGTAACAATTTTACAGGTTATGCAAACACAACTTTATAGCGTTATCTCTCCCTCAAATGTCCGGCTTTTCAAATTCCAAAATGGCGGTGAATAATGGAAGACATTTAAGTGGAGTTTTTATGTGTTTTGTTTTCGTTTTCATTCAGCCTATGCTAGGTAGGTGATTATTTTTAACCATAATTTATGACTTGAAATTTCTGATTGTTGTCGTAAAAGCTTTGACTGACTTAAGACACGGAAAAATAATAGTGATCCAGTTACGATACGGATTGCAGCAAATTAACTATTTTACCATTTATTTCCCATAAGTAAATACATTGACGTCTTCTTTGCTTAAAATTGATTGTTGCAGATCTTTTTGTTAAATAATTATATAATTATATGAAAGGTAACTTTGTATACTTATTTACTCGCATTTGTTTTGATATATAAATGACAAAAAATTATATGGCTGTATATTTAACATAGACTTCGGTAAAGGATATCTTTAAATTAAGTCAATGTCAGGGACATATTTGTATATACATGTGATATATCGAGATCTTAACTTAAATTACTATCAAATGAGCAGATTAACCATTTTTTATCAAAATTACAAACTTAAGCAGTATATATCTAAAGAAAAAAGTAATATTATTTTCCCGCGTAAATATGTTCTTTTGAAATAAAGATACACGATTGTTTTCGGTTGTTTTAAGATTAGTGTTCACGTGATCTCAGGCCAGTTAGTCATATGCAAAGTTTATAACTTTAAATATACATGCACATTATTTTGTTTTCGGTCTACTTAATATTTACTGTCTTGTTTTATTTAAAAAAATCATTTATGTATTATGTCAATATGGAAAAAAAAAATGTTTTTTTTTTCTTCTGCGTAAACTATATTGGCGGGTCATTTTGTATTAATTAACAGTGATTTGATATATTCAGAAATATAGTAGACCCACTCTCTGTAGGCAGCAGATAAAACATATCATCTTTTACCTAAAAACTCCAAAACTTGAACAGTGACTTCTTGCGCCATTTCTGATCTACTTTTTTTGGTATCTTATTAGATTTGTATCTATTCTTATCAAACGTTTGTACAAATTTTGTGCTACCTTTTACATGACTTAAAAGCTCACACAGCTTAAAGTGCCATGTTATATTGTGGTACTTAAGTAATATATAAAAAAGTAAAAAATATGTTCGTTGCATACTCTTAAAACGATGTAGCACGGGCATGCACAAATTATAATCATTTTGACGTGACACCACAATTCATTATGTAAACATACACTTAATGTTTATAAAGAAAACAAAAACATATGAGCCGCGTCACGACAAAACCAACATATTGGGTTTGCGACCAGCATGGATCCAGACCAGCCTGCGCAGTCTGATCAGGATCCATGCTGTTCGCTTTCAGTTTCTCTACCTGTAATAGGGTTGGTTAGCGAACAGCATGGATCCTGATCAGACTGCGCGGATGCGCATGCTGGTCTGGATTCATGCTGGTCGCAAACGTACTATGTTGGTTTTGTCGTGACGCGGCTCATTTATCTCTGGCATTTTTTTCTGTGCGTTTGTTGTTTAGAATTACTGTTCATGTAAAACTAAAACAAAACAAGTATGTAATAGTAAATGTGAAATCTATTTATAGAATTAAAAAGTCAGCATGACTTGATTTGTCAGTATATATCGTAGTTTATTAGTTTATTTCAGTCTCTTTCATATGCATACATATATACATAAAACATATTAAAATTGATAAAAAAGTAAATAATTATGACCATTCTACAATAGCATTATAAGAGACTATATCAAGTATATACTAGAAGTATCATTATACGTATACAATCGATAGTTAGTTCCAACAGATAACAGTAATGCAACATTACAACATTATAAGAACATTTTACATCATAAAATATATAAAATTAAGGCCTTTTTCAGTGCCCCCCCCCCCCCCCCAAAAAAAAAAAAAATAAATAAATAAAAAGAATAAAAAAAAAATCGCTTTTTTCGGTATAAAACGAACGGTGTGATCTTTATTTGTCTAAAATATTTATATTATATGGTTAAAAATTTTATGATTAACTGCTAATGGAGTATATTTAAACATGACTTATCCATTATCTGTACAAACTTTAGATAAGAAGATGCCTGGCTTAGCGAGTCATGATAAAATAGTTTACTGATCAATAATATTGTGTCAATACAAAATGTCCGTGTCATTTCCACCGTGATCAACCGTCAACATCTCTGCACATTCTAAACACTATGTCCAGTCCTTTCCGTGTTCAAAACGCATGGGAAACGAAAATACCTTCATTTATATTTTTGAATTTTTGTTAATATATGTATAACTAAAACTAATCTTATATCGGACATTCAAATATGTAGAACAGAATGACTCATTCTTTATACGCATAATTTTCATTTTTTTTTGTGTAAACGATTGATGATGCAAGATGCTATTCCGTACACTACAGGTTGTTCACCGTTATCTCCGCCCACCCTTGCCGGTTGTACATGGTGATGAGTCAACTGTGTCGCTATTTTATAAACTCAGATCTTTTTTCATATCTTTTGTTTGTCATTAGATATGAGAATTTGCTGGGTTAATTTGCTGGGTGTTTTAGAATAAATGAAACTTATATAATTGACCTGTACAAGTGTATAATGGATAATATACTATATTCGCAACAAAGATGCCTGTTCATAAAGTTCCAATATCTAAATCCATTGTAAAAGTTGTTTTTATCGTCCCCAAATAGTATACACTAAAGACACTTGAAAAAAAAAACCCGAGCCGAATATTTTACTAGAGCAAAAGCATTGTGGCGCCGTTATCTGTCGCAACGCCGCTATATGTCGCAGCTGCACCATTGTCGCTAAATGTCACAACCGCCGCTAATTTTGTAAAATCTGCTTCCGTTAAATGTCGCAATAGTAGAATTAGATGCCGCACCATTTTTCCTTGCCGTTAAATGTCGCAACACTACCGTTTAATGTCGCAAGATGTATATTCGTGATAAAATTAAGTTATCTGGTGGTAAACATTGAGTTAATGTCTGTGCATATTTAGCAAATTTTGGACATACAGGAATGTCTCGATAAATCTTCCGACTCAAGATGGAAAACTATCTTTTAAGCTGGATTGGTATATAATGGGAACATTTTCAAAAAAAAAAAAAAAAAAAAAAAAAACCAACAAAAAAAAAAAACAAAACAAAAAAAAAAAAAACAAAAACAAAAAAAAAAAAAAAAAAAAATTAAGGAAAAAAAATAAAATAAAAAATAAATAAATAGAAAAGAAATAAACAGTAGAAATATATCATTTGAATATTATTACGAAATATTTCTTAAACAATAATCAAAAACGTTAATCTTGTTATACATGTTTTAATATGACATTTACATGATGAAACATAAATACTTTGTTCCAGAACAGTATGTTATCAACATCCACGTGTATTCCTTGCATGGTTTGTTATCACACATGATAATACTATCAACATAAATATCTATGGCACTGCATACTTTCCATCATAGACCATTACACTTTAAATGTTCATTTTGTTTGAAATTAAAATGTAAAAGCAATTGATTAAAGTATAGTATGCCACTAAACTACATGATTGGTACATATAATACTCATCTTTAAGTATATTTTTTTGCATACTTTTTGCAAATTTAAAACTAGACTAGCGTCCATTTACTTTTCCCTCACCGCTGTGGGTAAAACTCCCGCCAGGGACTGAGGATTATTTTATGTGAGCAAGCTATCCGGCTATCCGGAACGTCGGGGTTCTACCCAAGTTCCCATTCGTTCATGGAGGGGCACCAGACGTCTTTCTCAGCCAAAAAGCTGGAAAATGTCTATATGACCTTACTGTGTTTGTGTGACGTTTTAATGTCTAAAAACGAATTAGGCCTTTGCATGTTTGAAAAACTTATTTTGTTCTTGAATTCCCAATTAGAAGGTATAAAGTTCAAATTAGGTTTCTATTTCATATTTAGTCTTTTGAAACACCTCCTAGTAAATTTTATTTTTCTGCTTCTAATAATATTTTGTTTTTCGTAAAATAAGGTTTTAAAATCTTTTTAAAGGTTCAATTCTCCTAAGTAAAACTTCCTCATGTACAGACTCAATCAAACCGAGTCTGCAACTCTTTTGTAATTTTGCTGTGTGGCAGCTTTAAAAAGTTGCCCCGTACTTCACTTCAGTGTTGATATATTTTTCTGGTCCTTCGGGATCATTCATTCCAGCACTATTAAGTGTTGAGAATTGAGTACCGCTCAAGCCGGTGCTGGGGGGGGGGGTGTGAGGGGTGTTGCACGTATTCTTTATTCCTCATGTACAGACTCAATTAAACCGAGTCTGCAATTATCTTGTAACTTTGTTGTGATTGATGCTTCCGAGGGATCACTTTGTTTCCAGATATTTTCCTATTTAGTTGTATCTGGTAGACACATATTGTAATAAGGTCTTTTATCGCTCCTATATAGCTCTTAATTAAAAGTGAAAAAGTCCTAATTAGGCTTTTAAAACTCCTTGTTACGATTTAAACATTTTTTTTAAAAAGAACATTAATATTTTGTCCCAGACGGTTCCTTAGCAAAATAGTTTTGAAAATGTTATGATTTAATAAGAGATTTTCGACCATGCGACCACATACATGCATCGAGGACATATTGTAAGGAAAGTGACCGTGCAACCACATACACGCATCACAGGATTCCCCTTCTCTTACGAGAAAGGGACAAAGAGTTGTCCGCCCTTATATTGAAGGGCAGACTTCAAAATTAAGCCATTTTCTTATAGTTAAGAAGGCTTATTTACACAGACATGTCTTGAATTGGTTTATATACAACAATAGTAACGCAAACCAAGCGGGGAATCAATTAACGTCCTTTTAAGTCCGCTTTGAAATTTTAAAAAGATCATATATTATTTCTTGGAAAATTTTGAGTTTAAAGTTTTTTTCTGCTTTTCATTTTATGTAAATAACATAATTATTGTACTTTTGCAAAACATGAACGTTTCAAAAACGTTTTATATAGAGATGTTTCACACATTGTTTTCAAATATTTACTTCGGGGGATTTTCGCCAAAGTACGCATTCGACTTTATCTACTTGTAATAGAAAAGGTAATGTGATGGGCTGCAAGAACAAAATAGATTAAACTTGAGCAGCCACCAATTCTGACAATGGTAAGACTGTACATATTTACAAGCCTTATCTTAACCTGCTTTAGACCTGCCTATCAATATAGCAATATCAAGATAGGAATTTCTTAAGTGAGTCAGCCGTAAGTACAACGCTGGGTAAGTCTGCACGAATGTGCCTGGCACACCTGTAACTCTATACTGGTAAAATCATTTCGGTTCCAGTAGTTTTAAAGGTGCAGTGTTGTTAACAGTGGTTGCTTTTGATCTAAAGCTCATCCAAAGTTTAAACAAATTCTATTATACAATTTTCAACATGCCTTTATGTCTATGTAACTGTAGCATGTGCCTTTAAACTTTCATTTGTTATATTTTCTCAAGGTGGAAAAATTGTTAATGCAAAATGTGCATCGGACACAGTAAACGTGATTTCACATCCGACGGAGTCTATATTAATTCAATTCCATTTCACATTACCTGATACTATAACGAATAACATCTATGAACTCAACTCAACAGTAGTGACATAATATGTTTTATACATACAAAGGACAATATGGCCGTTGTGAATCTTGTTTTGTTCTGTAACTGCGTGTCAATAAAAATCTTTTTGGATGCACCTTTCACGTTAAAAAAGACACACTGGGTTGATTTTTTGCATTCGTGACATTAAGTGATGATTGCATCAATGAAATTTGTAAAACTGTAATCTGATTTGGCAAAATGATAACCCATGTAGTATAATACCTTTTATACCGATAAAACTACAGGCAAACATGCTTGTAGGTGAAAGGCCGACACATAATATAGAAAATTCTGATCTGAAATTGATTTTTAATTGAATCTTTCTAGAATAAACTACTCGGTGTGTTAGATCCATCTTATATAAGCATATGTCGTAGCTCGAATCATCGACATCTGGGTTGCTAAATGGAAAATGTATACAAATGTCTTTTATCACCTATTGACTCTTTGCCATAAATTGTGGTCATCAATTTATAAAACCGACTAAGATGACTTTAATTTCAACCAATTGTTTTGTACATCACAGCAAATTATTTCCTACTTGATAGATAGCTAGTCTCCAGATCACTTACATTACATAATACCAGTTTTTTAACATGAATTTAGATATTGCGACATTTAATCTTAGTGTTATAAAATTTAACGGTAAAGGGAAATGGTGCGGCATTAAACATAATCATAGCGGCATTTAACGGCAAAATAGTTTAGCGGAGGTGCGACATTTAGTGACAATAGTGCGACATTTAGCGGTAAGTGGGAATTAAGCGTCGTCGCGACATATTACGGCGCCATAAGCATCTTTAAAATACTAAGAATTTCATTTACTATATAGAATTGAAAAAGCAAAAAGTCGCACGGGACCAGGTATTGAGAACTAGCCATTTTATCTAATGCTGATTGTATATTCTCTACTTACGAGTCTGAAATAAGTCTTGTCCTGTGCGACAAAGTATTGCCATTGTATAGGGAAAGGTTTGCTATATTTTTATCTGGACGCCTTAAAGATAATACATGTTCAATTGTTGCTTCACATTTTGCAAAAGAATGCTTAAAGTGAGATTGTTTTCATGTCGAAACAATAAATTTGAAAGTTGGACAATGTATAGAACATAATTTCCAGTACAAAGCATTTCGCACAGTTGTAAGTTCTTAGCCAAGTGCTGGCCTCCAAAATAGTTCAGTTGCCAGTTTACTTTATGTTAAAAAGAACCTTTGCAAACCGGCCCGTAAAATAATGGACACAGATTTCAGCACCAGGAATAGATTCAGATATCTACTTTTTGTCGTATACAGTAACTGTTAAGCATGTTTGTCTTTTATCCTGCTATACTGTCAATATCATCAGCTGGATAAAGCCTTGCCGGATAAACTTATCTATCTCCAGTCATTACGTCACATGATGACGAGCAAAACAAAACTACATATAGATGGGAAAAAGACGAATTAAACCACATTATTAAAGGCAGGATAAATCAAATACATGGTTGATGTCGGACTGGAGAAGGTTTATCTGGTTCGGTGCGAAAGTGAATCTTGGCTCACAACAGCTCGCCAAGATACACTTTCTCGCTCACCGGATAAACCTTCTCCATCCCGACATCAACCATGTATTTTCTATTTCTTTTCTGTGCTGTCTAGGTTAGGTCCGAATGTCTGAAAGTACATTTATCACATGCATCCAGCAAAACATGTTTTAAATCTTATTCCCAGACTATACAAATGTTAGAGCAAATTTCGAATCTTTGGAGCTTTTAGTGAAATTGCATTTATTCTGAAACACCACTCGTATTAATTGAATACAATATTTTGAATGATATATATTTTGTAAGATACATGTATTTGCTAATATATTCGATATAAAAACAGTCACTAAATATCCACACAAGTAATTTGCAGAAACGTTACAAATAACTTTCTCCTGTATTAAATCAGATTAATCAATCTCGTCAATTCAAATAAATAAATGTTAAAATCAAGCTAATCAGCATTTATATCATTTATATCTCAGTTTAATGAAAGAAATTATTACAAAATCAAATTAATCAATGTTAATATCTCAGATAAATAAACCGATATTGTATCATAGTTTGAGGACCTTTCTGTTTAAAATGACTGTGTCAGAGTTAAATCGTATACATATACATGCACAGTGCGTTAACTGGAGTGCAAGTATTAGTTACCCGCACTCAAGAGCATGCCCATTGATTGACTCTTTTCTGCTGGGGTTTACTTATTGTGACGGCAGAAAAAGGGAAAGCGGTTGAAATATCATATTCAGATGCTCGTTCATTGGTTACTTTTTTCTGGGAATTCATATTTTGACAACAAAAATGAATATTATTACTTGTATCAATGTTATGTATAAAATATATATATATATTATTAACTTTATTTTTTAAAATCTTACAGGTGTGTCGTCCCCACTTTACACATTTAATTCGTCATATCAGGATAACGAAGTTAAACCAAGTGAACGAAACAGTCATTTGGTGAATTTATCTGTACCTATAATACTGGAAGGGAAATCCTACAAGCAATTCTTTGTAAGTTTAGATACCTTATTCTAGATCTAGTAATAAAATTTATATTTATTTCATATACATGTTACATTCATATGCGTAACCTAACAGAAAATTCATAAGAAAATCCAGTTTTAGTTTAAACATATTTTATTTAGAAAATTTACAAACACGTATCATTTTACATTAAAATATATATTTATATGGTTTGGAAAACAAGCATAACACTTATATTAATTCATTTCTATGTTTCGACAGGCTAAGTACTACTGCATCTTTTCCCTCGCGCTTTCATAATTTGTCCAAAGGAGATTTTATATATTCACTTTAAGGTAGAAATACATTGTACCACTTAAATTAAAATGTAATAATTCTAGTTGAAAGTGCCTTGCGAACTTCAAATTGATTTGTTCGTATTAATCCTTAAACGGCTGATTTCTTATATAAAGAACAGAGAAACCTCAAAATCAAGACCACTTGTCTTTAAAGGACATATTCGGCCTCTCATTTTGATGGTCTTTGTTAACATGTGTGACTGTATAGCCAGTCAGCCACATTGTATATTTATGATGAATTGATAGCCGTTGTAAAAAGTATTAGAAGGTCTGCATAGATCGTGATTGAACATGGGACAACTGTAATTATATTGTAATCTTGTTTTTCAGATAAGTAAAGATGGTCTAGTTTTGTTTACTACTGACAAATCTGCGGTCACCTACCATGCCCAGGACTGGTCAGCGAAGAATGGTTCGCCTTTCATTGACCTGCCATTTATAACCCCTTACTATCACAATGGTCAGGCCCTCGACAGTCTGCAGGGTTACACCGGTCACGTGTTTTATCGAATTTTCGACAGCAAGAGTACTTCCGATAATATGCGTGACAAACAAAATAACCAAGAACTGCTTAATCTTGGTCGGTATATTCGAGAACAGGTGGTCGGAACTACGAACTTTGACCCGAGCTGGGCAATTGTCATCACGTGGGAAAATGTAACATCAACACGCATAATTGAGGATGGCCAATGTGCCGGAACAGTGAGGAACCCATGTCCGGTTAGTTTTCTGATTTATTATAAATTCACACAAAAAAGAATGTATGATCTGAAAGAAATCAATTAAGTAAGCTTATGGTATTACCCTAAAAAAGTAACCCAATACCTTTAGGAATAAAGCGTTTAAAAACGAGATCGATATTACGTTATGGAAATCAGCAAAAAGCTAAAATACAGCCGCTTTATTTATATTGAATTCTTTCTTTAATTATGTATGAATTTTACAGCTTTGGCCCGTTTGGTTAAGTAGAACGGTTTCCATAAGATTTCTCTGTTGATTTTTTTTTCACTGTTTATGAAGTTTATATAAATTTCTTAACAATTTTACGACACCAACAATGCAAAACTTATAATCTTTTGTCTCATACAATTTTATTTTTTAAAAACAATGTAATGTTATCGGATAATTTCAATGTACTCTACGATTATTTACTTTTTTGCGACTTTAGAGGCTTTTGATTTTTTTAAGTTTTGAAGAAACTGCATTATTAATGTACATGTATGTTTTATAAGGGAAACTGAAATCTACCTTTTTCAGTCCCATGTAGATTTACGGTATAAATGTATTTTGTGCAATAAATGAAGGATTTTATGTTTTCTTTGTATATTTCTTGTAGACCAATACGTTCCAGCTTGTTCTCATTACGGACGGAGGGCAGTCGTTCGCCATCTTTAACTATGGAAGACTGGATATGACACCGTCAAAATATTCCCAGGTATAGTTCTTTATGATATGAGAGTAATCATACTTTGTTGAGTACAATACTCAAAGCTATATTGAACGAGACGCTTGTCGAGTCCAATATAACTTTTGTAGCTATGTTTAAGTCCAATAGAATCAGTATTGTACTCAGCAATGTAAAATGACATCTTTATTTCACACGACCGATTTTTTAAAAACTTTGACTGAACTTTGTTACCTCAGGATGTTAAGGATTTGATTTGAATTTCTGGGACTCTGAAAATGAAAACAAGGTTTGACTGAAAGCAATGGACTTTTTGTACTGCGCATGAAAACTAGGCTTAATTGATAACACTTGTCCAATAGTGATCTATATTTGAAGATGATATGATGAAGACGTTTGAAGTACATTTGTTACATTTTATAGGTGTGAACTAAAATAATATCACATAAAACAAGATTATGTGATATTATCTCCTGCTTTGCGGCGTTAAAAACTTAATTATATAGCATTTACATTTGAATTACTTTCTATGTTTTATAAATGGTATATTTTTAATCTTAATTAATAATTTCATTATTTTTGAAAATAATTGCAAAAGGTCAACTTTGAATAATGTATATTTGATTTTTGATTACTTAATAACGTAATCCTAATTTTTTTAATTGGACCACATGTCAATTAAGACCACTTTCTGAATTACAACAGACTTATGCTTACTGACATCATTATTTAATATGAAAAAATAAATAAAAACTTGCTACTTTTCTAGGCAGGATTCAATGGCGGGCGCGGAACTGGATTCACAAATATTATTCCAAAGTCGAGATCGATTCAGAATATGAATCAAATACAAGGAAGTGATCTCGTAGGAAGGTTTATTTTTAGAATTTCGTCAGGGAAGATATTCCACGGAGGCTGTTCCAATGACTTATCATACAGTAAGCTGTTATTTCTATCAAAATAATGACATTTTGTAGTTTTTAAGATAATCATTATGAAATGCTCTGTCTACTGTTTGTCAAATATTAATAATTCAACGGAAAACAATATGCAATCAAAGGTCAAATACAAGAAAAGGTTGATTTTAAGGTCAAAGTAGATCTTTATATAAAAGATTTGTTGTTTCTGGTGAGACGACTTGCTTATGTTGCTCTGTTTTTTTTTTTCGATCATTTTCACTTCAGTGTCTAAATCAAATAATCACTGAACTTTTTATGAATTATAATGATTATCCAGCACGAGTTACCGTACTTGTTTCTCTGCTGCAATTAAATGTAAATCTTGTATACACTGATCAGGTGTTGGCTCAAGATTTTGTTCATAACCCTTTCAATGTTCGTCATAATTCATTTTAATATTTATTACAAATAAGTGTAATAAGTTAAGTGTTAAAGATTTTTTTAATAGATCAATTCTGTTATAGTATCTATGGTATCATTCGGAACATTTCGACGATTATTCATAACTTATCCAGATTTTGACGGAAAGGGCCGAGAAGATGAGATTGTCTATTGTATATGTATCTAGCAACTTATATACAAATGTACGTATTACTTATAACGCTGTCCTTGGTACATAGTACAAACTTGCCTTCACTATTATATTGCAGCACAACTGACCGTGAACCCAAACTATGCGGGTATGTTCGGCGGAAAGATGATCGACCTGTCTGGTCCGTGTTTTACACCCAACCAAAATATATTCTGTCGCTTTGAAGATGTAAGTAATATTTTCGTAATTGATTTTAGCTCTATGAGACGAAAATGTTTTTGAAATATCATCGACAAGCCTATTATAGTGAATTTTGTCACACATAACTTTTTTTATCTTATTCATTTGTCTCAAAATTAAATAATTAAATTTTATCCAGCCAAACTTTATCCTTTGTAGATCTACTGTTCTTTTTATTTATCTGACTGACCCATATATTAGAACGCAGCGTGGCAACTCTGTTTACGACAAATATATCGTAAGTATTCGACTTTTTCCGTCATATTGCGAACGGTTTATAGCACACAAAAAATCCTTCCTGATAAAAGCCAGGTTATATTCTTTTTCAGCCAAACCACGCCACGACTCCGTCTGAAGAAAGGGCATCATATATAAGTCGTACACGTGTAAGATGTGTTGTGCCACGCCTACTTGTGCGTGACCGCGTGATTCTTAGCCTATCAACAGACAATGGGCGGACTTACCCGTATAGTACAACTTTCACAATTGGTGAGTAGTTGATTTTGAATTTGTAACACTTTCCCTGCTGGAACTCGTGCAGTCTGATCAGGCTCAGTACTGCTGACTGACTAACTTTACTTTGCCATCTTTCCAAGTCCATTTAAGAAATCGGCAAGTTAAGGGTTTTACATTATACGTTTGTATTATTATTCTTTTGCTTTGGTTGATTTGTATGTTGATGTGCGTGCGTGCGTGCGCGTGTTTATATGCGTGCATGAATGTTAATCTTAAATCCACCTGGTAAGTCAGGTATTACATATTTGTATGCCCATACATATTTTCCAGGCAAGAATTATTGGTTATTTTCAGTACAAGAAAAAAGTATTTCATGAACTAAGAAAATAAATCAAATAATACTTAGTCATTTGAACACAAGAAAGTAAAATTGATCCAAATGTATAAAAGAACATTTTTTAAAATGATTTTTATCTTTATCTTTATTTTCTTTCCTCTCTCACAGTGTTCCCAGGAAGAATGCCGAACTCAGAACACGTGACAGCCGTATATAAGAACAATGACCTTGGATGGTACTCGCACAATCCAACAACCTTGACACTTACTTGGGATAACACGTTGCTTAGCAACTATACCAACTCTCGTGTTGACATACGTCTTATTGGATACCGCGAGACAAATGGCGAGGTAAAAAGTTATTTTTATCACTCTGATAAAAAAGTCACATGTATGTGATATATTTAAGTGAACTGCCTTAAATTAAATAAGCAATGATTTTATCAACCGGACAGTCCAAAATTTTGAAAACAAGATTGGTAAATGTCGACAGGCATTTAGATTAACGATTTCTTCCACGCGCGACTTTCCCTACATGCCTCAAGTGATTTCAACAAAACTTGAAAATTTTCCATCAAGTTGCATAATGCATATTGTAATAATTTTTATTTTGGTCATTTTTGGAAGAATTATAACACACTGTATTTTAACAGGGCATGTATACGCCACTGACCACGTTAGGTAAAGATGTCCCAGCTGGAAGAGGAACTTATGTTCTTGACCCTCAGAATTATCAGTGCAGCGGTCAAGATTGTTATAACTACGAAGTTGGACTGGTTGAGGTCAGGCTTCAAGATGATTATACGCCAAATAAACACAAGTAAGTTTTATATCTAACTTCTGAATAAGATCGTCTCCTGAAAATATTGGCAGTGACAAAATAAAAGAAGACTACCATAATTATGTTGTATTGGGTTAGTTTCCCCTTTTTATCAGTATTCAATCTTGGAGCGAAAATGTGATGAATTTTTCTGTTGTCGAACTAACATTTTAGTGGTAATTTGGCCACTTTCCAGCTTTACTTGTGGAGGAAGACCTCAGTTGCTCCTCTGTCCATCATTTAAGACACAAGAGGGCCCCTGAGGCCTACCATCGACACTCAATAAGCTAGCTGGATGGCCTCATCTCAGGAAAGAATCTAAAGTCCCTGGCAGGATTCGAACCTACAGCGATGAGAATCATGTGGTACTTTGAGATACATAAATGAAGCTTGCATTAGACTGATATTTGAAGCCCATTCTAAAAAGTCCAGAAAGTCATTATATTATAATTGAATATACATGTACTTATACATGTACATTACCCGGGTATAGGATTTATGTAAATGAACTAAAGCACTTTATCAATTCGGTGTCAGTTTAACAAACACATACAAACTCTTTAAATATATATTTACCTTAAAATTGTTTTGAATGTATTTATATGTAACCAATTTGTAGATTCTTGTCGACCAAGGCGATCCCTCTGGGATGGTATGTTCAAAACGCAATGACGGCACAACACGGCGCTGGCTGGCCGTCAAGTCTCTGTTTAAACTGGTACCATAAAGCCTTTCAAGAGATGAGCTGGACCAAAGATCTTCTTAGCTGTCCATGTTCCCTCGCCCAAGCAATGGCTGACTTCGGAAGATGGCAGCATGATCACGGATGTAATGTACAAAATGCCGAAAAGGTGGGCAACTGTTTCTACCATCAGGAGGCCGTGCATTGCGTTCGTGCCGTACAACCGGTGTAAGTTATTTCAAAAAGCTTTTTTTCTGTATCCTACAATCAGATGTTGTCTAGTAGTTTTATACAAAATACAGTGTGACTGTTCCTCTGGCTTATCTATGTTTACTGTATTGTTCATTGACTTAGCATTAACATGAACGTCTGACTGTATCGGATATACTACCCCTGTACCATTTAGTATATGAACTATGTTTCGACGTTTGATAATTCACTTGTACTTGTGTGCTTCTAAAGAACATGCTTTCTATGGAATAGGCTTATTTTAAGTGAATATTAACCCTTTGTTAGGCAATAAGTCATATGCTTAAATGCAGTATGCTGTATGTATTAAATTCTACATGTATACGATTTTCTCGAACTATAAAAATAAAGAAAGCCTCAAAAAATGTACCTGGCAAGACGCTGAGTTACTGGGCATTAGGTCTTATTTCAAACTTCTCAGCAGACTTAGGCCTATTTGTTTTGTATTGTAAGAACATTACAGCAATCTCATTCAAAGTTTTCGAATTTCTCCTTCTTTATCGATTGTCAAAAGGGGTTATAATGCAAATAAGTGATGGAAACATATTTCTTTATACCTTACACATACCAAGAACTTCTTGCTTTGATAAAGTCTCTTTTATTCGACGTTTTTTTTCCACAGCACATTTGCTGCTTGACACTGCCTTCTTTACATTTCAGGCATGATTTATAATATATGCACTTTTCTCATTTCAAAGTAACGGTGCAGGCAACCAATGTTGCTACGGTAAAAGCGGGCACCTTATATTTGCGGCCGACACTTTCCAGGGAAGTACTCCCGACAAGAGTCATGACTGGGGAGCAGCTCCTTACGGGAAACCTGGTCACGTGCCAAGTCTGTCACACTGGATTGATGACGTCGTGACGTTTTATTACTGCTGTCTATGGGACGAGTATAATTCCTGCGATTACTACATGGACGTAAGACCGACGTCTGACTGTACTGGATATACTCCACCTGTACCAGGTATTGCTATTTAAAGTATAGAATTAATTGACGTCACTTCCGATACTGGGGATAATATTTTGGGTACTGATATTAGATATATAGGCATATATACAGAAACATGTAAGTAATGACTTATTGTTTTTAATTTCTACGCAAAAAAGCTTTGTATGGCTTGATTTAGTAATGGTGAAGACAATGGTAAAGGTTTTATAGTTATTGTTAGATGGAACTCAGATTTGATGAAAATTGTGCTGTCGTATGCCCCAAGAAAATTTCGATGGCCAGTTTTTATTTTAAACCTGGTTTTACATAAAATAAGTGGATTGTGGTTAATTTAAATATATTATCGCACGAAATGACATTGTGGATATGTGCTTACGTTTATAACGACGTATAAATTTTAACATGACGTCTCTTCAATTTATTAGCTAGTGTTTATGGGCAAGGGCATGTGGCATCATTTGGAGGTCAGAAATTTCGTATGATGGGGCCAGGAGATTATACATTGTTGAAGGCTGGCAACACTGAAGTGCAGGCAAGGTTCCAGAAAAATCTCTTCCCGACGAAAAGTAAGTTCTGTTAAAGAAGCCAGTGTTCACATAACATTCATCACATGCTCATTATTTATTAATTATTTTGAAATACAGTCTTTAAAAGGTTTAAAAGTTTGTGAAATTGTGCTACTTTTACGCCTTTCTAAATTTAACAGAGTACTTTTTTCAATTTAACAGAAGGATATAAAGTTGAATCGACATTCTCTTTGACCGCCATTGCTATTCAAGACAGAGGCACTTCCGATAGAGTGGAATTGCGCCTGCGCGGACCGGAAACCAGTCACGAGTATCAACACATTGATGTCCTAGTAAATGGACAGTTTATAGAATTTAATGAGGATTCTATGAAATGGCAAGATTTCAAAGGTAATACATGTACTGTATATGTGAGTTAAATTAGATTTTGAATCTGAAAACTTCTTAGTAATGAACAATAATTAATAAAAGGAAATTTAAAAAAAATCTTGCAGATTACTATTTAAGTACAGTCATGCCTGCCATTATTTATTTTGCTGATTTTTTACCGATTTAATTCGACAGTTTAAAGGCCCATAATTCATTATACCAAAGAAATGCTTTTACTTTTATTTCTCAAAATATTTTATTTTTTTGTGTACCTTACAGTTCAATGGCCATGCCAATTAAGTTAACTGTTGCTTTTTGGCAATTAGTACAGTTACAGTAAATTAGTATTTTGAATGGAAAACAGGCTTTGTTTTTGCTATTATTATGACAAATTATTTCACATTTTGATTGACTGCTACATTTTTAGGCAACAAGCATCTGACATGCTCTAAAACATTATTCTTAAGAAATAAAAAATATTCGTTTCTGAGGAACAATGTGCCTGTAAGCAATATGTGTGTAAAACTTTTTGTTATGCTAAATAATCTGTTTTTGTTTCTTTATTCCACAGGCGTAGCTATTGTTAATACAGATCCACAAAAGGTGAAGTCTAACTTCACAGTCCTTCTTACGAATGGCATAGGGTTCCAACTTGCTGAAACATTCAATACTTTACAACTAGACCTCATGATGCCTTCAAATTCATATGTAAGTAGAAATTGAATGTCAAATATTCCTCAAAATATTCCTCAATGTTTAAAATAAATTTTTATGATAAAGCATAATTGGCAAGATACCATATATTCCCAGTATATTGGAAATTAAAATTATTATTACATGTATGTAAAATAAGATAAAGATCACATGTTAAAATGAGCATTTTTCTTGAATACATTTTTTATGTAGATTCAAGTATATATTATACGGTGTTCCGTTAGGACCATCGCGACACACACATCACAAAATTATGATGGTGATTAGTCGAAAAAACGAAACCACGATGGTGAGATGATAAGACAATGAAAAGTCGAAAGTACGGTGGTGAAAAGTCGAAAAAACGAAACCATAATGGTGAAAATATGGTTTCGTGTTTTAACCATCGCACTTTCGAACTTTTAGCTATGTACTTATCCATGTATTATTAAGGTACGAGCGAGCATATGAATATAGGATTACCGACATCTCGTAAGCTAGCTTGATAGCCTTCTCATTTTCAATTGATAAAAAAAAAAACTTTTTTCTAGTTTGATAAAAAACTTGCATCATTTGATAAAAAATAGTTTTACACATTTTTCACTTTATTTCTATTTCAAGACTAACATTTCCGGAATAATGGGCGACATTGATGGCACAAAGACCCTTCCAAATAGGACAGTATTCGACATAAACCCTGATAACAGGAATGACTTATACTACAATTATGAGCTAAAATGTAAGTTGTCCGTCATAAGTAGTCACAGGACTCGAGTCAGGTGAAGATGCGTCTTGAAATAATAAAAACAACAACAACAACATTAAGACAAACAACTAAATATTGTTATAGCTGCCTACCTCCAGATTTATGCTAATTTTCATCAAAATTTTAAAAATGTATTTGAAAATAATTTTTTGAATCGAACAACGAAAGCAGTTTTCACATTGCAAACGGTACTTACATTCCACGGAAATTACATAAAAGAGGTCGAAATATGCATTAACATGGCCCCTACTGCGTTAGTCACGAAGTAGAAAAGTGGTGATTAATATTGCAAATCAATCAAGGTACATTTTCCCTTAATTTGATTTTCATGAAATAGTTTGGCTTATCTGGATGCATGCAACTTTTGAATAAAAAGTCATATTTTACATCATCTGTTTATAGAAAAAAACGATGTCATTGTCCTGTTAAAAAAGAATGTACTTTAATCTCACAATAGGCCATTCCAAGCTGATGCAAGTTTCTTGAAATGCATTTGTTTTATCTACTTATCTACTTTATGGTCAAGAAAAGCCGACTGAATAATGCCGACATTTGCAGGATATTCTGGAATAGATTTTCAAATATTTCCTCAAGCAGTCACATTTATAAAAAATGGTTAGTTTTCACCAGAGTACATTTTTCAGTGACTGAAATAGACCCTCTCATCCGTACATTGTCATTGCTGGTTGTTTTTCTTCTTGCCAACCATGAGAGACAATCCAATAACCATACGGTGGCACGTACGTGTCTTGATGTTTTTTCTTGTCCTTACGACATTATAATATTGTTTTAAAAGATATAGTTTTGCCAGGGACGAGATTATTATTTTGTGACCACAAGGTAATGATACCACGGAACGCGATAATAATAACCTCTCGAGATAAATGCAAAAGTACACATGATACCCATGTGCCACCGTAGAAGCCAAACATTCATTCATTCATTCATTCATTCATTCATTCATTCATTCATTCATTCATTCATTCATTCATTCATTCATTCATTCACTCACTCATTCACTCATTCATTTATAGGCATATTTTTACATGGTTTCATGTTCATTTACACGAACAAGTCAACTTTGATTTGAACTGCTTCAGAATGGACTGTGAGACAAGTTTATTTTCATATATTGCAGGGGCAGTAAATGAAACAAGTAACTTATTTAGTGACATTCTACCAGCCAGGTATTCTTTCCAAGACAAGATTAATCTTTATCCAACAGAAATGTCTCGTTTGGATCGTGGATATTCTAGTTTCTGCGCAATGTCAAAAGAATGCATATTTGATGAAAGGTAAAAAGAAAAAATGAATTTAGAAAGTAATACCCGATTATCAAAATCAATGTATTGAATTTTTTTCTTTATGTATACTTTACCTGTACTTTACGGCGCGTTGTCGTGCGTCGCGTTGATGCAATGTCGCCCTGTCACTTGGCTTATAAGCCAATCCTTCGATAAGCCAATACTACGCGCTGTTTTGCGTGCATCGTTAGGGTCAGGACAACAAGACGAAAGTCCGACAATGCGACGCACAAAAGCGTTCCAAATCAGCCACCATACATTTACTATAATTATACCAATTGCCAAACAACCTAAAGAAGCAAAATATTGTTCATTTTTATGACAAATGACTAATTTTTGGAAATATTAACAAGATACTAAGAATAAAACGTCTTTGAGAAATAAAAATGATAGCATTTCTGAGGGAGGCATCATGAGCCCTTAAGTGCCCCAGTTGATCTACGTAATAAACTCAAATTTTATACTTTTTAGGCTTTTCGATCTCGGTGGAGTTCCTTTAAAGGTTTTAGACCAGTTTGTGTAAAAGCCCACCTCAAATGTCATTGTATTATTTTCATTTTATACTAAAGGTTTACGGGATCAGAAGACATTGCAGGTGCTACGAAAAGTGCTGCAGAAAGATATGCCTCTTTGAGTACCAATTTGTTACCAGGTATTATATCTGTTAAATAACTTTCTGAAAGCATAGGGTCAATTCTTGTCAGTCATTTTTATTCCAGTCAACTTTCTGACAAATCTGTTATAATTGTACTCGTAAGTAGTTTAGTATCAAAACGAATTCAACACTATAAAAATTTGCGATCCATAGTCAGAAGTTTGAGAGATTTGATCGTATTAATTTCGATCCAATGGATCACGATCCGTTTAATTTCACTCACAAGAATCACGATATATAGAATAACCGATACACAGATACATTTTTCTCACGGAAACATGGATCATTTAAGTATCAGTATTAAATATTATGTATTTAAGATAGATTCTTTTACGATACATTTTTCTTACGAAAACATGGATCAATACGTATCTTAGGTTAAAGTATCAGAAATGTATGTATTTTCAGTACGGTCTTGTGGTTTATTAAACGTCCCTCGATCTAAGAAGAGCAATTATGACTACACGATTGGTACCACGACCACTATTACAGAATGCAGAACTGGTTCTTTTTCGGGTACCAGTACATACACATGTGAAGAAACATCAAATGTAACACAGGCCTGGTCACCGGAAGTGACAGCCACGTGCGAGGGTAATACAATATTAAAATGTTGCAATCTTTCTTAATTATTTATCTTTCTTATCTTTATTAGTATCATTGAATATTTACATTCTAATCCTGTAAAATGTTAACAAACATAGAGGTGTAAACTTTGCATTTTGAGTAATCGTAAAGTTTATTTCGGTAAAAATACTTTGGTTGAAAAACAAATGTGTTTATCAGAATCAATTTTAGAATACCCCTTGCCACGCCTGAATATAATTACAGTTGTTAACAGGGATATCAAAATACTTATGCTTTGTTAAAAAACTCAAAATACTAGTAATTAGTAAATGAATAATTTTACGTATTACTTTACTTTTAAAAGACAGACCGAGTATACAACATTATAATGCAGACAGCTTAAAAATACAGCATCCATTTGCTATGCGTTTATTTCTATAGAATACGTTACACGCAAACTAGATATTGTTTTTCAAAATTTGACGGAAAAGGCCGAAAAGTTGCGACCGGTGGTATTATTATTATTATTATTATTATTATTATTATTATTATTACATAATGCAAAATATAGTAAAAAGTCCGATTATTGTGTAAACTATGGTGGCTGATTTGGAACGCTTTTGTGCGTCGTGTTGTCGCTAGCGACAGCACGACAAAGCGCCAAACGGCACGTTGTCGGACTTTCGTCTTGTCGTCCTGTCGCTAACGATGCACACCGATCGGCGCATTGTCGTGCGGCGCATTGTCGTGTTGTCGCGATGTCACATTGTCGCTCAGCTCAAATCGAAGGATTGGCTTATAAGCCAAGAGACAGTGCGACATCGCGCCGTTTGGCGTGCTTCGCTAGCGACAGGACGACAAGACGACAGAGCGACATCGCGCCGTTTGGTGCGTTTCGCTAGTGACAAGACGATATAGGTTGTGTTGTCGCTATCGACATCGCAATGCGCAAAGTATACCAAATCAACCACCATAGTAAACTGATGTGACCACCTCTCAACCTTGGGAACATCTAGCACTCATCGGATCACAACCATGTTTCTTCATATGCCACCAGCACTGGTTTGTTCTAGGAAGCGGACTCGAAAGTGATTAACATAAGTTGCAAAAACCTGTTTCTCAAACGATCTTAATTAAATATGTTTAAATCAACTGATGTGATTCAGTCAAGATAAAAGATATGTTATTTTCTACAGTTCTAACAGAATCGGCTGACATTGGCATGATTGTGGGTATAGTTGTAGCTGTCGCAGTGGTAGTTATTATAGCTATCGTTGTTGCTATTATAGCTGTCAGAAAGAGAAAAAGCAAGTAAGTGTCTACTGTCACATGTATTTAAAAATATTATCACATACCACCAAATGTTTTTATATTCCATACATTACATTATTACATACGATACGAGTACAAGTGCCCGTCCTTTGTTAGTTTGTGATGTCTTTCCAATGATAAAGTTTTGACTGCATTTTCCTCAACTATCCAAAACGTTTTTCTTTTCCCCTTGCCTCAAGGTCAATGTATATTTTTCATCCCTTTAGGTTAATGTGTATTTTTCATCCCAATGCCTTTAGGTCAATGTGTTTTTTCCATTCCCTTGCCTTAAGGTCAATGTGTATTTTACATTCCCTTGCCTTAAGGTCAATACGTTTTTTTCATCCCCTTGCCTTGAAGTCAATGTATATTTTTTTCAGTCCCGTTTCATAAGGACAATGTGTTGTTTTTTTTCGTTCCGTTGTTTTAAGGTCAACTTATATTTTTTATTTCTTGTCTTAAGGTCATTGTGTGTGTTTTTTTCTTCATTCCCGCGCCTCAATGTCAATAAGCATTCTTATCCAGTTGCCTTAAAGGCCAATGTGTTAAAGTCTATGTGTATTTAACTTCCCCTCGCCTTGTTGTTCCGTGTGTATTTACTTTTCCACGCCATGTGTACAGCGTGTATTTTACTTTCCTCGCCATGTGTTTAGTGTGTATTTTACTTTCTCAAGCCATGTGTTCATTTTGTATTTTACTTTCCCACGCCATGTGTTCAGTGTACATTTTACTTCCCCTCGTCTTGTTGTGCAGTGTGTACTTAATTTTCCCACACCATGTGTACGCCTGTACAGTGTGTATTTTACTTTCCCACGCCACGTGTACAACGTGTATTTTACTTCCCTATGCCACGTGTTCAATGTGTTTTCTTTCCCAATGTTTATTTACTCTTTCGCGACATGTGTTCAATGTTTATTGTCCGTCCCAACGCCATGTGTTGATGTATACATGCATTTCACTTTCCAAAGAAATGTGTCCAATGTCATGTTATGGAAATAATCATATTTCACTCGTCAAATATTTATTTTCATTACCACTCGATTAAAATAAATCCCGTATTTATAACCCTCTATTTGATATGTGAAATATTGCTGTTAAGATTAATGATTTGTTTATGTTATCATTTATTATTAATTATTTTTAACAACATTTAATATATAAATTTCGTGTAAATGATACTGTATAATATGTTTTTCGTTGTTGTTTCAGAAAGGCATTTTACTAGTTCTATTTAATCAGGCATTGTATCTTAATGGTTTCATAACAGTTCACTTATAATTTCAAACAAATTTCATTAATGATTTATTATCCCCGCCGAAAAGGCGGTGGGGTATATACAAATAGTCTCCATCCGTCTGTCATTCCGTCCCACATTTTTGTCCGGAGCATATCTCAAAAATTATTTGAGTTATCAACTTGAAACTTCATAGGTCGATAGATCATATTGAGGAGGAGTGCAGTGTACAAGAATGATAACTATCCTGCATAACCTTTCAGTTATTATCCCCCGCCGAAAGGCGGCAGGGGATATAGAAATAGTCTCCATCTGTTCGTCCTTCCTTCCGTCCGTCCTTCCGTCCGAGATTGTTGTCCGGAGCATATCACAAAAAGGATTTGAGGTATCGACTTGAAACTTCATAGGTGGATAGATCTCACTCAGGAGGTGTGCAGTGCACAAGAATGATAACACTACCCTTCATAATTTTTGAGTTATTGCCCTTTGTTATTTTTCATACTTAATTTTTCACCTGAGTGGAGCATAACTCGAAGAATCTTTGCAATGTCAACATGAAATTAATCATAGGTGGATTTATTTTATTGAGGAGGAATTCTGTGTGCAATAATGATAACTCTTCCCATGTAGAGGTATCAACTTGAAACTTCATAGCAGGGTAGATCTCATTGAGGAGGAGTGCAGCACACAAGAATGATAACGCTACAATGCATATTTTTCAGTTATTGCCCTTTGTTATTTTCAGCCATCAGTATTCACATAGGTTTCAAATCTGAAACTAATATCAATTTAGCCATCAGTTTTCATTACAGTACCAAATGACCTCTTAAAATTGAATAATTCTGCTCTTCTACATATATATTCTTCCAATGAGCAAACACATTCGGCGGGGGATGGCCATGTTAACATGGCTCTTGTTGCCCTTTGTTATTTTTCAAACTTAATTTTTCACCTGAGTGGAGCATAACTCAAAAAGTCATGAAACTTCATAGGTGGATAGATCTTATTAAGAAATGCTGTGCACGAGAATGATAACTCTACCCTTTATAATTTTTTAGTTATTGCCCTTTGTTATTTGCCATACTTTTTGTCCTGAGCTTATCTCAAAAGTGTTAGAGGTATCAACTTGAAACTTCATAGATGGATGGATCTTATTCAGGAGAATTACAGCACACAAGAATGATAACCTACCCTGCATTATTTTTCAGTTATTTTCCTTTGCTATTTTCAGCCATCAGTATTCACATATGTTTCAAATCTGTAATCACTTCAGCCATCAGTTTTCATTACCAAAAGACCTCTTAAAATTGAATTATTCTGCTCTACTACATATACATTATTCCAATGAGCAAACACATTCGGCGGGGGATGGCCATGTTAACATGGCTTTTGTAATTATAGAGGTGTTTCAATTATTAAAACTTTTTTTTAATATGTATGTAGATTCTGTCAAGTTTTCTTAAAGGGAATGCTGATTTTTCTTTCTTTATATGCCCGAAAAAATTTCGGGCATATTATGTTATACCCGCTGGCGTCCGTCTGTCCGTCCGTCCGTCCGTTAGCAATTTGGTTTGTTTCCGGAGCATAACTTAAGTTCCATTCGGTCCACAATATACAAACTTCATAGGATGATTGTCCATATTGGGTAGAAGACCCCTATTGATTTTGGGGTCACAAGGCCAAAGGTCAAGGTCACTATGACCTTAAAACTGAAAACAGTTTCCGGAGCATAACTTAAGTTCCATTTGGCCCACAATCTTCAAACTTCATAGGATGATTGTCCATATTAGATTGAAGACCCCTATTGATTTTGGTCTCACAAGGTCAAAGGTCAAGGTCACTATGACCTTAACACTGAAAACAGTTTCCAGAGAATAACTTAAGTTCCATTTGGCACACAATATTCAAACTGCATAGGATGATTGTACATATTAGGTAGAAGATCCCTATTGATTTTGGGGTCACAAGTTCAAAAGTCAAGATCACTATTACCTGAAAACTGAAAACAATTTCCGGAGCATAACTTATGTTCCATTTGGCCCAAAATATTCAAACTTCATAGGATAATTGTCCATATTGAGTAGAAAACCCCTATTTATTTTAGGATCACAAGGTCAAAGGTCAAGGTCACTATTACCTTAAAACTGGAAACAGTTTCTGGAGTATAACTAATGTTCCATTTGGCCAACAATATTTAACTTCATATAATGATTGTCCATATTGGGTAGAAGATATAAGGTCAAAGGTCAGGGTCACAATGATCTTTACACTGAATATTGTGGTTTCTTGAGCATAAGTTCCATTTAGCCCATAGTGTTCGAACTTCATAGGGTTATTGTCAAAATTGAATAGAAGACCCCTATTAGTTTTTTGGTCACAAGGTCAAAGGTCAGTGTCAACTGAAAACGGTTTTCGCTCAATAACTGAAGTATTAATCAACCTACAGCTTATATTGAGTAGATTAATTATATGCCCTAAAAAATTTGCTTATATTATATTATATCCCTGGTGTCTTTCTGTCCATCCGTCGTAATAAAAATTTTTTGACAAGACGGGACAGGAAATAATTTTTCGAGATTAATGTTTCATTTGATGTAGGTCTAGATCAATCACTTGTAGTCAAAATTTCAGCTTATTCTTTTTTCTCAGTTTTTTCATTTGTGAAAAATGACCCAAAATTGAAATGAGTTTCAACGCTTTTAACAATAGCAAAAGAAACAACAACAATGCGATTTTGAATTTATCTTTGAGTATATTATTTTGTCAATTATCTTTTGCATATTTTTTTCTTTTGAAGTGCTCCAGCTGATCTTTTGGGCTTTCAGATCTAAGTTGAGTTCTTTTAAAACGTGTTCCCAAATTCTACATCGTTTTGATAATTCTTTCATATTTTTTTCGATGCTCAAGAAACCTGTATTTTTACTTACTTCAATACTTCACGAGAATTTTAAACATTCTTGATATTAGTATATAATTTACATACAACTCAAATATTTGTTATCTTTATTATGACATGTATTATAGTTACGTTATACAGTGCACATTCCCGTCATGTGTTGTTGTTTGTTGTAAAAACTGGACCGGAAATTTTAATTTAAATATCTTTTCGTTCATAATGTAAGAATTTGTTCAGCACATAATAATATGGAAATTTGAAGTTTACAAGGTCCAGGTTTTATATGTGACTGTTAGATTTCACCCTTTATGTCTACACCTTCTTCAGTACCTTACGGAGCAAAACGGTGTTAAATCGTAACATTTGATTCAAGTAACAACCGTTTTGCTCCGAATAAATAATATAAAGCGGCATTTTACAATGATTTATCTCTTTAATAGTCACAAATTAAAGTAGTGTCATACAGAAGTTTCAAACGCATGCATATAAAAAAACTAACTAGATCTAATTTAAATATATTAAAGGCCCATTATGTCGAGAAAATGCTTTATATTAAATTGTATTTCTCAACTTTTAAGCTTTTTATTTTTTGGTGTCCTGTTATAATTATTAATCAGAATTTTTAATCATTGGTCAATTATCTGAAACATCTTTTGCTTTTGTAAATTACATGTAGAATAGTTAAATTAATTTAGTAATTTGTAACTGATTTGTTTACATTTTGCTATTTTTATGACAAATAATTTCACATTCAATGCTACTTTTTTCAGTTGATAAGTGTCTAACATGCTCTAAAACCATTATATAAGCATTTAAAAAAAACTCATGTTTGCCATTTCTAAAGATGAAAAAAATGTATTCATTTCTGAGGGATAAGTAATAGAAAGAGCATCGAAATACGAGGCTATCTGATTTGTACGAGGGGGCGTAGCCGAGTGTTTTCATGTTCTTTCTCTTTTGTATCATAATCAAACATAAAAACACGTTCCCTGTTGTCACAATATGAAACCCAGAAAAAAGTAACCTATGAACGAGCATCTGAATATGATATTTCTATCGATTCTCCTTTCTCTGCAGTAAACCCCAGAAAAAAATGAGCCAATCAATGCGCATGCTTTGGAGTGCGGGTAATTAATACCTGCACTCCAGTTAACACTCTGTGCATGTATATGCATACGATTTAACTTGACACATTTTCAACAGAAAGGTCCCCAAACTATGATACGTACAATGCGCCTTTAACTCTACTTTAGATGTCATCCATTCGTAAGTTCAAAGTAAAATGTCGCTTTGTGTTATATGTGGAAGGATCTATCTGAATGTATATAAACTACTCCAGAAAAAGTTTCATGATGTTGATTGACGTGCACTGTAGATGCTAGAACATTTATATAATTATATATTCATATCATCTACACTAGTGAATTAGTGCCGGTCTATACATCCGTTTTTCCTCTTACTTTTGGTGACATCAGCAGACAATAATGTTTTATTTGTAGAGACTGGAAGAGGTCTGGCGAGGCGAAGACTCAAGAAGAAGCTGTATCTATGAAAACCGCCGTGTAAGTTATGAAGGAACATTCTATAGTCAGAAAAAATGAGCGGGAAAAATGAGAGGAAAAAGAGCGGGAAATAAAGAGAAGAAAAAGAGCGGGGAAAAAGAGCGGGAAATGAAAGTAGAAAGGGAAAAGCAGACGAATCAGCATCATGTCTATATTGTGTTCAATTTGTGTATTCCCTGTTCACCTTATGTGTTGTATACGTTTGTGTTTGTTTGTGTTTAAGTGTTGTTGTTAACTTTTTTGTGAAATGATTATTGTCTTTGAATGTACACACTTTATTTGTTGTTAAAACAAATGCTTTTTATATTGTGCTAATAGCTTTTGCTGAAGTTGAGAGTGAAAGAATGTATCTTTTTTGTATAGAAATCTAACATGTTTATATAAAAACATATGACTAGTTCTTCCAATTCATAGCTCATATCCTGTCAGGCATATAAACAGACAATATGCATAATTCAACATCCTCCATTAAAATGAAATGAAAGTAGTCTCCACCAGTGGTCCTCAAATGTTACCATACTGATCAGGGGAAGTAACTGCTGTGAGCGTTTGGGACTTAATTTGTTTGGTTCTTACGCCGAATTATACACATTTTTGGGGACTAAGTAAATGTATATGTATGATAATTGTTTGGTGCCAAAGGGTCTCTATTGCTATGTTTTAAAGGGAAACCTTGAAAAAAAGCAACGATTTGTCATTAAATTGGGATAATGATTTTTTTCCATCTAACACCAAGTACTGAATGTAATAGCCAGCATACTAACAAATGCACTGCTTTAAATATTTCAAAAGTTGGATCAAAAGAGGTTATCTATGACTTTATCAGTTGTCTCTATTGTAATCAACGCGGGGTTTCAACGGTAATGTGGGGTTTATTTTCAACATAAAAATATACGAGATAAAATCAAGGAAAATATCACTTTAAACAGATTTTTATTTTGATAAAACAGGCACAATAGATAAAAAATGTTTCAGTTTAACTAAACATTTAACATCCTCACCTCAAACGTCTCAAAAACGATATTTAAGACCTGCACTTTATGTCAATGTTAAAAAATTATCGCATTTAAGTGTGCTATTTCACTTTACAGATATTTAAGTTATTTCATTGAATAATTGTATGTTTTAAGTACAGAAAAGTTTGGTGTTATAAAAAGTCGCGCCATGTCGCTTTTTGATGTCGGCGATAATAAAGTAATTGAACATACCTTAAATTGTTAAAATGTTTCATAGGTTTACGAAAAAAAAGAGGAATATCTTCTTATACTTAAAATCAAGAAATGTTGACTCCAATAAAAATCACTTATAAGAACACAGTTGAAGATATGATCATACTTAAATGAAATACTTTATTAAAACCAGACCTAACTATCAGGACTAAGATTGTTAGAGTGGTGTCGTGTAATACATCTGCGGATGTTTCTAAACTAAACTTACTTTTTTCATGTTTGAATGTTGAATTCTGCTTAACCCGGTGCTAGGGCAAGGGCGACAACTTGCACTTTCCAATACCTTCAATGAACAGGATCAATCAATCCGAGCCCTGCCGTTTTGGGCGTTCTTTACGGATTCTGTTTTTTCTGTTTTATGTTTGTTCATTCCACCAACATCGTTGTGTACCAACGATATATATTCCGTGCATGTCAAATTATCTTGATATTGTGACGTATGTACGGAGTATAAGGAATAATTCTATTTTTAGATAATCAACATTTTTTTTTAAAACCATTATATAGCTTTTTTGATACCGCTCATCTACTTATATTACCAGAAAATCATTACCATAATGTTATAACTTATGTACGAACTCTATTAGAAGCATTGCCATTTTCAAATACATGTACCATTTTACGTATTCTGCCACTATAGCTTGTTTCATATCATATATTATCTGTATTTAAATCTTAACAATTGACTTAACATTTTTGGAATAATTTGTACGTGAAAATAAAACTTTCATCTGTTTTCACAAATAAATATGTTTCTGTGTTGATTGTAGACCTTGAACAAAAAATTACAAAAAACAAAAATTGTAATTTCTTGTTATGTTTAGGATTACGGACCCTTATGTATTAATTGATGTCATATAATTTGTAGATCTTCCTACTATTTTTAGTACAAGTTTGTCACATGACAAGGTGGTTACAAATGTGACATCATTAGTTGAGAAAATTCCAATATGGCGGCTTATATACCCGTACATTGTCAAACAATGGGCAAAGAAGGGTCCGTAATCCTAGAAAGGTGTATATAACATTAAGAATGATATAAAATAGCTGGCTATTTTTCAATGTTAACAAACCCGAATTAGATCTTTTTAGCGTTATTATCTGTTTGACATATCGATAAGTATAATGAGAAGGAAACTAGAAATTATTAATAGTCTTTAGTATTTTGTTTTGCTGTAACATTTGAAAATTTGTTTAACTACACGCCATAATGACATAGCGTATGACGTTATCCAATACGTTACGTTTCATTTTTATTTTTAGAAACAGCAGGTCTGATGGTAACGATGGTAATGAGATGCATAAAGAGAGACCAGGCAACGAATATACAATATAAATCATGTCATATTTTAAAACATAAGACATTTTTATATCATATTTTAAATTATCGAATTGCGTGTAATTGTACTAGATCTACCATAAAATATTTTTTTCAGGTTATAAAAATTCTTAATTCAGAAACATCACATTGATACAAATTATAGTTATTCATATACATTGTATATTTACATATTGCCTTTACTTCTGAAATCTAAAATTTAATTTTATTGTTCATATTTTAAAACGTTGTCATCCCTATTGTCCCTTGCTTTGGATTTTTTCATATTATTGGTAGATCTAAATCATCATTTAGATAAGCAATAAAATGCAAAAAAACGTAAACTTTCTAAATGTTAAACAAATGTTTTTTCTCCGTTTCTTATTTCCATACGTTATTCTTGGTTAAATTGACTATTAATAGGCTTACATGTTCATAAATTTGTATTTTTACAGCCTTAATTTGATTTTGTGAATGTCGTAAAAAGATTTACTAACGTTGCTATGACCTCGTGTATCACATTCTATATAATGTATCGCACATGGAATGCATGAATTTCAAAAGAACAAATCTATGTTAACAAATGAAGATATGACCGAATACAAGCTCTTAGTGTGCTATTGTTGAATAGTGAGCGTATCATGATGTTTGATTTTATAAACTTTACCTTTCACTCTTAATTTTTGTCTGGCGTATTTTAGTACGGCGGTTTTCGTATTCTGATATAGAATCTATTCGCTTAAGTTTATATGACTTTAGAGTTTAAGTATGCTCTTTACCCCCAGCGACTTTTAATATTCGCGGTAACTATGGTTGCGCAAAAGTTTATCACCGCGAAAATGCCATCCTGATGAAAAACGCGAAATATTGTTTCTGCGAATGTTTATAAGAGTACAGTAACTGTTATCTACATAATGCTTATAATAGTTAACAGTATTGTCTATTTAAATACAATTTTTTTTTGCTTTTTTTTTAAAATTCAAATACTTGTTTATTTCATCTGTCAGTATCATATGGGCGATAATGCCCCAACTAGCAAAACACGTGGTCCCATATATATGCCAGGAATTGCAAAGGATCCATATGGGGAGATTTTATATGGGTCCTATAAGGGGACAATGTCTGTCATTAGGGTAAACTATTAAATTAGAGTAAGAGTACGTTACACATCCAAAAAGTGTCCTTCAGTAACATATATTTGCAGGGTAATTATCAAAGTCAATAATTTTATCATACTTATTATGTAGTAAGATGGGACAAAGAAATAATTTCTAATTCATTTAAAACCAACAACTCACATACAAAAAAAGAAATGTGTAAATGTGGGAAGCAACTTTTGGATCTCCCTGAATGATGGTGTTTTTTTTTGTAATGAATGATACGTGTTAATATAAGAAATATTGCAGACATAATTTGAATTTATATTTGTGTCTGTGAAAAATTGCTACTCATGTACTACAATTTAGTATTTGCTTTTTTTTTCATTATTTGCTCTTTGTATATACATGAAGGTCTTCATTGTACTGTTACATAGTAGATTAGATATGACACATTTTAGAAATTCTTTAGTATCCTTTTCAGTATCTTTTTTTTTAATGTTGTATTATTGTGTATATATAAATATATTATGACTAATAAAACAATTTGAAAATACCTATTGATTTTAATTTTTTATCGACCGTTCTTATGCAGTACTTATAATTCAATTATAGTAATAATGTATGGTGGCTGATTTGGTACACTTTGCGCGTTGCGTTGTCGATAGCAACAACACAACCTATATCGTTATCGCCATGTCGTCATGTCGCTAGCGAAGCACGCCAAACGGCGCATTGTCGTGCGGCACGCTGTCGCAATGTCTTCCTATCCTTTGCTTATAAGCCTATCCTTCGTTTTGAGGCGAGCGAAAATGAGACATCGTGACAACACGCCACACGACAACGCGCCATTTGGCATGCATCATTAGCGACAGGACAACAAGACGAAAGTCCGACAACGCTTTTAACGCTATGTTTCTATATAGCGCAAATGACGTCACGTCAAAGTGTTATTACATTAGTGTAATATTGTTTTTATTAAATGGCTTTATTACACTCCTGCGCCGCAGTTTATGTGATAACTAGAATTAGACAATTCAGGGATATATGCATTGCGTAGTTGTAATAATCTGAAAGAGTACATATGTATATCTGAATATCCACATCTTACTTTGTGTTTTCAATCAGCATTTAACTTAACAATATTTATCCACCGCTTCTGTCGCCGCAGGGATTGGCGAAACCTATGACCAGCATGAATCCTATACGTTATTGAATTTTTTTCTAACATTCCTTACTTATTACATTAGATGTACATAAATATATATGATATTTCAAATTTATAGTCGAAAATCTGGTGGTAAGTGTTTTATCCGCTTACATTAATTTTTGTTTATACCCGAATATCTCTGACTAATTTTTTTTTGATATATAATTGCCTAAACCCCTGATCTGATTAGAGCTTTGTTACCCTCAATAAAGGTCATACGCAAATGATTTCCAGATGATGCTAATAAACTTGAAATAAAGACTTAAAATCAATTAAGGACCAATTAGGATTTAACACCATATTAATGCTTTGTAAAAAAACTAATTAGGAGTTACAAAAATCAAGTAAAGCTGTTATTCTCCATATTAGGCTTTGAATGACTCATTCGGACAAAAAGACGTACTATCAAAGTCTAAATTTAGATTTTGTTTCTAAAATGGAAATAAAGTTAGGAAGATTTTACTTCTCAACTCATAATAAGGTCAAACAAAGTCCTAATTACGAAATATTTCCCCTGATAATGCCTTAAAAATTAAATAGTAAGAGTTACAAAGTGACGAAATTAGATTAGGTAAATTTCTCTCAATTAGAATTAAAAAATCACTTACTAGTATTTCTCTACTGATATGAAAAAAAGAGTCCTGATTAGGCTTTTATAACTCCTTATTAAAACTGAAAAAAAAATTATCAAGCTTTTTAAACTACTTATTAATTAAGCATTTATAGAAAATTAAGATTTGACCCCAACAAAACTCTTTTATAATTGAAATTATTAAAAAAGTTTTTTCGACCGTGCGACCACATACACGCATCGAGGACATGTTGAAAGGTAAGTTACCGTGCGACCACATACACGCATCACAGGATTCCCCTTCTCATACGAGAACGGGACAAACAGTTGTCCGCCCCTTTTTGAAAGGGGATGACTTGTAAAATGTGCCATTTGCCTATTGATAAGGAGGCTAACTTTCGCAGATATATCTTAAATGGAAATATATACAACTACTTTTACGCAAACCAAACGGGTATCAGTTTTCGTCCTTTTAAATTCCCTATGAAATTTTTAGAAAGTTCATATCTGATTTCTTGGAAAATTTTAAGTTTCAAGTTCTTTTACTTTTCATTTTATGTATATTAGATAGAAATGTATGTTTTATTTCTGCAAAACGTGAACGTTTTAAAAACATTTTATATGCGTTAAATATGGGAGATATATTTCACACTTGCAAAAATTAGCCTGGGGTTACTGTTATTGTACACTCGTCTAACCTACCTGGAATAGAAAAGGCTGCAAACAATGTAGTTTGAACTACGGCAGCCAGCACTGCTGACACTGGTAACACGGTAAAAATTTGCAAGCTTTATCCTTAACCTGGAGAATTTGTGACATTTCAATCTTCCATTTTTTGGAACTGTCCATTACAGATCTGGCGATATCAAATTAAAATTTAAAATGTTAGTCAGTCAACAGGGTAAAGGCGCAGTGTTGGTTACAGATGACATATTTACTGACGTCAATGATGACAGCTTGCTTCAACTACAGAAATGTAAAATGGTTTGATTTATTTTAAGTAGGTTATAAGGAAACTTCCAGTGACTGGGGATCCTATCAAGTAATTTTCGAAGCGTTTCCCATTTAATTACTTTTTGTGGGTTAATATGGCAGTGACGGAAAATGGATGTTTTTTTTTTGTTCAAAATACGTTCACTGTGTGTCATTTAAGTGTTCATTCGATGCACCTATCACATCGAAAACTTTTCCATCTTATGAAAATATTACAAATGAAAGTTGGAAAGTTAATGCTACAGTTACATAGACGTATAGGCAATCAAATATAATATATAGGTAATTTAAAAATTAAGCCAAGTCCAACAATTCAGTGTGATTTTACATTAAATGGAAATATAAATGATGATATGCCTATGAACTCAACAGTGAGTGATACTACCGATAAGGTGACTTGCATAAACACATGGACATTAGTCTGTAGCCATGAAATTGAACTCATTTGCGTAATATGAATATACCGACCAAGGATTATAAGTGTGATTTACATTTGTATATTTTTTTCTACATTTTTCATACATTTTTTATTAGTTATCTTATTTCTCATTTTTGTAATGGTAAAATTAATTTTATTGCATTACGTTTAATTAATTTTAGATTGTATGTCTGTTTTACACGGTGAAGAATTTTCTTTGACATTTCATCGTAATTCTGGTAATAAAGATTATTTCGCTAACAGATGTAAATGCATTATTTCTTCATAAACTCACCGGAATGCATATATGCATACACATTAGATAATTTTATGCGCGCAATTCTCGTTCACTCAACTAACACTTTATATAAAATGCAGTGAAAAAAATCATTATTATCGGGAAATCTTTATATAACTTAATTCTTAGATAATATTACAAACCTACTTATGTATTGCAATTCATTTATGATGTAGAATTAGAGAAGAACTATATGAATAACAACAACAACAACAAAAATAACAAGAAAAAATACTATAAATAACAACAACAACAAAAATAACAAGAAAAATCAATCAATCAAACAAACAAACAAACAAACAAACACAGACAACTTGTGAAACTCGAGCTCGTGACAAAATGTTTGATAACATTCAACCCCTAAAACTTTACAAAGATCACCATCCAGATAGTTACCAATTATTTGGAAATCTACCGTAACGTCATTTGTTCCTTTTCAGGCAATGGTTATCAACATTTTTTCAACATATAAAATGTTACGTAACAGTCACATAATCATAGACAAGCAGTATAAACTAATCATCAATGTCATAATAATGTAAATTCGATTAAAATTTGAAGACGTCTTTATGCTGCATATGGTTACATGGCACAAACTACAAAATCAAATATTTTTGCGAGTCCAAATTTTCTCGAATCGACCATTTCCTTAAATCTATGTTAAATATTTGCAAAAAATCTACTTTTATTTCTGTAAAATATACATGAAATATAATTAACAAAAAATTTCTGATTTTACACAACACTTCTGTCGCTAAAACTCATCATATAACTCATAATAACACTTTTCAATTTTTTTTTTCTGTCTCTCTGACATGCATATTTCATCGAAGAAGATGAGGCGTATTAGTGCACATGCCTTAAACGGTTAAACCGGACGGTCCTTCATGATCATTTTCACATTTCTTTGACGATGTCAGACTATTTTGTATTCGGTAGATAGAAGAGCGCCATAGTTTTCGGAAGCTGAATCATCCTTTATAGACACAGGATTTGGAAAAAGTTTTCTGTAATGGTGCACGATCTTGTAATCCACTGATGACTAGTATTTTCTTGAGCATAATTTGGCAATTATACAAATCTTTGTTTATTCTCATTTCTCTTTTGTAGCCTATATGGTCTATTCCAATGCCAGTTGTCATTAGATTAGATGTTTTAGTATGATTGTGTCTAGTATAAGCTTTACTAAGATGTTGGTTTGTTTATTAGCATTCTCCCCTTTCCCCTTTCCCCTTTGATTTTTAGCATGATGTTTGTTTTTCCAATGCAACTAATTTATGTTAAGTAAATGCAAAAAGTCATCCCATTTGAACTACACTGCCAATCTGCATACATCTCATCTCACCCCCCCCCCCTTGAATGTAAAGGATGGCAGCCATCTTGGTATCCATCTTGGATATTTACGCTTTGGATCTCAGGCTAACTTAACAACACTACTTTTCCAAAAAATCATTGTATGTTCTGGTTTTACAGAAACAGCACATTCATTTTACAGTTTTGAGGGACTATTTTTGTATGTTTGATATTTAGCTTTGATTATATGAGAACATTTGTTTACTTTGCTAGCATATTCGCTGCTGCTTTATAGTCTATCTTTTTTAATATTAAAAATGATGTGATTTTACACATGCTTTCTAAAATTCAGTTTACAGATGTGAATAAAGTTGCGTTTTGGATAATCTTCGCCCAAACAAGTGTAATAAAGCTGTTTTGTTACATTACACCAACAGACAGCATATGGACAATTCAGATTTTCCAACACGATCTCTCCTTTAGAGCAGTCTTCTGCTATCTCTTCTATTATATTTCTGTCCCACACGCACACCAAGACAGTACCATCATCTGACAGAGACATTCCTCTAAGGTCACTTCCACAACTATAGCAACCAATCACCTCGCCATTCAAGTTTAATTTTGTTACTGTGTTATTTTCCGTATCAGCTACATAGAAATAATTCTCATTACAAACAACATACCGTGGTTCAATACAGATATGTTTTAAATCTAAGTCTTTCAGAATGATATCTTTTGTATTAAATGTCTGGAGTTTTGCAGGGTTAACGAATGAAACAACTTTAATACCTTTATGGCAGCTTATACCATAACATCGTCCATCAACAGGCAAAGTTTGCTTCTTTATCAATGTGCTTGATGAGATTGATAGAAATTGTATTTCTTTTTTCTCAGGAAGTGTGACAGCAAGTTCAGTTTTGGATATTGCGGTGACATCCCAGGGTTTATCATCTAGTTGTAGTTGATGAGAAACGATCTGTTTCTTGATATCCACCATCTTTACAGCATTATTTTTGTGGTCAGCAATAATAAGAATATCGGGGTTAAGAAGAGTCATCCCTGATATCCAGCATGGTTTCTTATCTTTTGATGTCTTCACGCATATTTCTTCTTGTTTTAAAGATTTTTGTGTTATCGCACCCAGTGACATATCTTGCTTTAACTGCTTAAGTATGGACTCGTTGGCCTCAAAGTTGTGCTCTTTGATATCATATGTTGCAAGCTGTTTTGTTTTTTTCTGAAGATATTTCAACATTTGTTTTGCCAGTTTAACTTCCATAAATAGTTTATCAGCTAATTTTGATGTGTTGAGTTGTTTGATTTTATCTAACACTATCTCCAAAGATTTTGGTGTATCTTTGTCTACTTCTTCCAAACATTTGATGTTGTTTTGTTCTATGACATTTGCTGCATCTTCAGTTTCTCTCTCCAATTCATCTAGTCTTTGGTTAATTTCTTGACGATACTTTTTGATTGCTATTAATGCATCTTTTAATGAGTTGATTGATTTGTACGCCATTGTCTCGACACTTTCTACTGTTGTTTTATATAGGTCAAGAGTTGTATTGGCTGTTATCAAAATGTCTTGATATTCTTTACTGTCTATTATATTACTAGAAATGTTGGTTATATTGTCGACTTTGCAGGAAGAAGGTTCAAGAGTAACACAGACACTGCAAAGCAAGATTTCATGATCGTGGCAGTAGAACTTGATCATTTCGTTTTTATGTTTAGGACACGGTGTGTTTAAGAGATCAGACTGGTCTGTATGTTTGGATGTTGAGGGTTGCTGCATTGATTTAGGCATACGTGTAGCATCCAGTAGAGTATGCTGTTTGGAAAGGTTCTGTTTGTTATGACCTGTAAAACAGTTTTTGCATAGATGCTTCATACAATCTGTGCAGTAACCATGGGCAGGATGTCTGGTTCCCTCCTCCTCTTCACAAGGTTGGCAGTGAACTTGTTGATCTTTATATGAAGCCATGGTTACTGTTTGTGATGAAAATTATCTTTCAATTTTATTTCCTGAAAACTGCAAAGCTTCACCTAAAATCTGATATAAACAGGGGTCGATTTAATGAACGTATATCATTGTTCTTATGTTTATACATCTACATCTAACTCAACTTTGTCTACCATTAGTCACTGGTGTACGTTGTTGACTTTGAATCATTTGCTCAACGCCTTTTTCGATTATGATGCCGGTTGGTGATTACTATGAAACATCTTCCAAGAATAATCCTGATAAATAGAAATGTGTTACTTTTTGAAAATTTAGATTTGAAACACACTTGGTTGAAAGATAAACATAGGCAAACTGCAAGTGATTAACTAAAGTATTTCCATGTCCCGTTATGATGTAATGAGCCGATATCACCTACATTATTTGCAAACTAACATCAATCCTAACATTTGGCTCATTGTGAAAAATAGACACACCAGGTTCACCTCCTTCACTGCTATTATACTTAATCTTTGGGGTAAATATGATCATACTTGAACATTGTATTTTTTAAATAAGCAATAATTTTACATGCTCTTCTTTATCGGTAAAGTAATTTTGTGTTACAGTTGTTAAGAGATTTGGAATTTTTTAATACAGTGCTGTAACATTTAGTACATAATACCTTCAATATAAAACACGGCGGCGTTAGACTGTCAGGAATAGCGATGGAACCTGAATTTAATGACCAGTCCAAAAGTCATGACACAAAATAATCATTTTCAAATTTTATATCCTCTGTAATGACATGAATTGAAGGAAGGCAATGATTTGACTTTTTTGCGCTTGAGGGACCTGCATGTTTATGAAATACACTTACGGTTTTAACGTTAAGTGCGAACAGGTAAGAGTTAAGAAGGAAGATCCTTTGTTCATACTCCTTTGACAAAAAAAAAGATAATTAGCTGTAAAATGAACCTCTCCATTCCAACAAAGAGTTAAAGAAAACTTTATGATAAAAGTTGTCGACACTATTTATAAAATACGACTTAACCAAACTTTCTATATATAATATTGAGTGAATTATTTGTAATTTAGATATTTTTATATGTAATAGCTAAACTGTATTTTACCTTAAAAAATCCTTAAACCATTCCACGAACTTCAATTCTTCCTTATGGTTTGTTTGTTTAATATGTTTGTTATCACTGCTGAAGACATGTACTTTGATAAGGCATTGATTAATTACGAATGTTTAGTTATATTTTTAGATTTATAGATAAGAGAATTAACTTTCACCGAATACAACAGATATTGAGTGTTTGAACTGAAACAGTTAAAGCTGCATGCCACCAGATGAGCCAAAATATGTTTTGAGACAAACAACCTTGATAAATTGTACTAAGGTTTTATAAAAAGTAAAGATATGTACCATTCAAATGATAATTTACATATAACATTCCAATGATGGCTGAGTTTGTAGTATTTGTTACCATACTCCGACTGCGTGACTAACGCAGTAAGGACTGATTTTGCATTTTTTGGAAGTTTTCATAGATTTTAAGGGTCGTTTGGAATGTGTCAATTACTATCTTTATCGACTTGACACTATTTTACTTTTAAATACATTTTAAAATACTGTTCATAAAAATAAGCATGAATCTGAAGACATGCTACTTTTAGAGTAATTTTCTTGCTCGGGGAACTTCGCTTAACCAGTGAGAGGACTTAAACCACGGTATTGTTGGTATCGGAGTATATGTCATACCGTGACATGTAGTAGTAGAGTGTTGAACAAAGCAGTTGTAATCTGTATGAGCCATAAGACTTTTAATTCAATACACCTTTTTTTTAGATTAGAGTTGACATCATATTTAGTATTTTAGCATTAAGCCAGTTTTATGCAGATTCAAGTTCAAAACAAATAATATATATCTTCCCCTCTTGTTACTTTGCAACCTGATTAATGTTCACTATTTAATGTCACCATAAATAAAAAATACTGTGTTGTTGTACTATTACACTAAATAAAAAAATATTTTGAATACAGTGAACTCTGCTTATAAGCACCATTAGCATGTGTCATAATAAGTAATTTATACATTATCTTAAGTCTGGAAAGTTGTCAAACGTTCGACAAATATTAATTTGGAGGAGATTTTATGTATCTTGATCTTCTTTTACCTATATCTTAACAATGTCATTAACAAGGAAAGTGTTGATTGAAGTTATTCTAACTAGAGTTTTTACTCTTAACCAGATCTCAATGAAGGCCCCCTTGTGACTTAGGGGTTGCCTTAAAAAATTAAGACATGAGAATTGCTGCCACCGTTTATCCCTGCGTGATCGTAAGAGCCGACTAAATGGTTCGGATAAATGGAGTCTATGCATTTCTTTGCTCCAGTAGGTGAGGTGGTTTTGACCACTGGTGTTGAAACACCCAAGATTACCTAAAATGATCTTTCCTGTTCCGCGCAATATGGCATAAATTGTGTTGGTGCGCTGTAAAATCAAACAAACAAAACAAAGCTCAATGAAGGTGACATATATAAATGGTATAAAGATATAAAATATTTTCTAAATTTGTGTTGGGATGTAACAAGGTGGAGACATGCATGTACAGTGAATACTTAGATATAATTCCAATATTTTTCAATAAATGTTATTAAAAGTTTTTAAAAACTGTTTTGGAAATTTTGTAAATTTATAAAATAGACTATTAAATGTGTACACAGTTTTGATATTCCACACTTACGTTATTGCGATAATTATAGTGTATGTGTTTGAGGAATAGATTTATGAATTTAATCTTTTCAACAAATGAATAAAAACAAGCTTTCTTTTGTCAAACTGTTTTTGTCCAATAATGAGGAATATTATAGGCCTGAGTCATTTGAACAGTTAAACGTTAGACATGCAATATCAATGATAACACGTTTTTTTTTTATCCTTTTTATGCCCCCCTTCGGCGAAGAGGGGGTATATTGTTTTGCTAATGTCGGTCTTTCGGTGTCCGTCGGTATGTCAGAATGGTTTCCACTCATTATCTTGCTTACAATTCATCGCACAATCTTCACACATTGATTGGTCATAACTAGTGAATTACCCCTATTGATTTTGTAGTTACTAGGTCAAAGGTCAAGGTCACAGAGGCCTTGAATGGTGATATGATTTCTGCTTATTAACTTGGTTACTATGTATCACAAAGTCTCATATTTCACATATTGATTAGTTATAACTAGTAGATGACCCCTATTGATTTTGGGTCACTAGGTCAAAGGCCAAGATCATATATGGTTTCCGCTGATTATCTTAAAAACCATTTATCACAAAGTCTTCATATTTCACATATTGCTTGGTGATAAATAGTAGATGACCCATCTGGATTTTGAAGTCACTAGATTAAAGGTCAAGGTCACAGGGACCTTAAATGTCAGAATGGTTTCCACAGATTATCTTGAAAAGTGTTCATTATAAAGTCTTCATATTTCAAATAATGATTGGTCATAACTAGTAGATGGTCCCTATTGATTTTGGGCTCACTAGGTCAAAAGTCAAGGTCACAGGGGCCTTAAATGTCAAAATGATTTCCACTTATTATCTTGGTTATTATTTATCACAAAGTCTTCTTATTTCAAATGACCCCTATTGGTTTTAGGGTCACTAGGTCAAAGGTCAAGGTCACAGGGGCCTTAAATGTCAGAATGGTTTCCGCTTATTATCTTGAAAACCATTCATCACAAAGTCTTCATATTTCACATACTGATTGGTCATAACTAGTAAGTGACCCCTATTGATTTTGTGGTCACTAGGTCAAAGGTCAAGGTCACAGGGTTCTTGAATGTTAGTATGGTTTCCGCTCATTATCTTGAAATCTATTTATCGCAAAGTCTTCCTATTTCATAGATTGATTGGTCATAACTATAAGATGACCCCTATTGATTTTGGGTCACTAGGTCAAAGATCTAGGTCACAGGTGCCTTAAATGTCTCATTATCTTGAAAACTATTTATCACAAAGTCTTCATTATTTTTCTTTTCCCCATAATTGAACACTGCCATGTACCCATTTATGGCAAGTTTCTCTAACAAAATTACCAATAATGTGAGTCAATGGCTAGAAAGGGGGCATGTGTGTCGTTCGACATTTCTTGTTATTTTATTATTTTGTTGTTATTGTTGTATTGTTTTTTTTGATAGAAGAGAATTGCAACATTGCGCGTCACTACATTTAACATTAACTTGGTGTTAATTATCTATTGTTGACATATCTGACACACTGAGACCTGTGGAGTGTTTCATACTTAAAAAAATGCAAATGTCATGTATAAAAAATATTTAAGTTGAAGAAATAACTTATCTATTTAAACCATGGTATAGTTGAAGGTTACCCTCGCGATTTAACTGCTTAAGATTTATAAAGTTTCATTTACTTCCGTGTTACAATATTGATTGTTCAAAATAAGATAACATTAAACTCGAAAAACGTCTCAATTTTCAGCTTTAATAGTATTTTACACACTTTTATACGCCATGTAAAGTATTTGGATTAAAATCAATAGAATGAATGTAAACTATGATCAAGATATGAAAACGCTTTACGTTAGAAAGAAGGCACATTAATAACAACTTAACAAGCCGCACATCTGATAATAAATTATCATGCATTCATATAACTTATGATAAAAAAATACTATACTACTATTTTAACAATTAGGAACTATGAAGGCCTGCCCGCTTAAACTCAGTTGGTGGTGAATTTGTAACCAAGGGATTGACGCTCGGGCGAGGCGGGTTGGTTTTTTTGTGACAATTGATCTCGGACATTGACTTTGACACTGACAATGAATACTGTGGTAGGATGGAAATGCCATTTTATGATCGCTGCTACGTCGTCGTCGTCGTCATCGTCGTCATCGTCGTCGTCGTCGTGCAAGGACCGTAATGTAGTTCAGTATTCAAACATTTTAAATATTATCAACGTGAAACTTAGAATACTTCATATCATGACAAGGTGCATCTGTTAGACAAGGGATGTAATTCTGAAATCTATATTTTAATCTTTTTTCCAAATAACCTTATAATAGCATTTGTCATTTTATATATACATGAGTGACAGTCTACAGTCGGTAGATTTTCTTCTAGTCGGTGATACAAGTTGTGTTTGATCAATTTGTGCTTGACTGATGGGGAAAAGGATATTAGTTGTGTTTGATCAATTTGTGTTTGACTGATGGAGAAAAGGATATTAGTTGTGATCAAATAACGGCTTGGTATGCTATGGTCAATTTCTATCTGAATTGACCATTATATTTCGGCTTAGGAGACTAAGATCTCAGTTTAACCCTTTAAATATATTTCTTTATGCTCTATATCAATGGGAGATGATTTGTGATCATGGGATATATCCATGCCTAGGTATATTGGTCGAAGTTAACCGGTACCGTTTCTAAAGGATATGATTAGATAAAATATTGTGATACCTTTTTGTGACTCACTTGACATACGTAGATTATTTTGCATATGGATGAGTTGAACTATATGTCCTTATTTCAACTGTGTCATTATTCAAATCATACTATAATCTGGTATCTGAATCCCTTTAGAAGGTTTCGAACTGACATGGGTTTGACATGATGTCAAAAATAGGTAGTAGTTATATCTTTAGCAAAAAGACAAATATTTGATTTTATCTCTATGTGAAAAAGATAATCTTACTAGCTTAGGAATGTTTCGAATGAATAGTGACGCAGGAAGTAAACGTGAAAAAAGAATTGACAAATGCAAATATTCAAGAAGAGTTGAAGAGTTTTGCGGCCATTTTGACACCATCTTGGATGTTCAAACTTCGCATCGTCAGTTATCCAAATCAATATCGATTCCAGTAACAACACATCTGTGCACATAAAAGTTCCTTTTGGTAGATATAGACCAATTCGGTGTCCTCTTTAAAATGTGTCATTTTTTGTTGCTTTTTTCTGGTAGAACATTTACTACCAACTGGCTTGCTTGATTTATAAAGATTGTAAAAAGTGTGTTCCGACATACAACGGGTCAGGGGGTCATAATTTTGTTAGCAACATAATATTAGAGCTTTTTTTAAAAAAAATATCCCATTAACATACACCCACGTTCCAGATCTAGTGACTTCATTTTAGAAACGAGGAAGCGACCTTGAGAAACATAAAAATCATCGCAGATATTTAAGCTATTTAACAAGATGAATCTATGTTTAAGCAATAAGCACACTGGTTATGAGCCTCACATATAGTTTTTATGTCATATTCTGGGGATTTTAGTTTTAACTAGCGAAGTTTGTGCAGCTGGTTTTAGTTAACGCTGCAATTTCCAACATTCGGGCGGGTTTAATTACATGTGAGCCGCGTCACGACAAAACCAACATAATAGGTTTGCGACCAGCATGGATCCAGACAAGCCTGGCTTCCGCGCAGTCTGATCAGGATCCATGCTGTTCGCTTACAAACCCTATAGCAAGCAGAGAAACTGATAGCGAACAGCATGGATCCTGATCAGACTGCGCGGATGCGCAGGCTGGTCTGGATCCATGCCGGTCGCAAACGCACTATGTTGTTTTTGTCATGACGCGGCTCATGTATTAACACTAGAAGTTTCTCACGCTCCGTACGCGAAGCTCAGTTTAGGGGATTCTTCCACCATGATGTCATTATTCACGGAAGTTCTTTCTGAAACACGACATTTGTATATTTTCCTTAAAGTGACATAAAACGTGCCATGCACGTGTAAATTGCGAGTGCACCGGTTAAAGTCAAAATAACTTAAATACATTTTGCCTACAGGTGCTAGTCGCATTGATTCGACTTAAATATTTAATCTTGTATTTCATGTATTATAATATGCATTTATTAAAAAAAATAGAAAAATAATTCTGATTTTTTGTTATAAAGATAAAACTAAAAATCAATTTGTTTCTATTTTTCTTTTTCAATATATGCATATTATATTACATGAATAACAAAATTTAAATAATATATTTTAGGTGAAATCAATGCGACTGGCATCTTTGATACTATGCGTTATTTAGCAAAAACTATTCAATAATACCGCGGGCCTCATAGACATTTCTATTAATGTTGCGATAACGTTTAAAAAAAAGGGAGGGGGACAGTCATTTATTATTTAGGAAAGTTTAACATTTATCCTAAATATTTTTCATTATCAATTATTAGTCATTACCAATATAAAAGTCAAATCTCTTAAAAAAGATATAACCACAATTCAAGTCAAATTAAAAAAAGAAAAAAATAGTATAATGTCACTTTAATAAAAAGAAAAAAAGAAAAATAAATGCCGTTGTTTAAAGGCGTTATGCTAAGGTTACATAATGATATATAGCAGAATGGAATACTGCATTATAGAATTTATGTAAACTTCGCACGTTCTTAGTATAATATTGTGATAACTGAAGCATTTTAAGCAATAAAATTCTGGGTCACCGACCTCGTTTTTTAAGTTACAATCTTCCCTTGCTTTTGAAGATTAGATCATATATATAATTATTCACAATCAAGGATATCAATTGCTTATATCAGCATATCATGTAGCTGACTTATTTTTTTAGTGTTTCTGTAAAATTTACAGAACATGTAGCAAGTATTTTGTGTATTTTGTTTCGTTATTGAAAGATATGCCATTTATAAATGACCTATTCTTAAAGATTTTCAGTCTCCGTACATAAAATGATTGAAAGGAACAGAAATGTAAAAGAATTCCATCAAATTTTGTATTTTAGACTTAACAAATGATAAAAATGGAGAAAGAATAAACATATTAAACCAGTAGTAAAAAAGTTTGTAAAACTTATGTATAAGTTATCTGCAATAAAAAAGACCTAAAATGACAACAACAACAAGAACAAAAATCAAATTCAAGGACAGATAATTTGAAAATGAGGTCGATGATCACCAATATGTTTCGCGTAAAATGTTTCTGTTGTCATACTCAAAGATCGTGCAACGTTAAAATAAATTCTGCTATGTAGTTTTCAGTCTGCTATGCATCTAAATGCAACCCTAGCGTACGCCTACAAATCACATGACATTTTGCATATTAGCGTTCATTAACTTAAATGTGTTTGCATAGCATGTATAGTTAGTTATGCGACGCTTAGATTATTATCACATTTTATCATATTTGATTGGGTAGTTTAAATATTACCCCATAAACGTGTTATCTTGTCCGTATTACTGCACTATTTTTACTTCTTAAAAAAGAAATTCAAAAAGAAAAATGGCGGATATCAGTATTATAATATCAAAAGTTTTTCTTCTAAACTTGTGCATTTTTCTTCATTCTGCTAGAGGTAAGTGCTGACAAACATATTTTTATGTTGATTTTTTTTTTAAATCGTAATTTTTGTTTAAGATTGCGTATAATAAACACACCTACGTTGTTATGAATAGTTTTTTTGTTCATTTTGTTTGCATAGTTAAATCACATTTTTATTTAAAAATTCCGTTTTTATTAAATCAATATCTTAAACATTTGTATCCATTTTACTCACAAAATTTATGAAATAAGTAGTGAGATAGCAAATCAAATTACTTTAAAAGTAAAACTTGAATTTTATTGATAGATTTGCCATCCATTGTCACCAAGTACCGCGCGTAAAATCAATTATTATATTTACCGCGTAAAATAATTAACAATGAACTACGGTGTTCCGTTGGGGCCATCGCCTATAGATAAAGTATGCATTGAATTTAGAAGTCTTCAGTGCCTGCAGAATTTATATTTATTGCATGAGGCTAGAAGTATATGCTAACCAGTTTATTAACGATTGATTTAAAATATCTCTATACACTAAATTATCATACGTGCTCGGCTTTCTCCTATGAATTATCATGCTTTCCTTGCTTTCTTCTCAAAATAATCATACTTTCTAAAACATCATAATTGTGTCGCTTTGTCCTCTAGAATATCATGTTTTCTTTGTTTTGTCATAGATATTATCATGATTGCATGACCTCATGTTTATAATTATCATTCTTGCATTGATAAATGCTTTAGTTAATCATTCTTTATGTACCTCACAAATTATCAAAAATTGCATTCATTATCTTCTTAATTATTAAACTCCTTTAGGATTATCATACTTGTATTAATTAATGCTTTAGTTAATAATACTTTCTTTATTGATCTCACAAATTATCAAAATTGCATATCATTATCTTTTAATGTTCATAATTATGTATTTGTTTTATTCTTTTAATTATGTTACATGTATTAATTTATCCTTTGGTCAATCATACTTTCTTTGGGTTTTTTTTCACCATAAATCTTCTTAATTATTATTTGCATGGCGTTATCGTATGAATGATCATACTTGCATTGATTTATTATTTCGGTGAATTAAATCATACTTTCGTTGTTTATCTTTCAAATATTCATACTGCATGGTCGTACCCTCTTAATAATAATACGTGCATGTCTTTTTCATATTTATTATCATACTTGCGTTGCTTAATTATATTAGTTATGAAACTTGCAAAGCTTGTATCCTCCATCTGAATTATCATTCTTTGACTGTCACATAAATAATTATAAATGAATGGCTGAATCCTATCAATTAATTCATCAGTAAATAACTTGTGCAAGGCTTAATCCTATGATTTATCATACTTGCATGGCAGAGCCACGTTACCACTGTAAACAGTTACCATCGAGCTAGATATTCCGGTTTGTACCGGCAGCCGGTGTAAGATTCTTATATTGGCATGGTATTAACCTATGGATTATCTTGCTGGAATGACATAGTCCTTATGGATTATACGTGCACATCGGCTCGGGTTATATATGCAAGCAACCGTTAAAATAGAACCATGTGATCTGTCAAAAAATCTTTATAGCTAATAATATATCTTGATTTAGTAGGGCTATGATACATTTTGAAATGGACCATAACAAAGATTTCGGTGCGAAACGTTTGAATATTACTCCCTTGACATAAAAAGAACATACATAGCTTTGTTTATTGGATAATGTATGTCGATTTGATTTGACATAAATCTATTGGGTAATGCAACTTGGTAGTTACATAATCCGAAGGTTAAAAGTAAAATGGTTTGATAGAATTATTGTATTAATACATATACATGCGCCCTTTAAAGGTTTTAAAGAACTTGATCAATTTTCGGTGCATGATTTGTACATAGTTGTGGCTTTTACAATCGTCAACTTATTAAAATTGTTGAGTTATATAGCAAATTAAGCTTAAAAAGTTAAGAGCCAAGAGTTATCATTAATATATTCCTCTTCAAACATTGAAAAAAAGATAAATGTCTAAAGTCAACATGTAGCTCATATTACAAGTGTTATAGCGAGATAATTATATCAGTTTGCGTGGCTGTATGTCTGGATTTATACCGTTCAATCCACTTAATGAATGTCCTTGAGGTTTTTTGTTTTTGTTCCCAGAATTCACGCAACAAGATTACATTGCATCGAGTGAGTCATATATTGAGAGCATGTGCTTGAAATTTGAATCTTATTCATGTATGCACTTAAACGTAGGTTATTATGTAAATAAGATAATAATAAACTATTTGTGTACGCGCCGAAGCGCGACGCCCCTTATAGAATGAGAAAGGGCGACAGCAATTCGTCGGTCATAATAGCCGATCATTCCGATTGGTATGAGGATGTTTGATTATCAAAAATGAAATGTCGCGAACAATGAATAGCGAACTGGAGAATTTCGCTATGCAAACATATTCAATTGAAATTACCTTATCCGTCAATTAATCGCGCTCTTCGGGTTTTTTTGTATTAATCATTTTGTAGTATACACAGTGGGTTGTTGTGTATTGCTGTACCTATAAATAGAATGATGACATTAACAATGTGAAAGTCCGAAAATCTATTTATAGAAGTAGTTTTAGTTTAACGAAACGGTCATTCGTGTCGTGCTATGGTTATAAATAACGAACTTGAGAATTTTGCAGGAAATGAAATTTGAAAAATGAAACATATTCAATCAACTAATTGCACTTTGGATATTATAGACCTGTATACTTTGGATATTAAAGATATTGAAAGAATATCAAGTTCCTGTGGAAAAAAATAATATTCTTATCTCTAGCATGCCTACCAAAGTTCATGATGAACAATGTCTTTCGTCCGCCCATTCATAAATATTATACAATGCTGGTAAAAACCAGTTAACCATTGAAACTGTCTACTAGTTCATCTTCACTTGCCGCATTTCTTGCATGGACGCCCTTTGATGCTTTGAATCAATGCTTTTGTTGTTAATGTTATATGTAATAAAGATTTTATGGACTAAAGGTTATATGTAATAAAGGTTATTGTCTTGGCTTTGCCAGTGTCACCTACTGATGAAAGTGAATTCAGAAATATACTCATTTTCATTTTAAAAGAAGGTTTATAAATTATCGATATTTAGCGCTCATCGAGATTAGGTTTTTGGGCCTTTTATATGTATTACGGTAAACAAACGATATATTTATTCCGTAGATCATAAACAATTAAAGAAATACAGTATAACCCCACTAATGAGACCGCTTATGGTTCTGGAGGAAAATGGTCTTTATAGTAGGGTGGTCTGAAATGTAACTCCAAGGGGACCCATTCTAGTAAACGATCCGTGCTACTTGCTATACTTTTATTGCCGCCGCCCGCCCACCCGTTCTTGACGAGTATGGTCCTATTCGCTTTTAAGGAAATATACTGACACACTAACATATTTCTTTCATACAGGCATTTTGGAAGTTTTTTTTCTTTTAAAAAATTCAAAGAATAAATGTGCAATAAATATATAGCTTTATACACTTTAAATGTGCTCAGGATGGATCTATAGAAACGTGAAAGAAGCCCACATTATATTAGAAAAACAGAAAACATCACTGTGCAGGAGTGTTCTTTTTTTCTTTTCTTAACAGTACAGAATTTTTATCAACATATTTAACACTATTTAACACTTTTGCATTTCAGTTTTTACGCGTTATGTGATATCAACGAAATTGAAGACGAATTTCATTTTATACTTAACCCTTTACCTCATATATACGCGAAACAACGCACTTTCGACCCCCCCCCCTTTTTTTAGGTCTTAAATAGTGAAAAAATGTCCTATTGGGGCCCCAAACACATGATTTCATTTGAAAAATTTTGCTTAAAAAAGTGAGCATTTTTTTCGGCGCCGCCCCCCATCCAAAAGATACATCAGGGGGTTGCCAGAAGGGGGTTGTGCCCCCTTCTGTTTGGGGGGTTTGAAGGGGGGCGGAGTCCCCCTCATCGCCAAGAAAATTTTGGACTTGTGAGAGGCTAAAAATGACCACAGGTCGATCATAAGGTAACGTGTAACCAACGCTGAAAAGCATTTGACTCTATCTCAATCCCTTGAGAAGTTGCAGCACTTTGAAATAAATTTTGATGGAAAAAATCGAGACAAAATAGTGATTTTTGGCAATTTTGAGATGTCCCCTCGTTGCCATGGTAACAGGAAATTTAAGACTGAGCATGTCGTTACAAAGGCAATGGTTCAGTCAACATTTGTGCCAAGTTTGATTAGTATTGAAGCATTTTTCATAGTTTCATAGCAGTTTGAACTTGTAACAGGAGGCTTTTCAGTGAAAACTGCTATTTTTCACAATATGCTCATGGGGGAAAGGGTAAACTCAAAATTATAAATGTTACAAAACAACAATTTTTCACCAAAATTAGTTGAAAGACTACATATTAACATGGAGTTTTTCATCATTTTTTGTTAACCCTTTACCTCATATATACGCGAAACAACGCACTTTCGACGCCCCCCCCCCTTTTTTTAGGTCTAAAATAGTGAAAAAATGTCCTATTGGGGCCCCAAACACATGATTTCGTTTGAGAAATGTTGCTAAGAAAGTGAGCATTTTTTTCGGCGCCGTCCCCCATCCAAAAGATATTTCAGGGGGTTGCCAGAAGGGGGATGTGACCCCTTCTGTTTAGGGGGTTTGAAGGGGGACGGAGTCTCCCTCATCGCCAAGAAAATTTTGGACTTGTGAGAGGCTAAAAATGACCCCAGGTCGATCATAAGGTAACGTGTAACCAACGCTGAAAAGCATTTGACTCTATCTCAATCCCTTGAGAAGTTGCAGCACTTTGAAATAAATTTTGATGGAAAAAATCGAGACAAAATAGTGATTTTTGGCAATTTTGAGATGTCCCCTCGTTGCCATGGTAACAGGAAATTTAAGACTGAGCATGTCGTTACAAAGGCAATGGTCCAGTCAACATTTGTGCCAAGTTTGATTAGTATTGAAGCATTTTTCATAGTTTCATAGCAGTTTGAACTTGTAACAGGAGGCTTTTCAGTGAAAACGGCCATTTTTCACAATATGCTCATGGGGGAAAGGGTTAAATTTAAAGCGTAAATAGAATTGCGAAAAGATTTGTATAAATTGAATACATTAATCTATTGAATACATGTTTATTTTAGGAGCGTCTTCTAGTTTATCATCGAATCAACAGGACTTGAAGTTGAGAGACGATGGAGGCCGGGTAGAAAGATCTACAGGGTGTTCTAATGACGGTAAATCCATAGATTACGTGCATGCATAGTTATTCTGTCTATTCACGAACTCAAAGAAACAATATCTAGGATAAGACTTAAAACAAAAAGCTGTTTAAAGATGAGATAAGTCTTTGTCACCAGAATAGAGCCTGCCAGGCCCGCATAACCGTGCAGCGTGACCAAGCTCTTTACTGTTGGTGACTAAGTCAGTCTGAGATCGATTTGACTTCCTGTAAAATTTACAGAAGTGAATATTAGAAGGATTTATATTGGTCATTTTAAAATTGCTATCTGAAATCCGGGAATCTCATTGGCTATTCTAAAATTAGAGTAATAATCTAAACGATCTTTCTGACACGTTCAAATTATAAAAAAAAAATCTAAAGGAGTATCGGAAGCACAGTTTCTTGTAAAATTCCTCAGATATTTGAGATCCAGAAAAAAACATGTGCATACCGAAAGACACCATGCAAATAAAAGCAGTTTCATCTCATCCGGGTATGTTTTTAAAGACAGAAGCTACTTCTTGTTGTACTTTAACATTGAAATCCCTTAATATTTACAACTTTGAAGAAGTGAAAACCTGTGAAAAATTATTCTGCAGGTGTATGTTTAACTGTGCTATTACTTTATTTATAATTTCTTCATAATAATAATTATTCGCATTAAATTATATTATACGATAAAATCTTGATCGCAAAATGTAAAGAACACTATGATTCTTTTTTATTCTGTTTCATTTTAAACTGCAGTTATTACACATTTAATGTTTGTAATCAAGTAGAAGGTCTTACGCTTTATTAATTTTTTATCTTTGAAGGACAAGTCACAAAAACCGGTGAAATACAATATTTTAAACAAATATGAAAAACTAAGTTAACGATGTCGCCTTGATAAGATAAAACACTTGTTTTTAAAAAAATGGCTAGATAAACATGACCTGTCCCATTTAACAGACACTGCGTCAATCTCATTGAAGTACAATCATTTTAGCAGTCGCAACTTTTTGGCTCTTTCCGTAAAATCTTCGGATAAGATAATAGCCTTGCCACGTAAGCCCATTTAGGCACCCATGCCTCGTGGAAAGTGACTTTAATACGGTGTTTCGTTTGAACAATTAGTCTGTACCTGCGATGCACGGTGGTACGATGGTGAAAACTTTAACCATGACTTTTTCAGGACAACATATTTCAGATCATTTCATTTCAGAATTCAACTAGAAATGTGTCCATAGGACACGGATGCCCCCACACGCCACTGTTCTGTCAATCTTATGACTCTAGGTCAAATATTTTTTGGACTACATGTGCCACAAGTTGAAAACTAAAAATCAACAAAGGGCCATAATTCTGTTAAATTTGGTCGCAGCAAAAATGCCTTCCTTTACTACCATCTACACATTAAGATTGTTCATCCCTGGAAGTTTAAGCAAAATCTGCCATCCGGTTTAAGAGGAGTTGCGTTCACAAAATTTCTACATAGTATATAGTGAAAAAATCAACAAAGGGCCATAATTCTGTTAAATTTGGTCGCAGCAAAAAGTCCATCCTTTACTACCATCTACACATTAAGGTTGTTCATCCCTGGAAGTTTAAGCAAAATCTGCCATCCGGTTTAAGAGGAGTTGCGTTCACAAAATTTCTACATAGTATATAGTGAAAAAAAATCAACAAAGGGCCATAATTCTGTTAAATTTGGTTGCAGCAAAAATTCCTTCCTTTACTTCCATCTACACATTAAGGTTGTTCATCCCTGGAAGTTTAAGTAAAATCTGCCATCCGGTTTAAGAGGAGTTGCGTTCACAAGATTTCGGGACGTACGGACAGACGGACGGACGGACACTCGGACGGACACTCGGACGGACAAGTGCAACGCTATATGCTCCCACTCTGTGGGGGCATAATAAGTAAATGAAAACAATCTAAAATGATTCACTACTAAACTGTACCAAGAACGTGTTCACAGTTCAAACTGTTATGATGCAAAATGGCCGCGACGCACTTGATTCAAAATGGCCGCGACGCACTTGATGCAAAATGGCCGCGATGCACTTGATGCAAAATGGCCGCGATGCACTAGATGCAAAATGGCCGCGACGCACTTGTTGCAAAATGGCCACGATGCACTTGATGCAAAATGGCCACGACGCACTTGATGCAAAATGGCCACGATGCACTTGATGCAAAATGGCCGCGACGAACTTGAACCGAGAAAAGAATATGCTATGATATGTAATAAGTACAGTAAAGGTTACTCTATGCAAAATAATTAAAGGCACATTATGCCATTGAATCGGTTTTTGTTTTCTTTCTTTAGAAAAGACAAAGATGGTTTTATTACATTTAAAGGCACAATATGCCTCAGAAATCATAATTTCTTAATACTTTAGAAATGTCAAACATGTGTTTAATAGTTTTAAATAATTGAATTGGAGGATGCTAGATGTTTAACAACTAAGGTATTAAGAAATATTGATTTCTGGGGCATAATGCGCCTTTTACAGATCGCTGAAAATTAAAAGTATCTGAGAAATGAAATAAAATCATTTTTGGGACTTATTGGGCCTTTCATGTTTTATTTCTATCAGTTGGATTAGTTAAGTGCAATGAGTTTTATTTCTACCAAATATTTATCAAACATCTAGAAATTATTTAATGGTTGTACTGTGCCTTCTGCACACGTCCGTCCTTTTAAATATTCGTTAACTTATTTGAAATATCTAAAATCCAATTCATTCATTTAACACCAACTGTATTACATTTTTTACACATGTCAAATACTTGTATTATGGACCCGTTATGTATATCACCAAGTGTATATTCTTTTCAGCAAAACAACTTAAAGCAGTTCCAAATCATGCGGATATGTACGGAGGACGAATTGTTGATCTTTCTGGTCCATGTTTCGCGACAGACAAACAGGCATATTGCCAGTTCAAAAACGTATGTTAACGTTTTGCTTTGTTGCAATTGTCTCTGCTGCTGCTGCAGTTACCGCTGGTGCTGTAGTTACCGTTGCTGTTGTATTTACCACTGCTGCTGCTGCAGTTATCCCTGCAGCTGCCATTACCGTTGCTGCTGTAGTTAACATTGCCGATGTAATTACTGTTGCTGCTGTAGTTATCATTGCTGATGTAGTTACCGTTGCTGATGTGGTTACCGTTACTGTAGCAGTTACCGTTGCTGCTGTAGTTACCGCTGCTGCTGTAGTTACCTTTGCTGTGCCATTATCGTTGCTGCTGTAGTAAACATTGCTGATGTAATTACCATTTCTCCTGTAGTAATCATTTCTGATGTAGTTACCGGTGCTGCTGAAGTTACCGCTGCAGCTTTATGTACCGTTGCAGCTTTATGTACCGTTGCTGCGGTAGTTACCATTGCTGCTGTAGTTATCATTGCTGCTGTAGTTACCGTTGCTGCTGTAGTTACCATTGCTGTTTTAGTCTTTAGTTACCACTGCAGCTTTATGTTCCGCTGGTGCTGTAGTTACCATTGCTGCTGTAGTTACCATTGCTGCTGTAGTTACCATTGCTGCTGTAGTTACCGTTGCTGCTGTAGTTACCATTGCTGCTTTAGTCTTTAGTTACCACTGCAGCTTTATGTTCCGCTGGTGCTGTAGTTACCATTGCTGCTGTAGTTACCATTGCTGCCGTAGTTACTATTGCTACTGTATAGTTACTGATGCTTCTGTTGTTAACCTTCATGTTGTAGTTACCGTTCCTACTGTTGTTACCGTTGCTGCTGTAGTTACAATTGGTGCTGAAGTAACCGTTGCTGCTGCAGTTACTGTTGCTGCTGTAGTTACCGTTGCTAATATAGTTACCGTTCCTACTGTAGTTACCGTTGTTGCTGTAGTTACATTTGCTGCAGTAGTTACCATTGATTCTGTAGTTACCGTTGTTGCTGTAGTTACATTTGCTGCAGTAGTTACCGTTGATTCTGTAGTTACCGTTGTTGCTGTAGTTACATTTGCTGCAGTAGTTACCGTTGATTCTGTAGTTACCGTTGTTGCCGTAGTTACCGTTGCTGCTTTAGTAAACGTTGCTGCTGAAGTTACTGTTGTTGCTGTAGTTACCGTGCCTACTGTAGTTATCGTTGCTGCTACGTTGCTGCTGCTGTAGTTACTGTTGCTGCTGCTGTTACCGTTACTACTGTCGTTACCGTTGCTGCTGGCGATTCAAAAAATAGTCCTCATCATACATAAATGTTAATTTTAATTTTCTTCTGAATTGACTTATTAGAAAACGAGAAATAGGATGTATAGTAACATCTCTTTTATAAATGTACATGTTACAAAATACTTGCAAGTGGTAGTAATTGCCAGTGAAATATAAATATTTTGCTCTATTACATACCCTCTGCAGCTTTTGCGTTCTTTTCAGCCAAATGACGGCGTAGTCCTGGCGAATCAGAAAGCTGTAGATATAAGCAGAACACGTGTCCGGTGTGTGGTGCCTAGACTTCTAGTACGTGACCGCGTGATTTTAAGTGTTTCAACGGACAATGGGAAAACCTACCCATACAGTACTAACTTCACTATTGGTAAGAGATGAATTTATATTCAAATTCAGACTTTGTCTGTGTATCACCATAACAAGATTGAAATAGAATTACAGACACAATGTGCTACTGTTGTAAGATTTGCCATTTATTTAAAGGGACTACTGCGGGGTTTTTTTATATGACGGGATTGGAAATATTTTTTCGAGATGAATTTTCCATGTGATGTAGGTATAGACCAATAACTTATTAGAAAAATTTCGAAACTTCGCTCTCTTCGTTTTTTCCTAAATAATTATTGGAATTGTGAAAAATGACCGTACACGAAAAGCTCAAAAACACGGTTTTTAATATTTCTTAAATATCTTTTGCATATCTTACTATTTTAAGTGTCCAGGCTAAGTTATAAAATTCGTTTATTGTTGTTGTTTTTTTTATGTTTTTTTTTTTTTTTTTTTTTTTTTTTTTTGGGGGGGGGGATATTTTAGGCTTTATTTACAATGATCATGAAAGACACATTATGGGTCAGAAATGAATAAATATTAACTTCTTTAGAAAGGTCAAATATGAGTTTTATAACGTTTATATAACGTTTAAGAGCACGGTAGATGCTTGTTACCCGAAGACAATATCGCTAAATGTAAAAATAATATATAATTAAGTGAGTTCACATATATTGGACCCACTGGGAGCAGTGTTATTGACTATCTTATTGTTTCTGACGATGTTATACAGTTTATTACTTCATTTCAAATTGGAACACGTACTGAATCACATCATTTTCCTGTAAGTTTTGAATTAAGATCTAATATTGGTGTTAATGACAGGGCTACAGAAGTTAGTTTGAAACAAAATGAACCTAGGGTAAATTACAATTTTAATGAGGAAAATACTCAATATTATCGTGATCAATTACTTATGAATTACGATTTATTAGTTAATATATGTAGTAGAATATGTGACACAGAAATAGACATTGAACAAATTGTAAAATCTTTTAATGATTTTCTTTTCGAATGTGCTAGTTGTTGTATAAGAAAAACTAAATTGTACCATTCATTGTTAAAACAACCAAAATGGTTTGATAAATACTGTACTGAGTTAAAATATCAGAAAAATAGATGTTTAAGAAATTGTAGGAGGAATAAAACTGAAGTATTATTAAATGAATTTAAACTTTCTAGGAAAAGATTTAAGAATATATGTGAACAAAAAAAACAGGAATATAATGAAAATCAGTTAAATGAGTTGATCGAAAAATGTAAAAATCCCAAAGCTTTTTGGAGAAAGGTTAAATCTATGAGTTCAAATAGAGAAAATGTTCAAAATAATATAACTACAGATGCATGGAAAATCTATTTTGAAAACTTATTTAATGGTGATTGTGAAACCATTCTAGGTGATAATGACAGTATTAATGACGCTTCTATTGATAATGATACAGAAGATTCCATTTTTAATGCAGAAATTACTGATGAAGAAATTTTGTATGCCGTTAAATCATTAAGACGTGGGAAAAGCCCAGGGGAGGATAATATTATTCCTGAATTTTTCATAACAGGAGTTGATATTCTTTTACCTTTTTTGAATAAAATTTTTAACCAGTTATATGATACTGGTAAATTTCCAATCTCATGGGGAAAATCAGTTATTGTAACTATCCATAAAAAGGGGGATTACAATACACCAAGTAATTATAGAGGTATATCACTTCAAAATGTATTAGGAAAAATTTATACTTGTATCTTAACTAAAAGAATAACATTTTATGTAAACATATTTGATAAAATAAGAGAGCCTCAAGCAGGGTTTCGTGAGGGCTATTCTACGACAGATAATGCTTTTGTTCTTCAAGCTATTGTAAATAAACAACTGTCAAAAAAGGGTGGTAAACTGTATGTGGCCTTTGTGGATTTTATGAAGTGTTTTGATTTAATAAACAGAAATAAGCTTTGGGAAATATGTCGACAGAACGGTTTTAAAGGGAAGTTGTATTCAGCAATGGTTAGTTTATATAGTTCTGTACAAGCTTGTGTTAGAACAAATAATGGTTTAACAGAGTATTTTGACTGTCATATAGGCTTAAAACAGGGTTGCTTAGCTTCCCCAATACTTTTTGTCATTTTTATTAATGAATTTGTAAAGGAAATAGAAAATTGTCAGCTAAAAGGTATTCAGTTGTTTCCAGATGTTACAGAAATATTGACATTATTATTTGCAGATGATTTAGCTCTGACTTCAGACACTGTTAATGGACTCCAGAAATTGCTTGATTTGTTAAAACAATTTTGTGATCAACACTTTGTCAAGGTTAACCCTAGCAAAAACTAAGGTTATGGTTTTTAAAAAAGGGGGGAAACTAAGTATGCATAAAAAGTGGTTTTTTTGATGATAACAGATTAGAAACTGTTTCAAAGTTTTCATATGTTGGCAACACTTTCACAAGCAAATTGTCTTTTCCTTATATGGCACAGGACCAAAGTATCAACGCTAAACGAGTTCTTATATCTATTCTAAACAATTCGTACGAGTATGGGCAACTTCCAAAACATGTATTTGTCGATATATTTGATACAAAAATCAGTCCAATTTTGTAACAGTATATGGGAGCGAGATTTGGGGTGCTAGTTCATTGAATCCATTTAAAATTATGCATGTAAATGATATATGTGCCTTAGTCAAAAAACAATTAATATAGCTATTTTGGGGGATTGTGGCAGATATCCAATGTTTATTACAACTGCTAAAAGAGTTATTAAATATTGGTGTAAAATCATAAAAATGGATGAACAAAGATATGTAAAAAAAGCATACAATATGATGAAATGTTTTGATAACTATGGACAAAATAATTGGGTTACATATGTTAAAAATTTACTTATGAGAAATGGATTTGGCATATTTGGTTTGATCAGAGTGTACCTAATGAAAAGTTATTCCTTCATCAATTTACTCTTAGACTTAAGGATCAGTATCTTCAACTTTGGCATTCTGATGTGGGAAATAGTTCTAAACTGTCATTGTATGCAAATTATAAGTTAACTTTTGAACATGAAATATATCTGGATTGTGTAACAATTAAAAAATTTAGAAATGCATTGGGTAAATTAAGGACCTCTTCACATGACTTAGAAATAGAAAGAGGGAGGTATTCTAACACTGAAAGAAATCAAAGAATATGCAAACTTTGTAATACTGAAATTGAAACTGAATTTCATTTTGTTTTAAAATGTCCCAGATTAACCTCTTTTAGAGAGAAATATATCCCATCTAAATTCTATCAGTCCCCCAATATTAATAAGTTCAATATTTTGATGTCATCGAAAAATGTAGATATTATAATGAGATTGGCTGTGTTTGCATATTGTGCTTTTCAAGAACGTAAAATGTTGCTAAATGATATTGTTTAAATATGTAATTATTTATGTATCTACACATTCTGGTTGGTAAATACTATACATATATGTTAAAAAAGTTATTTCTGTCACTTTATATACATTTATATTAGTAGTTATAAATTGTAATTGATCTATATAGTACACTGGCACTACATCATGTCATGCTTGTAATGTATATGTTTTGTTGATATGGGCCGGAGGCCAAAATCAAATAAATCTTTTGTCATTGTCATTGTCATTGTCATTGTAAAAGTACAATGTACAATGTAAGCAAAATAGTATTTTGGCTTCCATATAAAATGCTACACCATTATTAATCTACTAATTGACAAAAACAACGGATGAAAAAAAAACAGTCAAGTTATACGCCTATGAGTAACTTGTTGAAAAAACTAAAAAAGAATACCAAAAATAAAAATACTTAATGTCAAAAGTGTCATGTCCCGCTCTATTTTATTGTAGCAGAAGAGTACCAACTACATATAGCGTATTCTATTTCAGTTTTTCCGGGAAGAATGCCACCCTTAGTAACGACCAAAGGGCTCTGGCGCTTTACCAATGCAACTGTTCTAAGTCTTGAATGGGATAACAAATTGCTCACAAACGACAAAAATTCTTTGGTTGACATACGACTCATTGGTTTCAAAGAGAATGATGGAAAAGTATAATTACACCATAATTGAGTTCAAATGCAACTCATCCGTACACTTTACAAGTTTCATCCCATTTTCACCCAATAAAATTACCGATTTTATGATTTTGTAATACTTTAATCAGAGGTCACATGATGCTACTTATCTAACAATAACTCCTGACAGAATAGCGAACAGTGCAGATAATAATCAGACGGCATGGGTGTGCCGGATGGTATTGGTTTGCACTGACACATAAATACATTCAGTTGCAGCTAGAATGGCTAGAGAAAGCATTAAAATAATCAAAGATGCTATTCGTTTTCTCGTTTGCAATGCTTTTATCAAATCTTCTTTTTTCTTTAATTTTCGATACTTTCTTTATAAATCTACAAGGTGCATATTTATTTTAAATACTTTTATACACTAGGTATATAAGCACACACGCACACACAGCGAGGCGATAACTAATGCCCTCTTTTGAATTTATGTTAATGAAAGTACATGTTGGCGTTTCATTGCAGGCAATTTACAAACCTTTGATCACGCTTGGTAAAGATGTACTGGCGTCAACTGGTCGGTATGAATTTGAGGTCAGTAACTACCAATGCAGTGGACAAGACTGTTTCGAGTATGAGGTCGGATTGGTGGAGGTGAAACTACAAGACAAGTTCACGCCTACCAAGAACAAGTATTTGATACTTATTATGTTTTGTATGTGTATTGTCTTAAGATGCTCGTAGTATGAAAAAAGATGACGTTTAAACTGAAGAATGTCAAACACTGTAAAATAATTAGCGTGGCATACTGATTTAATTCGTTGAGTCTAGTTGATTTTTAGCTCGACTGACCACGAAGTGGTCAAGGTGAGGTATAGTGATGGGGCTATGTTCGTCGTCCGTCGTCGTGCGTCGTTCGTCGTGTTAACAGTCTAGCAGTCCAAGTTTAGATTGGATCATCATCAAACTTTTTCAGAATGTTTGTCTCAATGAAATACAGATCGAATTCGAAGATAGGTTATCTCGGGTCAAAAACTAAGTCACAGGAGCTAAAAATAGAAAAAGCTTGTTAACACTCTAGTGGCTGCAGTTTTGATCCAAATATCCTGCAAATTTGTCAGGAAGGTTCTTTGATGATTTCTAGGTCAAGTTCGAAGATGGGTCATCTCCGGTCAAAAACTAGGTCACAGGAGCTAAAAATAGAAAAGCTTGTTAACACTCTGGTGGCTGTAGTGTTGATCAAAATGTTCTGGAAATTTGTCACGAAGGTTATTTTGATGATTTCTAGGTCAAGTTCGAAGATGGGTCATCTCCGGTCAAAAACTAGGTCACAGCAGCTAAAAATAGAAATAGCTTGTTAACACTCTAGTGGCTACAGTTTTGATCCATATATTCTGGAAATTTGTCAGGAAGGTTGCTTTGATGATTTCTAGGCCAAGTTTGAATATGAGTCATTTTCGGTAAAAAAAACTAGGTCACAGGACCTAAAAATAGAAAAATCTTGATAACACTCTAGTGGCTGCAGTTTTGATCCAAATGTTCTGGAAATTGGTCAGGAAGGTTTTTTTGATGATTTCTAAGTCAAGTTTGAATATGGGTCGTCCCCGGTCAAAATCTAGGTCACATTGCCCAATTATGGAAACACCTTTTTAACACACTAGGGGGGTCATATTTTTTACTCAATTGTCATCAAACTTGACCAGGAAGCTTGTTTAAGACATTGCTTGGATGCGGTTGATGGGTCAGGGGAGCGACCATGTACCATCAAGGCCCTTTTAATTTATTAACGGGTATTTTACTACTAAGTAGCTTTCCAGCGACAAGGTTCGAAAGCAGACGGAACGTTAGTTATTGCTGAGATATCTTCGTTGAAAGATATGGGGTCTAAGATAACGCAATTTCTTTATAAATGAACAAAACCATATATAGCAATACGTTGAATGTAGAAACCAATAGAAGCATTTCTAAGCTATTAAAACGTGTAGAACCAAAGAATCTAATCATGCCACATATCTTTTACGTTGTAGATATAGCACCGTCTGGAACTGCGCAAACCACTTCTAATACAAATAGTTTATATTTCCCCAGAAAGAAAAATAACTGGTTTTATAAAGAGTCAATGTGTGAATAAAATAACAAGAACACCAGAATGATTGAATAAGGCCGTGAATTTATTGTGCTTTTTTGGTGAAAACAAACATCATCCCCCCGTTTCAAAAAATATGAAATGAATGAGAAAAATATGAAAGACAGCTTCCCAGCTAAATTGCATGAAAGCTACATAGCAACGCAAAGTGCCTGTAAACATGATTAATAAAGCCTCTGAAAAATGCTAAAAAACTCTTGCTTGGACTTGCCGCAAAGAGGTCAACGATTAAGAATTTATAAAGCGATGATGCTTCAAGTGTGAGGGCATTTTACAAAGAGTAAAAACAAAAACAAAGTAAAAGAGGAAATCCAGGGGTCAAATTGCTTTCCGCATTAAATCCGTCTTCACCTTCAAATGAGGCATTTTACTGCCCAATGATAAATGAAAAGTCTTGAATATAATTTGACTTAGAAGAAGTTACAGTAATACTATATAAAGTCACGACTTGGATTTAAACCAACACTAATGTATCAAATTACTAGTTATGATCCAAACGTATTTAGCTTTATGGGGAAAGATATATTTTAGTATTCATGAATATGCCTCCAATAAAGTTAGGATTGGTAAACATTAAAATAAAACATTTTGATTTCCTTATTACCATGAAACTTGCACATTGTGGTCGACTTCGGCCCAGGGAAAAACCCCCCAAATAAAACCCCCAGGTGGGAAAAACAAATAGGAAAAACCTTTGTACCCGTTTGTCAATGTCATACCACAAAAAATTGTTCGGGTCGCATCCTTTTTGCAAATTCATTTAAGCATTAGAATATATAAAAAGGCACCATTTTAAATCATTTTAGCTTCAATTAATTATTGTTAATACTAATAAATAAATTTTAATAAAATTATTTTTTAAGTATCGAGTAATGTTTCCCAAATTTTACAAACTGTTTATTTCTACAACAAAAAGTTTTATTTTGTAATCAGACGTTAGAGATCCAATTATTACTTTTTGAAGTTTGTCAACACATTTTCCAAACACTAAAATTACGTGGGATAAAATGTTTTCTGAAGACTGTAATTACTGGGACATCAATTCAAGCACACGTGTCGATGGAGCGCATGGCATGGCTGAAACGGGAAGTAATGAAAAAACCGGCTGGATTAAAAGCTGAAAAATATAACCCACTCGGGCAGCCAGAACATTTTATGTAAAATTGAAATAACAAATAACACATGGGAAGGGAGGGTGGGATTTTAATAAGCGATGTTTCCACGTCAAAATTTTTAAAACTTTAAATGCGCAGCCTTTACAAAATGTACGCACGAAAAACTCGTGCTTGGTAAACTTACGAAAACCAGATTTTATCGAGAATGTTTTATTGTTACACACGGAATGGGTTTTTGAGGCAATTACACATATGCACCCGTCAAAAATTAAACGGGATTTATTCTCAAAAGAAGATTAAATCTACTTAATTTATTAACGGGTATTCTTACTACTAAGTAGCTTTCCAGCGACAAGGTTCGAAAGCAGACGGAACGTTAGTTATTGCTGAGATATCTCGTTTAAAGATAAAATGGGGTCTAAGATAAACGCAATTTCTTTATAAATGAACAAAACCATATATAGCAGATACGTATGAATGTAGAACCAATTAGTAGCATTTCTAAGCTATTAAAACGGTAGAACCAAAGATCATCATGCACATATCTTTACGTTGTAGATATAGCACCGTCTGGAACTGCGCAACTTCTAATACAAATAGTTATATTTCCCAGAAGAAAAAACATAACTGTTTTATAAAGAGTCAATTGTGAATAAAATAACAGAACACAGAATGATTGGAATAAGGCCGTGACTTTATTGTGTTTTTTGGTGAAAACAAAACATCATCGTCAAAAAATATGAAATGAATGAGAAAAAAATATGAAAGACAGCTCCCAAGCTAAATGCATTTGGAAAAGCTACATAGCAACGCAAAGTGCTGTAAACTATGATAATAAAGCTCTGAAAAATGCTAAACTCTGCTTGGACTTGCCGCAAAGAGGTCAACGATTAAGAATATAAAGCGGCGCTGGCATTTTACAAGAGTAAAAACAAAAACAAAGCCTAAAGAGAAATCGGGGCAAATTGCTCCATTAAATCTCTTATCAATGAGATATTTCTTGACCCGACAACATTTTTTATCAAATACCGAAATGCACATTTTGTGTGTTGAGGGGCCACTTTAATATTTCAGAAATGAAATTCGCCACTAATGATTTTCATAGTGAATGCAACGTATTTGCGGAAAAAGGAAAAAATGTTTAAAGATTTGCATACAGTTGATGCCTTTGGGGTTTTCCTAAGTAGTTATTTATTAATTATTTCATAAAACTCCTGGCGCTGAAAATGGTAAAATTGCTTATTGGATACCAGTCTGAATCTCGACTACCCTGAAATATGCACCAGTGAAAATGAAGGAAAAGCGAGAGAAGTACATTATCATCTATACTGAAGGAAAGGCGGAACAAGTACGAGATAAACATTTTGCATGTCAAGAAAAAAAAATCAAAAAATAAATAAATAAAAATTGCTCAAACAACCAAAGAGAAACAAAAAGGGGAGAAGGTGTGTAGTACATATTACTACAATACATATATTTTAAACGCCATCCACAAAAGAGACTGAGCTGAGCATCGGACCGGAAAGACAGGGGGACTTACATGTCTGTTTCAACAAAGCCGTGTGTTAGAGATATGTAGCAAAGACAACGCGGCGAAAGCGATATGTACGGACCTACACGTACATATCAAAAATGCTGCTCCTTCAACTTTCGACTAGCCACATTAAAGGCGTCGGCCGGCAAGTTGATTTTTTGCAACCCTGTCCAAATAAGACACAGACAAATTTATGGACATGGCTTACTGGCCGACCGCATGGTCACAGGCCCCCTCTAACGGTTAAGGGCGCACGCCCATTAACACCAATATAAGAGATAACCGCAGAACGCAAGGTGCTGTTACAAACGGTTAACCTAGGAAATGTGAGCATAACTTTATCGCGGCAATATCGTATTTTCTTTAATTTAGAAATATGCAAATGCTGTTTCAGACTTTTTTCTTTTTTTTTATGCTCACGACCGGGCATTGAATGCTATGTGACAGACTTAAATCTCAATTTCTTATGCCGCCTTTCCTTCAATACAAAATTACTAAATGAAACGATATGCATGCGTTGTAGCATGCCGATTGATGCTATGCAGTCGCACAATACAGCATATGTTTGGGGACAATTATCTCTGGAAAAAAAAATTGCTTGGTAGAACCATTGACCTTTTCAAATAAAACGGTTTTGGTCATCAAAATACATAGGCTGTAAGACGATCAAACGGAAAATAAAATGAAGTAACTTAGATAAAGAGACTATTAGCTAAAGATTTCTAAAGGGAAACAAACAAAACTTGACAAACACAACGTAGCACTTTAAATCAGGTCACTTCCCGCAAAACGTGGAAAACTGAGGTGCCTTTAAACAGACCAAAGACACTGCAAACAAGGTCGTCGGTTCGAATCCTTTATCTTTTATATACATATATTGAAGGAAGTAGAAGTTTCAATTTCTTATATATATATATTTTTTTTTTTTTTTATTTTTTATTTTTTTTTAAAGCTGCATGCCTCCAGATGAGTCAAAATATTTCAATAAAATCTAACTTGAGAATTATGTACTATGATTTTAGGACAAGTAGAATGATTCAAGATTCAAGTAATATTTTACATGTAATGTGCGATTAATGACTGATTTTCCAATATTTACAACTACATTTCTACTGCGTTACATGTTCTAATGCAGTAAGGACTATTTATGCATATTTTGACAACTTTTTGGTGATTTGCGTGGGTTGTAGATGCTATTGATAATGTGCAAATTGCTTCCTTTTGGTTATTTCGCAATATTATACATTCAAATGCATTTTTAAAAAAGAATCATGAAAATTAGCGTGAATTTGGAGGCGCGCTGCTTTAATATCAAGAATTGTCAAAAGAACTTCACAATGTGCCGTTTTTATTGTTTTTATAAAGTTTCTACAACTGTAAAATTTTAGGTTGCCAGGCTATTCTTTATGAATATGCATTTTTCCTTTATCTTTTATGTAACTTTAAAATGACTTCAAAATTAACTATGAGTCGACAAACTTCTACAACACTAAGTTCAGGCCACTGGGCCGTCAACTTCACGCCGCCAGGCCGCTGAGCCGCTACTAGGCCACTGGGCCGCTAGGCTGCCAACTTCAGACTCAATTACTATACATCTCGTGCATGAAAGAAATATTTCTACTTGATAATCTATCCAACAAATCAAGTTAATATTAAAGATCAATGCAAGTAATTACCTACTACATGAATAGCGTGAATTAAGGAGTCATTTCCCATCAGCACATTGAACCATGCCATGCCGCTATCCATCAGCCCATAACATCAACCGGTTCCTTCCTTGATATACCTTTGCTCTGGAAGTATTACAGCACGATTCGAGTTTTCACGTGTTCGTCTATATGTCTATAGACATAGCTGCACACACCAGTCTGTATCAGTAATATTATCTGAAAGACGAATTGGTGAACACTTGAAACCAGCTGTGTTGAACCTTTGAAGCATTTCAAATACCGACAGCAGTTTTAATAAGCGATGTTTCCACGTCAAATTTTAAACTTTAAATGCGCAGCCTTTACAATGTACGCACGAAAAACTCGTGCTTGGTTAACTTACGAAAACCAGTTTTATCGGAATGTTTTACCGTTTCACACGGATGGGTTTTGAGGCAATTACACATATGCACCCGTCAAAAATTAAACGGGATTTATTTCTCAAAAGAAGATAAATCTACTTGTTTTTAATTTTGAACGGTAGTGGTTTTTGAATTTCTCTGATGGTTTATATGTTTGGTAAAAGATCTCTTACGATAACTTCGAAATAGTAAGACCATTATAATAAAGAAAAGAATACAGCTGGAGGTTCTGAACTCAATCGGGATTATTGTCGCATCGGGATTGTGTCTTATCATCACTTCTTGCACGATAACAAGGTTATCACATGCATATAGTAATAAACTTTGATTTATTTATTTTTACAGGTTTTTGTCAACAAATCGTGTACCACTCGGTTGGTTTGTCAGAAATGTAATGAAAGCAAAATACGGCTCTGATTGGCCCTCTGATTTGTGTATGAAATGGCATAAAAGCGCTTCTCGGGACATGAACTGGTTTGGCGAGATACTTAAATGTCCATGTTCGCTGGCTCAGGCAATCGCAGACTTTGGAAGGTGGCAGCCTGATACCGGATGCAATCTACAAAGGGCGGCCATTTGTAAATACCACCATGCTGCCGTGCATTGTGTGCGTTCCGTGCAGCCAGTGTAAGTTTAAGTACTTTTTAGCGTTCTTGTCTATTTTGTTGTAGTTAATGTAATCCGTTTTTTCATGTAAAAAGCGTGTCTACATCTTGTTTATGAGTGTGACATGTAAAAAAAGTTTAAGTGGGTTATCAAATGACATCTGAAAGTGCTTGATGATTTTTGAAGTGGTTATGATTAATTCATAAGGAAAGTCCTCGAGAAATTAATTTTTATCAAGTGTAGTATCTTTCAAGCTGAGAGCCATTCACGTGTAAGTTATGTTTTAATGACTCGCCCATGGAAATTTTCTTATGTACTTGAACTTTCTTAAAGCTTTTACCTTAAGTATTAGATCTACTTGCAGTGAATGACAAATAAAATGTACTTACAAAAATATTTTTTTATCAGACAAACATGGTATAAAAATATTCTACAATACTTTAAGTACTATTTCAAGGCGATTTCTATTTTATATTGCAAGGTTCATTGTGTCCCCACGTTAGGGGGCAATCAGATTTACCCTAGTCCGTTCGTCCGTCCGTTCTCATGTTGTATCGCATTTACGTAAGAGTGCTTGAGCTAATGCCAACAAACTTTACAGAAATGTTGATCAGCATGTGAAGTTGAGCACCTAGGGTTTCACGTGTGGATTAAAATTAAAAATTGTATTAAGTTTGTAGAGTTATTGCCCTTGACTTAGTAAAAACTTGCTTTTCAATCTGTGTCTATAAAAGTATTTGACCTAGGGTCATGACACATTACAGAAATGTTAATAAGCATGTGAAACCGTGCACCTTGGGTTTCAATGTTGATTTTTTTATTATTTGTAGCGTTATTGACTTGACTTAGTTAACATTTGCCCAAAACATATTTGACCAAATCATGAAACTTTACAAAAAATGTTCGTCAGCATGTGTAGTTGTGCACCTGGGGATTCGCTTGCAGATTTATTTAATATTTGTAGAGTTATTTTTCTTGACTTAGTAAATATTTTCAACTTAAAAAAATAAAGTATTTGACCTTGAGTCAGGAAAGATTACTGGACTGTTGGTCAGCATGTGTAGTGGTTGGTAAAAATTAGTACGTCAACATTTGAAAAATGAATGCTGTTTTATGCCCCAACCACATTGTGGTATGGGGGTCATATGGAATTTACTTTGTTTGGTCCCTGTGTCTTACTGTCATGTTGTACGTCAGTAGACAGTGAGGTGTGAAGACAATTGTGTTCTATGGACACATTTCTAGTTTATACTTCACATGATACTGTTTAGTTTTTGCTCGCAGGACTATTTCCTCTTGCTTAAAAATCGTTCCGCAATGTGGCATAAGGTCACGTCAAACTGCTATGTTCAGCATTCTCTACAATGCCAAGAGCTTTGATATTTTGGAAAATCTATATTTAAAAAAAAATGTTTTAGATATTATTATGCAGTTTGAGTCTAAAATGACAACCTCTTATGACCAAATCACTGACATTTTCGTTGTAAAAACGTGACCTTTTCTAGCAATGCATTTCAGGTGAGCTTAAAGAACTATCATGACCCTTTTTTTTTACAGAAATTTTTTTATTTGTTCTGATTTACTTAAATGGCACGGGACTATATTGTTGCGCGTATGTATAGATATAATTGTTGTTCTAAAATATTTGCAAGGCATGATAAGAAGACGATCTGTCTTCAAAAACTGTTTTAATGTTTACCGATGTGTTGTTGCTCTGAAAATTTTAAATGTTAAAAATGAAGTAGCTTCACTTATTTGTACAACAATGCTGATTTCCTGAGCTAAATGGCTTCAAGAAGAAGTGATATAATGCGTGCTTTGGTCAACGAACAATATATTTAAGACTTTGTTTTTATCAAAGCATGCTATTATTTTAGCAATGCTAACCAAAATTTATTTGATATGACATAGCTTCAGATCCAAACCAAATAAAAAAGCTTTCATTTTGTATTAAAGAAATGGAGCCGGTAACCAGTGTTGTTACAGCGCTAAAGGATATCTTGTGTTCGCGGCAGACACATATTTTGGAAGTACAGCTGACAAAAGTCACGATTGGGGAGCTGCACCTTATGGTAAACCTGGTCATGTTCCAATTCTCTCTCATTGGGTAGACGATATAATTCCGCTATTCAGCTGTTGCCAGTGGACCGACTTCAAGTCATGTGACTATTACGTTGAGCTGAGAGGAACTACGGATTGTACGGCATATAACCCTCCCGTACCAGGTAAATATCTGCTAAATTTATACAGTTATATCCTAGCTCAAACGCTCAATGCCAAGGTCACATTTGGAGGTCAACATTGATGGCAGGTATAATTTATCATGTCCATAACTTTTCACCAATGAGTGGATTTTGAAAAAGAAAATATGGCGCAGAATTAATGCTCACCATATTATTAGTGACAAATGATTCTAACGAAAACCAATGGCATTATTATATTTATTTTAACATTATCACATATATGGCATTGCGCAGCATTCCTGGATTAAGGACGCTATTTTCCAGGATTGCTTATACATGGTGGCTAATTTGGTACAATTTTGTGCATCGTGTTGTCGCTAAACGGCGCGATGTTGCTCTGTCGTCTTGTCGCTAACGAAGTACACCAAACGGCGTGTTGTCGTCCGGGTGTTGTCGCGATATCACATTGTCGCTCGGCTCAAATCGAAGGATTTGCTATGTTAATACATAAACCAAGCGTCAGTGCGTCATCGCGCCACACGACAACACGCCGTTTGGCGTGCTTCGCTAGGACAGGACGACAAGATGACGATGAGTCAAAGCGCCGTTTGGCGTATTTCTCTAGCGACAAGACGACAAGACGAAAAGGCGATAACGATATAGGTTGTGTTGCTACCGACAACGCAACGCGCAAAGTGTACGAAATCAGCCGACATACTTATTACTGTTGAGAACAAACGTGTTCATCACATTGTAGCGCAGTTTGGTCTTTATTCGTTATTGTTTTCTTTGTAAGTTTATTTGTTTGTTTTATCGTTTTATGAAGTTTCTTTCCTATATATTATACTGCTAGTTTGTAACATAATTATGATGACGTAACAATTGTGATGTAGGTTCACTGCCATATTTATTTTATAGCGTTTGTGTACGGGCAAGGTCACATTGCAACATTTAGAGGCCAGAAGATCCGCGTCATGGCGCCAGGGGATTACATCTTGTTTAAAGCAGGGACCACAGAGGTGCAGGCGAGATTTGAGAATAATCCTCTTTCAACTGAAAGTAAGCAGTTATAACTAATATTTTGAAGTCGACAAAGAATATATGTTGTTTTATTTATAGTAATTGTATAATCAAACATTAAAACAAAAATAACCAAGATTAGCAATGGACGTTTTTGCCATTGCATTTTGATGTAAATTTAACTAAAGGGAAGTAACCGTGTGATTTTGTGAAAACAAATGGTTGATTTAATTAAAGGGAAGTTACCGTGTAAAAACAATGCTTGCTAAGTTAGAGGCTATTTCATTTTCCTTCCAGGTAAACGCACATGCAACTCATTACAAATCTTATATCTTTCTTTTTCACATAGATGGGAAGGTTATTAACAACACGTTCAAGTTGACATCTGTGGCCATAGAAAATGATGGCATATCAGATAGGGTTGAACTACGGTTGCAGAGAGAAGATACTGACAGCATTGAGGTGCTACTGAATGGAGAAATTAAAGAATTTAAGGAGAAATCTTTAAAGTGGCAAGATTTCAAAGGTAATCCTAGCTTTGTTAGTGTCAGTGACAATATGAAAATATCTTTTTAGAGATTCAGTGGTATTGATTATGCATTTTTTAAAAATTTAATTGTCATAATTATCACATATGCTATTTAAATGTATATAAAACCGTTTTTGTCATAAACTTTATAATGTATTTTACAATAAAATGTTGATTATTAACAAAACTATATACATGTATTATAAATAAAACAATGGTTTTAGTAGAACTGCTGCAACACGAGTTGCAAAGGTGGTTAACGAGCAGCCAACTAATCTTAAAGGGAAGATGACTGCCATGCAAAATGTTAAACCCATACTGTTCATGCAATTGTAAGGACATTAAATCTATGATCTTATGCGCCCATGCATTAAAAAGACTTAAGATCTCTTTCAGCAAATGATTTGGAAATATATTATATGTTAGATACTTTCCGATCTTGCAATTGAAAAGACATTTAGTCTATCTAAAATACATACAGATCATACAAAAAGAAAAGAAAGATCACTACCTACTTTCTGCGTAGCAATATCACGTTTTTCAAGCTTATAAAAATTAATTTTTTATTGATTATTTTCTTTTTTAATTGCAAGTGCATTCTACATATTTCTTTTCATTTCTCTATCATTTCAGAAATTGCAGTTATTAATACCGACTTGACCTCAAATAATGGCAATTTTACGGTGCTACTTACCAATAACATAGGGTTCCAAGTGGCAACCGTTGCTGGCACCATGCAACTAGATCTCATGATGCCTACGGACATTAATGTAATTTTTCATTACATATTATTTTAATTAATGCAGATATTTTTATTTTATTAATAAGATGCTAAATAGCTCTTAATAAGGTTATAACCAAGTTAGCAAAATCATAGATTTGCACAATATATGGTTTCTAGAATGATAGCTCATTATACGTATTTTGATCTGAGAGTCACGTCAAAATCTACCAACGTCAATAAAAATTTCTGTAATTTTAAACAACCATTATTGCACTATTGATAGCTCATTACAGTGCTTAAACCATCATCTAAAGTTTGAAGTACATTAGTAGTCATAAAACGTGATGCTACCAGGCACCTTGGATTTTTTTTTGACATACTATTTGGTTTTAAAGAAGTAATTTCATATCAATTGTTTATTGATCAACTGATTCCATATGTTCATCTTAAAACGTAAATTATTATAAGTGCAAGCACGTAATAATTCTAAATTGTCAGACACTACTTATCATAATTGTTATTTAATTGTAATGCAATTGTAATGTAATTGTAATATAATTGTAATGTAAACTCTTACCCTGCTGGAAACCAAAACTAAAACCCTTTTGACACAAGCATAGAGGAAAGCCAGAAGGGACATCCGTGCAGTCTGACCAGGCTCTGTTTTGTTGGTACATGTAGCTCAAATTTTGTACTTTCTCGTCGAAATCCCTAAAAATGAAATATAATGACTAAATATACAAAATTCAATGCAGGACAAATCGATTATAGCAACTAGGCAGGTTACGGAATAAAGCCACATAATGCTTCAGAAATCCAACTTTTTTAATTCTTCAGAAATGTCAAGCATATGTTAAATAATGTTTAAATTATAGATTAAGTGCATGTTAGATGTTTTACAACTATAGGAAGTAGTGCTTAACATGCAAAGTAGTATTTTTACTTCCATACTAATTCACTATGATTATACCAATTGCAAACAGAGCTAAAGATACAAAAGATAGTTCTGGAATACAGCAAATGAGTATATTTTTGGAAACTATAACAAGATACCTATATATAAAAGATATAGGTTTTGAAAAATAAAAATGATAAAAATGAAAAAAGGCATTTCTGAAGCATGATGGGCCTGTTTATAATGGACATGTTTTAATTCATCAATTGAAAATTATAATAAAAAAAAACATATTCAATAAATTTTTGTATATTACATTGTGACTGCAGAAAGTGACATCTGGATTATTCGGAAACATTGACGGTGGGAAAACATTGCCGAATGGTGAATCAATTGAAGATGTTAACAATTTTGAAAAAGCATGTAAGTTTTACTTGGCTCTTTTTGCACAACTTTTATTTTTGTTTAAATAAGATTACTTAAAACTGTTTAGTTTAACATGAAATGGGTCTAGGTTAGTTGTATAGAACGAGCTATGGACCATATGAAATAATTGCTGCTCTTTTGAAGAAACTGAACAATATGTGCAGATCTATCTCTTCTTTTTTTCTTTTTTATAACATGTTTGTCTTTTATTGGTTCAGGTTTTCATTATTTTTTATTTTTCAAATTTACAATTTAAGTATATTTGTTAATATATTATCAATTATAATGTGTAGTATGTATTTAATAATAAGATTTTTCTTAGAATCTGATACATACTATAGCACTTACAAAAAATTTAATTTTATAACCTCATTTTGGAAAGAATTTCTTAAATATGTATAAATTGTATCAAATTTTTGACAGAACTCCGCTTGAATGGTTTTGTTAAACTACAAATTAGCACACAAAATTATTTCTTTTGCAAGAGTAGATGACCACAACAATTTTGTGCTTTTTGTCAAAAAGAACATTTTCGTGGGTTCTTAAATTTCGTGAACCGTTAAATTTTCCAAAACGTGAAATAAAAAAAATTCCTGCAAAATAATCTTACAGCAGACAAAAATGAAATTTCGTTGGATCTTGAATTCGTGGAGACCTGTATATAAGTTCTCCACGAATAAAAATAAGTATACACATACCAAATTTTAGGAGTTCAATTATAATTAGTGTGATAAATGAAAAATTAACTGAAAAACAGTGTGGGTAATGCATTTACCAGGAGACGCTTTTACCAGGGAAGACGGATAAAAGTCTTCATCTTAGATGCGTTTACAAAACCCGAACAACGACCCCCACAGTTTTGAACATTCTTTGTTCATCTTTTCTCTAAAAAAATGTCTAAATTTCAAAAACTAAGGTACGTAATACATATCAAATATTTCATTTTATCGAATTTCAGGGAAGGTGAAAAATAACAACTTTTTTAAAGACAGTAAAACGTTTTCATCAGCAACAATTACCGACCCTAAACCATTAAGTGTAGATTCCCAGACTGTCTGTACAGTCAAAAGGCGAAAGATTTTTGATGATTGTGAATTTGATTACACGTAAGTATAATAGATTATAATAAGTTGGTCGACAACTCGCATAAAAGTGAATTGGTCTATAAAGGAAGCCATGCAAAGCAATAATTGATTATGTTCATAGTATTTAGTATTCAGACATTACATGTTGTTGGCATGTGCGCGATACATGATCCGATATTGCATAATTATATTTATATCACAGATAATAAAGTGCTCTAGAACAAAATATTATAGCTCATCACAGCAAATGTTCATAATAAATCACATAAAACTTTATCAACATTTCTTTGGTTTAAACATTTTTATGCTCCCCGAAAATTTCGGGGGAGCATATAGTCGCCGGGTTGTCCGTCCGTCTGTCCGTCCGTCAGTCAGTCTGTCTGTCAGTCCGTCCGTCCGTACGTACGTCCCGAATTCGTGCCCGGCCCATAACTTGGTTATTTGAAGTCGGATTTTACAACTATTTCACAAAAATGATCACCATATTGAGATGACGTATGACGCGCAACATTTGGGTAGATACCTTGTAGATCAAGGTCACAGCATGACCTTGCAGGAAAATCATGTTCGGCCCGTATTTTCGTTATGTGAAGTCAGTTTTTACAACGATTTCACAGAAATGATCACCATATTGAGACGACGTGTCGCGCGCAACATTTGGGTCGCTGCCTTGAAGGTCTAGGTCACAGCATGACCTTGCAGCAAAATCGTGTCCGGTCCATAACTTCATTATTTGAAGTCAGATTTTACAACTATTTCACAGAGATGATCACCATATTGAGACGACGTGTCGCGCGCAACATTAAGGTCGCTACCTTGAAGGTCAAGGTCACAGCATGACCATGCAGCAAAATCGTGTCCGGCCAATAACTTCGTTATTTGAAATCGGATTTTACAACTTTTTAAAAGAAATGATCACCTTATTGAGACAACGTGTCGCGCGCAACATTTTGGTTGCCACCTTGAAGGTCAAGATCACAGCATGACCTAGCAGCAAAATAGTGTCCGGCCCATAACTTCGTTATTTGAAGTCGGATATTAGAACTATTTCACATAAATGATCATCATATTGAGACGACGTGTCGTGCAACATATGGGTTGCTACCTTGAAGGTGAAGGTCACAGCTTGACCTTGCAGCAAAATCATGTCCAGCCCATAACTGCGTTATTTAAAGTCGGATTTTACAACTATTTCACAGAAATGATCACCATATTGAGACAATGTTTTGCGTGCAACATTTGGTTATTTTACACTTTGAACTTTGTATGTGACATAACTCTGACACTACAAAACATTTCAACAAATTATTTAAGGAACAATATAATATAGTTTATGTAATTACACTTCATTGTACCTGCATTAAATTCCGTGTATATATTTACAAGAGGATAATAAATAGATAAATAATTACTACGTAAGAAATAGTTTGTAAAAGATCATAATGAGGACCTGAGCATGTGACGATGTCAAGTGTGTAAGATGTAATGCCTTTATTTAAATAATTTCTCAAGATTGGAGAAAGGGAGATAAAAAGCGTCTGTATGCATAACCTAGGACAGAATTGTTACCATAATGTAAGAACATTATTTTTCAAAACTAGAATTTAGATCTAGAATTCAGATACGTTAGAAACAGTTATCTCTGACTGCTTTCTTGTGGACCTGAACTCAACCAGAGCACAAACTGGGGCCTAGAAGCTCCAGTAAGGTCTCAACATTTCTTTTCAAGCATTATTTTGTAATATCCAAATGTTACATTACTATTGTTTATATCGATAATTGGGCCCATTGCAGACCAATCCTCTTTAAAAAGTAGATAATGTACCTGTCTGTTGTAAAACCGTTAAACTAGTTTATTTCTTGTTTTCTCTCAATGTAGACTTACTCAAAATAAAACTAAGATTCTCTCATATTTCAGACTTACGGAAAGCAAGACATGTTGTTTCTCATAGCAAACTAGTCTAAGCAAGTCTTATATGGTCTGACAGTTATGGGCAGTCTTATATTTTAAATCCAGGTTCTTATATTGTGCAACCGTCATTTCAAACAGATTTAAAACAAGTCAAACCAATTGCTGCTTTTGAAAAATATTAATAATGTTTGTCTCTTAAATGAAAAAACATATTTTGTCGAATGTATAATTGCTTTTTTATCAGTCGTACTGGCTCACAAGCGATCGCAGAGGCAACACAGGAAGCTGGTATCAGGCACGAGTCTCTTGTTGATAACTTAGAGCCAAGTATGTTGTAACTTTGTATTTACTTTTTTTTCTATCATTTACAGTAATCATTACCAGTAGGCATTTATTCGTTTCAATCTTTACAACAAGTAAACGTAATTCTAACATTATTGCTCAAATATTAACACTAATTTTATAATTTTCAAATTGTTTACCAGTATTATATATATCTTTTGTATAGAATCAAAGTAAAACGACTAGCTTTGAAATTGTCTCTTTTAGTGTGAAGAACAAGAACCAAGAACAACATACTGTTTCATAGGATTTAAATGTGCGCAAGTGATGCATTAAATATGCTGTATTCTGCATTTTTGTTCTTCAACCATTCTGATCACTTCCGGCTAATTAGTGACAATACGTGAAGAACACAAGAAGATCTGAACGTGAGTCAGATTTGTTCTTCTGCATCATGCTGATCTTGAGGTAGTCTAACTGTAATGCTTTCCCGCCAAAAAATATTTTAACATCCGCCATTATCGTAATCAATCGGCCATTTCCGGAAAGTAATTTTTCACAATCTTCTGTTTTCAATGTGTATTCAAAATATCTTTAACTGTTTGAAACCGGAATTAAGTATATAACGATAAAGGATAAGTGAATGTAAATAATATAATAATTCCCAAGATTTAAAAAAAAACGTTCCGTAAATAACCGATTCGCCACGGTATTGGCCGATGTTTGAATTTTTTGGCAGGAAAGAATTACATTAAGACCACCTTAAAGTAGGGTCAATGTGACAAGTTTGTATTTTGCTTTTTCAGTCCGGTCTTGTGGTTTACTGGATGTTCCGAGATCTAAAAAATCAAGCTATGAATACACAATTGGTACAACCACGACCGTAACTGAATGTAAGAGCGGTTCTTTATCGGGTCACACCACTTATACATGCGTCGAAACCTCGGATGGAACTCAGGCATGGTCTCCGGATGTGACAGCAAAATGTGGTATAAAAGGGTTTTTTATTGAACATAAGCAACACACCTCTTTATTTGTAGGGGCATTTGGTATTGTTATCAATGTTAAATGTTTTGTCTTATTTAATTGATTTATTTTGTCAGATATATAAATGCAATTGCCTTTAAACATCTATAGACTGACAGAAGGTATTTTTAGGACAATGTATAAATATGTGCATACACATAATGTTGTCATTACAGTTATATCGCGCTTGTACAAACGTTCCATCTGATTCCTTGGTAGGTTTAAGTTGTTCTCTGACAGTAGAAAAAATAATCTCAATACTTGTTTTGTTTTGTTATTTTGTGTTATGAAATAGTTCTTCCATATACCGTTTTTCCGCCCTTTGGTAATGCCCAATAACAACACTTTTTTATTCGCATATTGGCATCATTTTCACAAAAGACAAGAAGCAAGAATATATTTTTCGTGGCTTGTTGTCCCTTTGCTAGCCACAAAGCGACAGGAAGACCGTTGAAAAAGTTTTGTTGTCTTTTTTCTGCCAGCGACAAAGTGACAGGAAGCCAACTTGCAATGCTATTTTGTCTTGGTGTTATTTCTCGTTTAGTACGAACGCATTCTTTTACTTCGGTAGTATACACCGCTTTTCAGGGAATGGCAAGAACGTAAGATATTGATGGTTCCATGTTAACCGCCATATGAATAATCTGCGATGTTTCTTAAATAAAAAAAGATCACCACTTTCTTGTTGAAATTTGCTAGGAGCATGGACAACAACTTGCACTTCCGCTACCGTCAATGAACAGGCACGTTAAACCGAGACCATTTTCAAATCTTGCCGTTTCTGTCGTCGTTCAGGTTTCCTCACAATTGTCATGTGCCGTGTTAACGCCGTAAAATCGCCTTGTACATACAATTAGAGGTGATATAGTTCCGATCCTTCATTCATTCAGTCATTCATCATGACATTTTTGTCGTGTTTGTGATATTTTAACTATTGTTAAGTAAGATATAGTCAACATAACTCCTTTTATACTATATTATCAGCAAAGGATTTTTTCTTCTTTTTTAATTTGTCTTTTGACGTCTTGTCTGTGGTATGCATGTTTCAAACATCAAATATCCTTTAAAAAAATACCATTCTATTTAGTTTTGCCCATTGTTTTCTCGTTTAGAGCAAACACATTCTTTTACTTCGGGACCATATGCTGCTAAGTTTGGAATGGTACGAACGTATCACATTAAAGGTTCCATGATAACCGCAATATGAACAGAAAGAATGTTTCTACATTCCAGTTTTCACTATTTACATGTTAAAATGTTAATTTCTTCAAAAGCCGGTTCTGGGGGGGGGGGGGGGGGGGGGGGGTCTGGACGATAGCTCGCATTTACGACCACCGGCCATGAACAGGCTCCATCAAATAGACCTTGCAACATTTTCAATTTTTTCCGTTTCTTTAGCATTATTTATAAAGTGTTCATTTTTAAATATTGTTTTGTTGTCTTTTAGTTAGAGACAAAGAGTTAAGTATTCAGTTGACATCGCCTTGTTGGCTAACGTCAAGGAGAAAAGAAGCCGATTGACTTTAATTTTCGCTTGCGTCAGAGAGACAGACCGGATAACTAGCATTTTTGATAAAGCCAATTAACATAGTTTATTCTCGTCTTTCTGTTTCCGACAACGCAACAACAATGACTTTATATTAATAAAAAACATGGGCTGCAGTTTAGACACGCTAAAGATCTTTGTTGTCAATTTTATTTTCAGAATTGGAAATGGAAATGGAAAAGTCGTCTAACTCGTCTAACATAGGAATGATCGTTGGCATCGTGACTGCTGTTTTGGTTGTAGCAATTATAGTTATTGTGGGTGTCTTCCTTTTTGTGCGGAAAAGAAGAAATGGGTAAGATTTTAGTAAATTTTCTATTTCAAAATTTATATTTTATTGATTGGTGTTACCATACTTCACCAATTGCTTACATAAAAAATCTACAATTCTTTCATATTCATTTTATCCTCGAAGGGCAGCATATTAAAATCGCACCGTCCATCTGTCTGTCTGTACGTCCACACTTCATTCGTGTCCGGACTGTAACTTACATACATTGAGGGATTTTGAAATAGCTTGGCTCAAATGTCTACCACATTAGGATGATGTGTCACATCCAAGACCCTTGTTCCTAGGTGTTAAGTTTGCTATAAATAGCACTTCATTTCACAAGCACAATATAAAGCAATAAGTTACTTTCATTCTATTTTCTTTTTATAATACCCGAGTGCTTAAGAAACATTTTCGAGGGCATTTGTCACTTGCGTGACAGCTCTTGTTGCGTATTGCTAGATGATATGTTACAAATTTAAAATGAATTCGTCTGAAATGGTAGGTCTGTAATACTATAAATATTTATGTTGATATTGTTTAGTATCAGATATAACAACCATAGCAACCATAGCAACCAGCCACGAAATGATTATATATGGATGCTGTTGTAGATCGAATTGGAAATCAGGGCACCAATTTTCTCTTCAACTCACTAAAATGGCTGCAATAGCTATTCACCACTAGACACGCATGTTGCTTTTCAAAATTAAAGTTCAATGTCACTGTCAAAAAAGACCGCAAAAATCTCTATTTATCAGAGTGTTCTTTGTAAGCAGATTACAATTTATGTTATAGTTAATTGTTTTAAATATTATTTTTTATTTTACTTATTATCATTATTATCATTATTAAACCTTTTTACGTTTTAGAAACCGAAAAGACGGTGCTCCATATGCAACTGACGAAGCGGTCGCTATGAAACCCGAAGATGTTAAGTGACCAGCATCATAATATAGTTAATAAAATAGAAAAACAAACATAGAAGAACAAATTTCAAACCAGCAAAACCAGAATTTCATACATATATCATACATAGTTTTACATTTTTATTTTTGTATTGTATTATATAATAATGAAATGCTACAGCCCGTCTCACACAGAACACACGACTTATACGGTTGGACACCCGTGTAAACCGTACATACAGTTACACTCGGGCATTCGAGTTTAAGCCGTGTATTATTTTTAACACTTTAAAAAATCTGGTACAGATGTCATGTCCGTGTATGATCGTATAAGCGACCGTACAAGACCGTAAGAGACAGAATAAGACCGTATATATAACCGTTTTTTGAAGTCCACTCCACGAGTGAGCCCAACCGTGTCAAGGTCGTATATAAATCGTATAGAATCGTTCGAGACGGTCCCCAAGTAACATCCGATTAATACCCGAAAGTCCCACAATGACGGCACGACTCGCACGAGTGCACACACGGTGTCATACCATCGTCATACGACCAATACGGTTCAAATACGAATCATGCATGGAAGACACGGTATAGAACGGGTGTACACGGTCTCTTTCGACCTCGCATGGTCTTAAACGGCCTCTACGTCATCTCGAACTGTACAACGAAAAAGCACTACCTGCTGCCACCCTCAGCTGCTAGATCTACCCAGAGTTCTTGCTGCATAACGCTAGACTACATCAACAGAAGAAGGTTCCCAAGCACAGAAGGAATACAAGAAGGGCCATCCAGGCCCGCAGACCACTTCAACCTGCTGAACCTGATTAGCTAGAGGATCCATCGGCACTACTTTAAGAGAGACCCGTTTCTTCCAGGGATTCAGACTCGGATGTCAGCTCGGTTGGATCTCCATCAAAATGGGTCAATTTAATTAAAAAACATAGTTTACACGAATGTCTAATAATTCGAGGAGAACTCGAACAAAAGTCGGCGGGACCCTATGTTAACCCTGTGAATGTCGAGTAAATCGAGTAAAAGTCGTGTTTAATCGTACCAGACCGAACTTTGAACCATACCACAATAGTTTGTAATCGTATACAAATTGTGTTCAAACCTTGCTTAACCAAGCATGTCCGTGCTTTTTTCGTACATACTCATGCTACATTCGAGTCTAACTCGTATCCACTAATCTCCAGGCACGGTGGGAGCTAAATACTGGTACCAGTCAACTCGTGTATTGCCGAGTATACCGTATGGGAAGCGTGTGCCCAATCGTGTTCTGTGTGAGACGAGCTTACACGCAAATGTTTACTATTTACAATGCAATATGAAAAAAATGCTGTGTATCAAAACAACAGTTTGCTGAAAGGTACATTATGCACCAGCAATGCTTTTAAATCTATTCTCAAAAGCTTTTCTAATTCTGGTATCGTGTTATAGTTTCCAGATTTTTACTCATTGTCCAATTACTTGGCGGCGTGGCCGAGTGGTTAACGCGTCGGACTAGTAATCTAAGGATTGCTGACCGTGGGTGGTACCAGCCGTTGATTCCTTGAGCAAGAAACTTTACATTCATTGCTAAGTACTGGTTGGTTCCAGGAACGAATTCGCGAGTGTTTCAATGAGCTTATAGCTTCCAATTCAATCGAACTAAATTAAAATTGTATACACCAATTACTTGAAACTGTTGCTTTTGTTAATTAGTATAGTTATAATGATTTTATTTTGTATGGAAGTCTACTATTCAATACTACTTTGTTTACATTTTGCTATTTTTATGACAAATAAAGTGTCTAACATGCTCTAAAATCATTATCTAAACATTTTTAAAACTCATGTTTGCCTTTTTTAAAGATGGAAAATGTATTCATTTCTGAGGGAAAATGTGCCTTTAGGATTACATGCATTTATCACAATGTTATTATCTTATATTTTACTTTAGTATATTGAATTGTATTGTATCGCTACTGATAAAATGTACAACTAAATGTATGTTGTAATGAATTAATTTTTTTTTCATAATATTTGTATTTGATGGCATGAAACATATTTACGTATAGAAGGGTATGTTGGCATTGAATGTATCACAACAAAACAGTATGTTTCTGCTAGTATAAAAGCCACATATACTCTTGCTGTTTCTTCTGCTACTTTAACGGCGGACTACAAGACTTTGATTATCATTGCGACAACTACTATCATTTCAATGTTACAACCTTAACTTTAAAAAAAAGAAACTATATTATTAATAACTGAATTAGCAAAAGATGCACTATTCTAATATTACAACTTTTACTATAAAATAAAGAAACTATATTACTAATAACCGAAGTAGCAAAAGATGCATTTTTCTTATATTACAACGTTTACTATAAAAGATAGAAACTATATTACTAATAATCGAAGTAGCAAAAGATGCACTTTTCTTATATTACAACGTTTACTATATAAGACAGAAACTATATTACTAAAAATCGAAGTAGCAAAAGATGCATTATTCTAATATTGCAACTTTTACTATAAGAATAAGAAACTATATTACTAATAACAGAAGTAGCAAAAGATGCCTTTTTCATGATAATACATGTAAACTAGTTATTCCTATTCTGTATATTAGTGTATAAACATATGATGTAAAATATCTTCAATAAAATAGCTTTGAAAATGTTGGAGGGATTTTTTTGTGATTTTTTTTTGTAAATGTATAGTCATTTTTATCTGACAACATATATATATATTAGCCGATTAGCTCTTTTAACAACTTTTCCATAGGGGTGTCCATTGTCACTTGCTCCTCACCGCCCGCCGGGGACTTTTGATTCTTTTCTGTGAGGAAGATATCCAACTTAGCTTACAGAACGTCGTAGATTCTACTGATGCGCGAATGAAAACCTGAGGTCTTCCTCCACCAGTAAATTAAAGCTAGAAAGTCGACCTTTGTTGTGAACCCAACCAAAACGCGCCGCTTCCAACTTCTTATCTAAATGTTTAATCTTCAATGTGGTGATTTTAAGACTTATTTAATTTGAAAAGAGCAAACATTATCTGTTAAAGCAACTTGTAAATATTTACTGGGGAATGTACATGATTAACCCTCAATTGACATGGGAACTGTTCGGTCTGACTGTATGTCTACCTGATTTCGATATAAACAGCATTAGCATATCATAATGAACAATGGATCAATATTAACTTTCAGACACTCGAGAGGAAATCCCTACCAAGAGCGAATGTGAATGATTAAAACAGAATCAAGAAAAATATAATATACCTTTACAGCTATAAAATATATAACTGTATACATAAATCCTGCGAATCATAAGTGTTTTACAAAAGCAAAAATTTGTTGAAATCTTAATTTTAAGAAAGAAGTCACTGTTTGGTGTAAGACAACATACACAGATTCCTGCAGTACATGTACTGATGTAATGCAATATACATTTATATCTAGAGACAGTGTCAACATTTCTTTTAGTTATCCTTGTTTCTTTTTTTTTTCTTTTTTTTTGCATTATTATTATAAATTAACATTTGTTCCATCACTACAAATCTATGTTAATATAACCATATTCCTTTTTTCGAGCATTTTTCTTGTGAGGGAGAAGTCAGATGCCTTTCGAGTATTTTTTACTGGTGCTAGGCTAGCATGGGCATTTTAGTAGCACTGTTGTCCTTCCTAGGGAAAGCATGCTTATCCTATCACGTAAATGATTAGGACCCAGATATTAAAAATTAACTTTGTCACCTGCATAGAATAAAACCAGTATAATTAAGTTCTTTTTAAGTTTTGTTTCCTTTTGAGACACAACTGTGACTTGTTCACTTCAAAGACTTTATCGGAATGCATGTTTCAAGTCGTGAAAACTATTCTATGAATAAGAAAAATATGCATGTTAACATGGCAGTCATTAGAAAATGCACTGGTATCGACTGTCTCTCCGAATGAGGACAGAGGCGTCTCGAAAATAATGAGGATGGAGGGGCTGAAGCATTATTTTCCCCTTTTTTAAAATAAATTCTACACGAGCCGGCTTTGGTGAGCATCTATATTGTTGTCGGTAAGAAACAAGCTTTGAAATCAAAACGGCGATCAAACTTCTCTTTTGATATATTTTTTACCAAACTCGCACAACTGTAGATTTTGGCTTCTTCCTTTTAACATGTTTAACATTATAACCCACTAATTAATGACCGCTTTACGGCTAATTAAGGAGCTAATAATAGGCTCTTAAATTTTATTAAATTCATCAATACAGGTTAGTTTCAGGAAACGGACTTTGGAATGGATCAAATATGCCACAAGCTTTCATAAAATAAATATGTTATAATTTAGTCAATATTTTATAATGAAGGTGACATGTTTCCTCTTGAAATCTGACCGAGGTCAATATTTTACAGGTTTTAAATAAGGTTGAGCACATAACTCAAGTTTTTGAGGCTGGGAATTTATCTGTTTTTTCAGCAGGAACAAGTACATTATGTATGCCTAAAAAAATCGTTTTTTTTTTTAAATGTCTGTATTCTATATCGTTACACCCGACTCCATTTGCTGTAACCTCAAGGTCAATGTTATTTGTGGGTCAAGGTCAAATACCTTACGCTATGTACAATGAGCCTCATTACAATTACTCCTGTTAAGTTTTATCACAATTGGTCGAGAGATTTTAGAGAATAAGCGCACACAGGTTTACATATACAGGTACCGATATTATTGGTTAATTGGCTTTTTCTTTTATTTTTACGTTGCATTTTTGCCACATAAAACAATATAAATCACCACATTTACCATCGGTTTATTTTGGGTGTCTTCCTTTTTCAATCAAGATTATTGACGGAATAAAGAAGTTTATAGACAATTAGATGTCGGCCTGGCTCTTATACAATTTTCTTGTTTGGTGGGCGTGGGGGTAAATAACAAAATCTCATTTATAACAAAAAAGTTATTCATATGTTTTACAATTGAAAATTGCCATATCTTACATATAAAAACGTGCCAAGTTATTTCCTGTGAAATGCAAAACACACACTGATATAGCATTTAAAGTTGCATACCTCCAGATGAGCCAAAATATTTCAAGAAAATAGCCTTGAAAAAAAAGTACTAAGATTTTAAGAATAGTAAAAAATATGTATGTAACTTATAGTTTTATAGGCAATAAAATTAATGACTTAATTTGCGGTATTTATCACCATATTTCTACTGCATGACAAACACAATAACGACAATATTTGCATAATTATGCTGACCTATTTTTTGTAATTTTTGTAGATTTCAAGTGCCCCTTGCAATGTGTAAAAAAATTCACTTGAATTAATAAACTTGTTTTATTAAAATAGTTCAAAATATCAGGAAAATAAACATTATTTTTCAGCATGTTACATTATAAATCAAATTTAGGCAAAAAACTACGAAAACACACTTATTAGAAATAAGATCTTTGGAAAGACAGAATTTATACAAACATCGACGGAATTCTGCTCTGCTGTCTTGTTATGTTTTATTGAATGTAAGTTGTTGTTAGGCTACTATAATACATGTAAATATGAATGAATAAACTCGCCATCATCTTAAGTTATTTGACAAGAAAGTAGTGCAGTTTTCCTAAAAGCCGTAATCAAAAATTAAACTAGCTTTTTTAAAAAGAAAGAAATACAGAAAAAAATAGTACGTGTATACGTTTTTCGTTTCTTTAAATGCGTTTTAGGTCCAATGTTTTTGAATATTTCTGGATATGAATATAATCTATATATAAACTGTGAACTAAAAGCTATATACAATATCCTAAAATAGTAGCAAAGAGTAACAAGTTTAGTTTGTTCACACTCTTCATTTTTGTTAATATATCATATCATTTTTATCGGTATCTTTTTACCCTTTGTGAGGTATACCGTCTGCTTGAGGCAGAGGATAAGTCGTGTTACATCCCCAGGACGCTTGTGGTGTGTACTGTGGAGGCACACTGGAAGGTCCGTATGCTGGCACAGAACTCATCAATGGTTGCTGACCTGAAACATTCGGAATAACATGTACCTGATGCGGTGGTACACTCATGACATGACCTTGGCTCGAGTATTGCACAGGCCGCTGCATGTTTGTAGACTCTGGTCTTTGAGGTTTCAGGTCAATCAGGAATAGAGGCAAGCATGCCAGTAAGGATATTCCTGCGGCAACAGCGCATAAGATGAAGGACGCGCCAATTTTTTCGTATGTGTCTTTTCCGTCGATTGAACCGTTTAGTTTAAACAGGGTAATAAAGTCCTGAGTGTATTCAATCGCAAAAATGATCAACCCGGTCGCAATTGAAACACCTAAAAAGATAAACAAAACACATTCAGTACAATTGAAATATAATAGTCGCATTATGCATTATGTCCATTAGTTAAGTAATTATACTTTCTTAACTTTCAGAAAAATATATTTTAGAAATGGACAACACAACCTTTTAAGTTTGTTTGTTTGTTTCATTTTACGCCTTTTCCCAACAGTATTTCAGTCATATAGGCGGGCAGTTTCCTAACCATTGTTCCTTGAGAGTTACACTAGACTACCTTCCTCCGCGCTAAACTACCAAAGCATCTCCCGGAGATCGAACCCACGCCAGAGAGGTAACTGGATTAGAAGTCATCGACTCTAACCCCTCGACCCTTGGAGGCGGTTACCTTTTTACGAAGATTTAGCAAGATTAATATATAAAACTTTAAAATAAGTTTCTTTGTTATAGTCATGATGGATATGGTGATAAGAAACCTGCGCTGTGTTGTTTGTATCTAATATTGATTTACTGAGCGTTGTTCAACATATAAGAAAATTGTTCACAGGCTTGTTAATTCGGAACACTCCGCCAATCATTCATAATCTTCTAGGAATAAATATGGAATAAAAGTAAGTTTGGATGTGTCACAAAGGTTAAATATTTATACACTGCATAGAAACAAACTCTGAGCGTAGGTTCGATGTTTTAGCATAATCCAAATAAAAATGGTCTGAAAATGTAATGAAATGATTATACATCATTTTAAGACAATACGTATAAAAACAAAATACAATCAAATAACAATATATACACAATCGCAGAATAAAAAATACAATGAATAACATAATTACTTAATATAGCGTCTGTTGAAGTAAATACTATGAAAATATTTCAAAGCAAATTGAAATAAACTGAACATCACATCAATTTAACACTAAATGTTCACTACCGGAACTTAAACATACATAGTAAAAACTAAACGCATCCGAGAGCATAATGTTTTTACTTAAACACAACTATGAAAAGCCACATCTGCCATTACTATGCAATTTCGAGGGTTTAATCTCTGTTTAATGAGTTACGAAATCTGCAGGAAGACAAATTCAATTTCGAAAATATTATAATGAAGAATATGTTTGACAACCAGAATCGATTTCAAAGCACAACCTGAATATCGTAATAAATTTCTTAATAATACCAACATATATACATATACATGTTTTTTTCGGTTTCTAAAAAAGTAATAATTAGTATATAAATAGTGTAGTTATTGGGCTGGCGCTCATATGTGTTCCTATGCATTTTAGAATATGTGTACAGAAACGCGTTATTAATATTTGGTAAAATGGCTAGGGCGATGTTCAAGCATTCACGTGTCATTATATGGACATTTTATTGAAATTTAGATCAAACATCAAATAATGCCAGTAAGCCAATTTTGTATTTTATGAAATTGAAGTTCTTCAGAAAATGTATGTGCATAGGTCATTCTAATACTAGTAACCCTTCTAATGCCATGGTTTTCACATTCTGTGGAATCTGTTTTATGTATCTATGATTATCAGACTGAGTTGTTTTACAAAGACTTTTTAACTTTTTCCGCTTTGAAGTCGGAGATAACTTGTCAATCTGTATTTTGGTGTTACGTTGATATCTTTGTCATCTAAGTCGACTATTACATAATATAACAAAGTAAAAATTGTCAACAATTTTCAGCATTACTTACTAGATCTATTTGTAGAATTTCGGAAATAAGATCAAAACTTTCAGGATACACAAGATACTACATTATTATGTCACGTGACGTGTGTGAAATGCGTACGTGCTCGCGTGTGTGTGTGCATGCGCGCACTTGCGCGTGTGTGTGACTTTTAGCACATATTAACAGGTTAATAATAGTTGATTTTTTTAAAGATTTTCTATTTAATCAAATACTGTATATTCAGGACTTACTCGAACATAAAATCAAGAAAATATTCAAATGTTTCAACGCCATTGACTGTCTGTAAAATACAAGAATCAAACAAATAATTCCAGAAGAAACCAATCCAATAAGGCCAAGTGTCTCCATGGCTTGTACTGCATGGACCCATGCTGAAAAAAACAACAGTATATTTTGAACAAAATGTTATTTCAATTTAACTGACCATGATATTTTACTTATATTCATTAATACTTCCTAATAATATTCCACTTCAACTAATAGTATTTAATTCAAAAATGTTAATGTTTATTACGTTTTTTTTTGTATTCCATATTCTTCTTTACAGAACGCTTTGTGTCTTATCCTTTATTCTTGACTGCAATATGCTATTTGTTCCAGAGGGAACAGTTTATGTTCACTTTTAGTACAGTCCGATTGTTGTAAAGTATATTCGCAAAACTTTTTAATTGTCAGTGTGTCTGGTTAGCGGAACGCAGAATTAAAATGCGAAATATCGAAATCACGACAATGCGATAATGATAATGTCTTGTCGTGGTTTCGTTATCGTATTATTGTATTGTTGTGTTTTCGTATTATCGAACTGTCGCATTAATTGTTGTCCTGTCCTATTAGTTAACCTTAATAGGTGGTTTCTGAGGGATGTTGTCTGGATGAGATAAAAACCTGGAGAAGGGGAGACTTGGATTGATTGAGAAATAATGTAAAGTTGCAACATCCCTGACGCCCCTTATCACCGGCTTAAAAGGTACATGTATTCTATCTTCAACACTTAATTGCCGCGCATTCAATTTAAACTTATGTATATTTTCTTAGTTTATAAATTTTGATAACAACTTAACTTGCTCTATTGGGTCAATGATTTTGCAATTTTTCTAAAGTTAATATTGTAAACTTTCACTTGAAGACCAGCAGATACGTTCAATCACACACAAACAAACAAAGAACTTTTTATTTCATATAATAACCAAGTGTAATTTTTTCATGTAGAAACAATAGATAAATAGACAAAAAGTATCTTTAAAAATATTCTGTCGAAGTAAAACTGGTTAACTTGTGTTAGTTCTAAGTTTTCCATGCCAAGTCAGATAGAAATGTTAGCATAGCTTGCATAACAATGACATATTATTCTTTGAAGGGTTATTAATCTTGAATAATGGAACACTTTCAGATGCATGCCCTTCTTAACAACCATGTCCTGTTTCGATAAGTGAACACCAAGATCTACGCAGTCGGTAGGCAATTATCTTTTTTATACTTGAATACTTGATTAATATGCAAAAATATATGAACATTATAAACATTATATCAATTAAACGAATCAATAATCATATAATATATTAGACATTTCTTGAACATCATTAACTAAGCGTACCTGATAAGTTCCGAAATAAAACTCGTTATTTTGGACAAAACGTGGTGCTTGTGTAAGTAAGTAAGTTATTTCGTACAATTAATTGTTCACAGTTAAAGAACTATCCTGTACATTTTGTTAAAGAACTATCCTGTACATTTTGTTTCAGAACGATTCTTTACATTTTATTTTATAATGGCAAAAGCTATCTTTTACATTTTATTTTAGAAAGGCCAATGCGATTCCCAGATTTCATTTTGTAATTTTAGAATGACCATGGAAATTCTTCTTATATTCAGTTCTTCTCTGTAAATTTTGCAGGATGTCAATAACATTACTGACCCAGTTTTCGAAAAAGCTGGTACTTCAAAGTTAGTTTCGTGATGACTTTTATATTTTCTTCTTTAAAAGTGAAATAATGTTTTCACTGTCAGGTAAAGATAAATTAGTTTTATATATTAAAAACTTGACTATTACAATATAATGGCGATTGAACTACAGTGGATCATGACGAACATTTAGGATAAGGTACTATTATAAAAAACTGCCTAAAGTATAAAAAGACTGCCCAACCCTTTTTTTGTAAGTCGAAAATGACGAATATTTAAAGATATTTATGTGGGTCACGGTGTTATTGACTACAAATGTGACGTTGCAATATGATCTACTCGGCTCTCGTTTATAGGTTTTAGTTCATATAACGGTAACGCTCCCTTGCACTTAATTTGTATATAATTCTTATATATGAAATCTATATATAACTTATAGATCACCCTGCCCCTTCCTGTACTTTTTATCCAATCATCGCCGAGAGGTTTTCAAATTTTTGGTCCACTTATCTGTATATTTTGTCAATATCTATTAACCCATTACCAGATATACACGTCATTTAACGCGTTTTTTCAACAAATGCCTTAGTAAGACCCCCAACACTTGTTATCGTTTGAGAAATGTTTAAAAAAGTGACAACTTTTTCGATGCCACCCCCTATCCAAAAGATATATTTAGGGGGTTGCCAGAAGGGGAATGTGCCCCCTTCTGTTTGGGGGTTTGAAGGGGTGGCAGCTCTCCTCATCGCCAAGAAAGTGTTGGACTTGTAAGAGGCTAAAATGACTCCAGGTCGATCATAAGGTAACGTGTAACCAACGCTGAAAAGCCTTCGACTTTATCTCAATCCATTGAGAAGTTGCAGCACTTTGAAATCAATTTTGATGGAAAAAATCAACGCAAAATAGTGATTTTTGGCAATTTTGAAATGTCGCCTCGTTTCGGTGGCAACAGGAAATTGAAAACTTAGCATGTTGTTACAAAGGCAATGGTCCAGTCAACATTTGTGCTAAGTTTGATTAGTATTGAAGCAGGTCTTTTTTACAGTTTTTTATATAGTAATTTGAATTTGTACCGGGAGACTTTTCAATGAAAACAGCCAGTTTTCACAAAATCAAATGAAAATGATCATGCAGTAACGGGTTAAGTAAAATAATTAACAAGGGGCAGTAAGTGAAGTGGTTGCACACCTTTTTTACTTAAAAATCGCCCCATGTTAAATGACACATTTATGTTGTATATGCTTAACTTCTAAAACATTTATATTCAAAATGATTTCCGACGAGGCAGAACATGTAAAATGTAAATAGAATCAATATATATTTGGTTTTATTTTTAAAAGCTGTAATGATTATCACTCATTGCTTGAACTAGTTCTGTGCGTCCAACATTTGATAAATTTAAAACTAATTGCATAAATGTATAGTTTTTATAAGCCGCTGTTCAATGTCAACTTTGCATTAAATGTATGAAGATATCCTTGTCCTTAAATAAGTGTATTTAAAATCATATCAAATTAGACATATTTACCTGGATACCCGCTTCGATCGAAGCATTTACAGTGTTCCAATCCAATATCTATACAGCCACAGTATTTCCATAATCCAACATGGTAAGACGACAGAACGCTGAGATATTTGCTAGAAGGGGACAATTTAAGAGAAGCCCATTTCGCAATCGAAAATCCAAGTACGTGCAATATAAATCCAACAAATAGCAATAGAGTACCAAGTTTTAGGCTTTTTGAAGAAATAGTAAGTCCACTGTTCCTTGCCATTATGTTGACACTGCCTGTATGCTTCGATCAAAATTAATATTCAAATCAAAATGACGCTTGAACTATGGACTGGAATTGTAAATCTTTATAATTTATATGCCTTGATGTTACGGTTAGACGAACGTTTTCCGGGTGAAAGTTTACCCAATATTTTGATTGTTTTGTTTTGTTGATTTAACAATTACATGAGAAACAATTAAATATGAAAAAAACTATTATTGTTAAAAGAGCTGGTCATAAAAATATTTCCCTTTAAACATTGTTTTGCTGTTGTTTTTTTTTGTTGTTGTTGTTTTTTTTTCAACTATTAAAGTTTAAAAAGATGAGAAATTTTTAAAGATTCTTTTTATTGGCATCAATCAGGACTGTTTGGGGAAAACTCTTGCAATAAAAAAAGATATATGAATCGCGACAAACATTTACCATTCTGGTACGATATAACGTAAATGTACAAATAGAACTGATAAATAAGGTACTGACTCACCAAACCGAGGTATGTACGAATAATCTAAACAAAGAAATATGTAACTGGCGACTTTAAAGGAGCATAGATAATTTTTTTTATAAAATTTACATTGTTAAAACATAATATTTTTTATGCATGGTAAATATTGATTTAAATTGAAACGACTTTATAATATAAATAGTAAAGTCAATACTCTGAACACATATTTACCTTAATCTTTAATTTAAGACCTTTTTACGAAAAGATATTTCGATAGAAACGGAAGTAGTTTTTCGCCGGGGAGGGCCGACCTCTAATGTTGTAAGAACTTGGGCCCAACCCGTTTGCTTTTGCTGTTTAGAATACATATGAAATTTGTATCTGTATTGTATATACATGTATATAGCAATAAAATATGATTAAACTAAGTAGTTTTTCGCGCATGCCCATTTTGCGTAGGGCAAAAAGGCAATAACGAAAGAATAGATTACATCAGTTTCCAACAACTTCCAAATTTTTTTGAAATAATCTAAATGTTTAACCAAAAGTTAGAATAGTTTAATTTGATAAATAACCAAAGCAATGGTATTTTTATGCATTTACGAATTAAGTAAGGGTCTTTCATATTTGATGCATTTGGATCAGACAATACAAGCATAGGAATCTATTTCTTGCATTTAAGTGTGCTGTAATGCATCACATGGGTATGTTTTCCTTTTAAATACTCGCTAAAGGTGTCAACGGTTTACTAGTGTCATAAATAAAGCACTGAACTTCTAATTAGATGTCGTGAATGCTAATTCTATAGTTAATATTCTCTTTCTATCCTCTTTCTTACAAGCTTGAACGTGATTGCAACTAATGTCACCCGGAAATCGGTAGTTTTGACATCACTTACCGATATGTTCGGCTTTGTCGTGTTAGACTTTCTTAAGGGATTCTTATTTTCTCTATTTTACAGCCGTAAGTACGTAAAATCGTGATTTGATAGACTATTTCATCAGAAATTAAAATTGTTACAACAGGAAGAAAATGATAAAATTTTACAATCCGTGTGTTACGTAATATAAAATTATTAAATTTATGTAATTTTTTTTTGTTGGACGCTCCATGCAATTTTATTGCAGATAAAAAAATACTTGCATATGATAACCTAAATTGACGAAATAACAACACTTTCTTTTCTCTTTATTTGGCCAAAAATTGATACTGGAAAATGTTAAGGAAAAAAACATATCTGTTTAAAATATAAAAGGACTGCCACACTATTTTATGATTTGGACTAACAGGTAAATTCCGATGGGTATTACAAAAATAATCCTTGGACCATGTGTTATTTATCGTTCATGCGAAGTGAATTATTAAACCAAAAAGAATTATTGCAAAAAGTAAACTTGTTTTGACATTAACCTGTTCACTTTTAAACCTTCAATGGGTATGTCACTTAACAATCTAGATCGTAGTCGCACATTGTGACAAATAGAGGGTAAAAAGCTGATGAAGAAAGTTCTGATACAGTGATATAGGACCAGAAAAACTCTAGCTCATAAACCGTAAAGGTGTTCAGTTTTGATTTCTAATTGAACCACAGCTCTGTGTATATGATATCCATGTATATCAATGTACATATGCTTTGAAATTATGATACGTGATGTTATACACTTTGTAATGATGATTAATGCAATGACTAACTTTTTTTTGTATTATTATTTTATTTCCTCACATAGTTCTTTGTAAACAATGGAATAAATAATTAATTCCGGTATAAAGGACGGCTTAGACAAAGAGAATTTAGTCAGTGTTAAGACAATAGAAATAATCTGTTAGTGTATGATCGAAAATAAACAGTAAATAAAGTTTCCTTTTAAAAGGAAAGGCTTGCACAGTTGTGCCTTCATCCCAACCCTTAAAAATTGGGTTTTTTTTTTAAATACGGTATTTTACATATATCATAAAGGGTTTATTTATTTGTTTTTGTGAAAACCAAATATTTTTTGTCAAAACGATTTGAAATCTATTCTCTATTAATTGTATAAAACTAATAAAGGAAATAATCAGTCGTAAAAATACTAACGTGGAGACTGAAGGGAAACAAGGGTGCACATTTCATTTCCACTTTTTCGCAGAGAAATCATTCGTTTTGGCAGTTGCCAATTTCATTTATATTGCATCTTTATGGACAAGTAAATGCACTAAAATACTTCGTTACGTACCCACTACCAATTAATAAGCATACATGTAGCCTATCAACTATGTTACACGACCACAGATACGATGCGTTAATGATATGCATAGGCTATTTTTAGATTACCTCACCAAGACGTTGAATTGCGTTCATTAGATCTAAATATAACTCGATCATGCACTAATATTCTGTGTGATTTGGTAAGCAGGACCACCCTTTGGAGACGGAATACAGTAACCATTCACTATTGTATAAAACTAATACAGACAAAAACAATTATAAAAGAAACTAACTTTTGCGTCTTGAAAAAGAATTGAAACGGAACAATTTCGTTTATAATTTATTACGGTTTAAACCGATAAATCAAGTAAAAATAGAAATCCTATTTATATAAACGAACTGGGATTACCGAAGTAACTAAAATAGCTTAGTTTTCCCACGGATATATATATGTAATATAAATCCGTGGTTTTCCGTAATATTACTTCGGTCTGATTCCGCAGTATAACGGAATCGCCCGAATCGTCACGATTGCAATCGGAACTACCTCGGTTATTATCATTAATTCGAAGAGTGGCGGAAAGGGTCGAAAAGTTGCGATTGGCACGATTGCAGCTGGTGTCCCGTTCAATCATGCACCAACAGATGTAAGCAGGAAACCACCTAACCGGAACAAGTTTTCCATATTAAATGGCTTGCAGCCGTGGCTGCAAGCCAAAAATGTGTGCATGTTAAGAAAATGTTCATAAAATGGCGTTTCTGTGATTGCCCTTGAAATCATTTACCACAAAGGTATATATTACCTAATTTATTAACAGATAAAGTTATGACCCAAATGAATCAATATTACTGTGACTGAATATACACTGTTCTTGCCTTGGTGTGTACCTAGGTTAGTTACTTGATTTTGGGTATGTTGGTCAGGGTGCAGGCAAGACCAAGGACGTATTTATTGTCAAACAAAGTCATTTGGTGTCGATGCCTTTCGATGTTAACAAAACACTGTTTGTGTCAATGATATGACAAATCATTTCTATTTTATTAAAATTTTATATGATGATTCCGTTTAGGGTAACAACTGTTATTAAAACGGCGGTTACAATCTCCACGCGACCCTTACTGTATAAGTCACGCACACAGTGATAAATACTGCAAAATTAACATTTTTACTTGAATCTTGAAATTGTTACCATATTAAAAAGAGTGTTAATAGACATTGACTCGACGGTATTGTTGAATAGTTAAGCCGTTACTCTACCTCGACAGGAGCAGGATTCAAGGGGGTTATACATCAACATTTTGATACCGCGAACACTTTTTCAACCGGTATTTTTTAACAAAAACGAGTCATGAAAAGCAATCAGAATAGTTCTGAAATCAATTTCTTTTGCAAAGAAGATGTCCGTACTTCTTGTGTCAAGGCATTTGAAATATTAAAACTAGAAGTAAGAACATCCTCTTTGCAAAAGAAACATTGATATCAAATCTATTCTGAATGCTTTACGTGACTCGTTTTGTTCAAAATACCGGTTGAAAAAGTGTTCGCGGTATCAGAATATTGATGATGCGCGCGCATTGTATAACACCCTTGGGATTGTGTGATGCAGAACCTGCAAAAGGAACATGGTCTATTTAGTTACAAAAATAAATGAATAAATAAAAAACAAATCAATGAAACCAAAGAAAACACAAAACATGAGGGCCATGATGGCCCTAAATCGCTCCCCTGACCCATCAACTACATCCGAGCAATGTCTGCATCCTGACAAAGTTTGATGACAATGGATTCGAAAATGTGAACTCTAGTGTGTTAACAAGATTTTTCTATATTTGGGCAGTGTGACCTTGCTTTTGACCCGAGGTGACCCATATTCAAACTTGATCTAGAAATCATCAAAACAACCTTCCTGACAAATTTCCAGAATATATGGATCAAAACTGCAGCCACCAGAGTGTTTACAAGACTTCTCTATTTTTAGCTCCTGTGACCTAGTTTTTGACCGGGAATGACCCATATTCAAACTTGACCTAGAAATCATCAAAACAAACTTCCTGACCAATATTCAGGATATTTGGATCAAAACTGTAGCCACTAGAGTGTTAACGAAATTTTTCTATTTTTAGCTTCTGTTACATAGCTTTTGACCGGAGATGACCCATATTCAAACTTGACCTTGTAATCATGAAAACAATCTTCCTGCCAAATATCTAGAATATTTAAATCAAAATTGCAGTCACTAGTGTTAAAAAGATGTTTTTCCTCCTGTGACCTAGTTTTGAGAGGGAGATGACCCATATTCAAACTTGACCTACAAATCATCAAAACAACCTACCTGACAAATTTTCAGAATATATGGATCAAAACTGCAGCCACCAGATGGTAAACAAGACTTTTCTATTTTTAGCTCCTGTTTCCGTTCATAATCTCCCTAATGGTTGTACATATTCAACTCAAATTTGACACATAGATACATCTTAGGAATAAGCAGTTCAAGTTTGAATTTGGTCGTGGTTCAATTATTTTGGACAAAGTTATCTCTATTGAATGTTTCAGCACTCATACTTTTGTGGAAATGTATGTAGTCATTATTTTGGCTACAAATATGCAATATGCACTTTTACAAAAGGTAAACACTGAATAGTTTCAGTGCCTTGAACTTTGTATGAAAATGGTTTGTGTTTACATTGAATAAGGGTTTTGAACTTAAAATGAAAAAAAAAAGTTTGTGCAACAAAATTGGGATTTAACATTATAACATCTGGAATTTTATCTGCATGCGGGGGCATCCGTGGCGTGACGATACATTTCTAGTTTAGTGAATGACTTTAACCACTTGGTCATGTACACCTCAAAGAGTCGTACCATAGGGGAGATGTTAGCAGAAATTCGTCGGTATATCAGAATCCAAGGACATTCCGTCTAGACATGTGTAGTATGCTAAACATAGTTCACATTAAAATTGAGATTTCTTTCTTTATATTTTGAAATATGTAGATGTTTTTCATTTCGAAGACATTTGAAGCATACAATTTCAAAGGCATTTTTTTCTTTTACAGTAAACTTTGCTTAAAACGATATTCAGGGAACCGCCAAATTTATATCGTTGTATCTAAATTTCGTTATTTTCAAAAGGCAACCAATTTAGAAACAACAGTTGGGACCGCGGCAACAGAATCATTATAAGGGGAAATCGATATAAGCGATATCGTTAAAGTTGAGCTTACTGTAATTATAAGTTTATCGTAATAAGTTTAGCCTACTGTAATTATAAGTTTATCGTTACAAGTTTAGTTTACTGTAATTATAAGTTTCCTGTTTTGAGGGCAACAGAAGGAGGTCAAATAATAATAAAAAGGTGCAATGTGAAGAGATTTGGTTTGAATATTTTTTTCATGGATTTAAAATAATCTTAACGTGTATTCACATTAGAAGAAGCGTTTAATAAAATATTTCTTTAAGAAAAATCGCTGTCATCCATTCCAATAGGTAAACAGGCAATGTGCTTTATCACTGTGCTCGGATGAGATGTAGAGAGTTGGCAATGGTCGACTGCTCAATAATAATGAATCTTCTTAATATACAGGTCTGTTGTTCAATTATGGCCTTGTGATAATTCAAGATGAACAGTTTGCAAGACAAAAATATATCCAGCGGCACAAATTAGCATTGTTCGAAGAATTGCTTGTTGTTTTGTTGTTGTTGCTGTTGTTGTTGCTGTTGTTTTTAACGCCAATTTTAACACATTTTGGTCAATCTCGGCAGCCGATCTACTTAACAGGCTTTGCTGGAGAATTAACCATGCAGTTTCATAACTTCAAATATTTGTACTGCACAAAAATATACATTTTTTCTAAATTTATGTAAAACTGAATGTAACTTCAATTTTTAAGGTTTTTAGAAACCAGATTCTATGAAATGAATTTGTTATTCTTTTATATACTATATTACTATTTATGCTAGTCATTTATATTTCTCACTGTTATGTTTATTTCACAATTATTATAGCCAAATGAATACTAGATAATATTCAAAATATTCTTATGGATTAAATGAATTAAAGTTAAAATTTGCTTGCTTCAATTCTAGCGAAGGTTATGAATGTATCTGGTTCTTAATTAAATGACAAAATGATATTACACATTAAAAATGTTGTAATTTCTATGTCTCAAAAGCATATCATTTTTGTCATTTACTATGAGAGCTATTTTGCTCCAATATAATGTGGTTTGTATCGTTATAGGTACAGATAAAATATCCTTTCACTGCTTTTATGTACCTCAGATTACTAAAAGGGCAAATTGAAGTGATGGGACTCATATGGCGAGGAATATCAGTTCTTAATAATGTTTTATATTTAACTGGTCAACTGCGTCAAGCGAATACCCAGTCTGATTAAATTAGCTCCTATTTAACGCTACGCATAAGGATCTGACGACAACCTTCTTCAATCTGATTAAAATCAGCTCGCTCTTTATTAACACTACCAAGAAATAATTCAGCGTCTTTAATTGACGAATTCAGATGGGTTTCAGTCGATATAAATGTTTGGTTCCATAATTAACATTTAAATAAAAACGCGGTTCCCTGGATATTATAATTATGTTTATATTCCGAAAGTTTAATGACAAATAAATGAAAAATGTCTTTGACATGACGATTTAAAATTTTTGATTTTTTGTTCAAAATCAATTATTTACAAAGGCATTTTTTCCAACATGTTATTTTTTACAATGATCAAATACATTAAATGCACAAAATTCAAATAACAATTATTACTAAAATAAGTTGGTTAAGTTTAAATGTGAACTTTTTTCAATGATCAAATGGGAGATTTTCTTAAAAAAGCTGGAGATTTTAGAATTTGCAATAAACAAAGAAGGAAGTTCTGACTTCCTTTAATTGTGAAAATACCCTTTATTGTAAGAAAAATGTTTGAAAATATGGCTGCAGTAAGTGGGTGTCTCCCGCTTAAAGTGGGAGAATTCACATTTTAACTTTAAATGACATTTATGGTAGTACCACGGAAAGTGCATGTGCATGTTGTCGCAAAGTGCATTTTGTCGAAAGTGTATGTTGTCGCATAAACAAGGTCATAAACATATAATCATAAATATATTGATGACATAAAAAAAAAATAGATCTATAGACAAGTGTTGGCCGGGTCAAATTGAAGATATGATACGGAGTCTAAAAAGAAAAGAATATGTTCTTAATTCATTGCCTTTATTCTTTCTACTTAAAACATGGCGGAGACTGCCGTTGCATAACAACATGTGGCATAAAAACATTTAACTAATTGTTCACAACTAAAAATAACAATGTTTCAACTTTACTCATGTCTAGGGGTAAATGCAAAGAGTATTAAAATATAAATCATTATCATTATAATACTGCAATGTAAAATGTTTGGAATGAATAATAATAACCTGATTAACAACACAACCTTAATTATTTATATATCTGATTGAAATAAAAACATATTAAACTGATGATTACTAAACTGCTACTATAGATACTTAACTTAGAATTTACTATTATGCATAAAACAATAACAATCTAAATCATTGGCACAAATGATAATACTGACAATCAATTAATTTGGCACTTATAACTGTATATACTTAACAAAAGATGAAAGATAATAATGAATTTTCATATGTTCAGTTAGACAAATAGCATATAAACAATGTTCAAAACAATATTTTATATGTTCGACTTTATGTCGTTTATTTAGTAATGTTCAAACAATATGTTACATGTTCGACTTTATGTCGTTTAATTGCCTTTGGGTTCATTTACCGAGCTCTTTCCAAATATGGCATAAAACATGCTATTCTAAATAATTGTCTAAACAATTATTAAACTGTATTTTACTTACAAAAAGTTCATAGTTATCATATAAAATGCGTATTAACAATAAACAGTAAAAATATGATGATATATAGATGAATATCAAAATACGTATGTAAAACGTTTATCCGCGAAAACATACGACTCTCAACTTTAAACATGTTTGCAAGCTAAACAATACAATGTCATTGATAACAGTTACGATAAACAAAAAATACAATGGATAAACCTATCGAAGAAAGTATTTTTCTTTCTCTTACTTGTAAATACTTACCTAAAAAGAAAAGAATATGTTCTTAATTCATTGCCTTTATTCTTTCTACTTAAAACATGGCGGAGACTGCGCCAAATTACCGCAAAGAATAACTAACGCAAAGAACACTTAACATTTTTTTATAGGGGTGCCTTCATCAACCTCACCCCCTCCCCCCGTAAACCAAATGTCGTCCCGACATTTGCTATCAAATGAACCGTTATCACTAACCACTTAAAACCCCAAATGATTTACAAACTATATAACTATAATAAAATGAAGACTAGAAACCAAGTAAATAAAAAATAGAAAAATACCTCAAAAATTTACTTATTTCAAACATAAGCTTTAAAATATTTCCCCAGATCTATAATGAAACACTATTGACTAACATTCTTTTCAACCTCTAAGATCAGAATTATTTATACAAAGACACTTCATTATTTATTGATTCTTATCTTAAGCGCTTCCCCAGGAAACCCAACGCCATTACAATTAACAATTTGACCACGCCAAAAACCCCATGAAATGAAAAGATGGCCAGTCTGTTCAAGTCATACCCTTTTGGTTATAGAAGTTTTGACCCATTGCCAACCTGTTCTCTTTAATGACGAACCCTTTGTTCCTGAGCATCATGCCTTATTTCTATAATCAATAAATGTCTTTAAGTGACTGTGTATTCTTATCAAATTGCTTAGTAAAAAATTCCTAATGGTGACAACCAACAGTGAATTAACCACTTTTTGGTAAGATGGCTGTCCCAATTTATCATATGTCAATAAGCTAGGTGACACTTGCTGGCTTACTGAACTCCATATGACTGGTGTCGGATTTGTTTTCATATGGTACTTCTCTGTTGATTTAGGAAAAATTTTGTGTGACTTGTCATCTGATTTGCATTCTTATAGCATCCGTTCAAAATCAGCAAAAAGAAAAGCCATTTGATCTTCTACTTCTTCTTTTAAAATTGATTCTTCAATCTCTTCAGCAAAGTTTAACATCTCATCTTCATTTGTGAATTGCTTTATTGCACTTAAGTTGTCAGTTCTATAGGATCAAGGCCAAAATTTTTTCTCTTGAGCCGCACCACATCACAAAAACATGCCATTATTAAATCCCGGACGAGCCCCCAAATGTTGGCCGGGTCAAATTGAAGATATGATACGGAGTCTAAAAAGAAAAGAATATGTTCTTAATTCATTGCCTTTATTCTTTCTACTTAAAACATGGCGGAGACTGCCGTTGCATAACAACATGTGGCATAAAAACATTTAACTAATTGTTCACAACTAAAAATAACAATGTTTCAACTTTACTCATGTCTAGGGGTAAATGCAAAGAGTATTAAAATATAAATCATTATCATTATAATACTGCAATGTAAAATGTTTGGAATGAATAATAATAACCTGATTAACAACACAACCTTAATTATTTATATATCTGATTGAAATAAAAACATATTAAACTGATGATTACTAAACTGCTACTATAGATACTTAACTTATGCATAAAACAATAACAATCTAAATCATTGGCACAAATGATAATACTGACAATCAATTAATTTGGCACTTATAACTGTATATACTTAACAAAAGATGAAAGATAATAATGAATTTTCATATGTTCAGTTAGACAAATAGCATATAAACAATGTTCAAAACAATATTTTATATGTTCGACTTTATGTCGTTTATTTAGTAATGTTCAAACAATATGTTACATGTTCGACTTTATGTCGTTTAATTGCCTTTGGGTTTATTTACCGAGCTCTTTCCAAATATGGCATAAAACATGCTATTCTAAATAATTGTCTAAACAATTATTAAACTGTATTTTACTTACAAAAAGTTCATAGTTATCATATAAAATGCGTATTAACAATAAACAGTAAAAATATGATGATATATAGATGAATATCAAAATACGTATGTAAAACGTTTATCCGCGAAAACATATGACTCTCAACTTTAAACATGTTTGCAAGCTAAACAATACAATGTCATTGATAACGGTTACGATAAACAAAAAATACAATGAATAAACCTATCGAAGAAAGTCTTTTTCTTTCTCTTACTTGTAAATACTTACCTAAAAAGAAAAGAATATGTTCTTAATTCATTGCCTTTATTCTTTGGTCACCTTATTCCCTCTACTTAAAACATGGCGGAGACTGCGCCAAATTACCGCAAAGAATAACTAACGCAAAGAACACTCAACATTTTTTATAGGGGTGCCTTCATCAACCTCACACAAGGGCATAAACATAATTATGTTAATCATGAGTATTAACATAACAATATCAAGGGCATAAAACATATGTAAAACTATGTTTTCTCAGTGCATTATATTAATATAAGTGATAACATTTTGCTCAACAAATCTTTTATTTACATATTTCATATACATGTTGTGAATACATAATCATATTCACACTGAATCACAGTCTGGCATAAAGGATGGTTGTGTCAACAATAAACATGTGATATAAGCACTGCCAAGCATATTCATAAATAAATTATTCACATTCATGTATGCTTAATAATATCTTTTTTCCGCATTTTTATGATTTTCTGTAATAAAGATTACTGTCATACTTTGAAAATATTGTGTCAATGTTAGTATTGCATATTCTTTGAAGAAGAAAAATAGATGTTAATATAAAAACATGCCTGTATTGATATTAAGTATATTAGGGAATAAATGAAAATCTAGTAATGAAAGACTAGGGTAATGGTTTTTGTGCTTAAATTTATTTTTATGGTACATTTTTGCATTTAGTTACATTAAAATTATTTTATGATATATGTTTGCATTCAGTAACATTAAAATTAAAGGTGTAAATTTATGTCATCAGATTTAATGGTACATGTACTTAATAGTATACTTTCATGCCTAAAGTAAACTGTTAATGGTATAATATACAGTAGACAGTAGACATCCATACATAATATTTACAACATTTCAATTACAAATTGTAAAACATAAAAATTATAACATTGAAAAGAGACTAATACATAGTGACAGAAGAAACAACTCCTCAGCCCATATTGCAAATACTTTCAATATGTACTGAAGAGTTACCTCTCTTTTCCTGCTTATTTAACTTACAATAATTGATCTGAATAAGCTATATGTACAATAAGATTTAATCCCATATTTTCATCCATTATGTAAAATTAATGGTATATTTCATGCCCAGATTTATACATCAATATATCCCTTTACATTTTAAATAAAATTTATTGGTACTAAATGATATATTTTCCAGCATAAAATAACATTTATTAACATTTAATGTTATATTTGCATATCTACGGTAAATGTAGATATATAAGTATAATATTATAATTATAGGACAAGTTCAAGATGTTATCGTGCAATAAGGATTTTAAAGGCATACAAAATGTATATCCATGTGGGTCTGTTTTACAAAAAAATACAGGTCATACCGTAAGCTAATTTGGCACAATTTAAAAATATATGTAAAATATCTGTCATTACAAAAGCTCTACAAACGAACAATATTTTACATCTGTGACTGAATCCCCAGCCAAAGAAAGATGTCCATGAAATGAAGAGTCAAAAATCTATTTTTAACCCAAATGATCCAACCATACATATTCATTATCTTGAAGCAAAATCATAGCTAACAATTATGAAATATTTGGCTTAAAGGAACTCAAATGAAGTTCAAAAGCCTAAAAACATAAAATTTGTATTCTTCCACAGATCAGCTGGGGCACTAAACACAAATGATAATTAAGAAATATGCTCAGAAATAAAATAAAAGGCTATATTTGCGCTTTTCCTCACCCTATAGGAGTTAAAAAGTGTTGGAATGCTTTTTAATTTTGTGTCACTTTTTACATAAGGTCCTTTGTTATTCAATGCAATGTATTTTCATTATCACCGTAGAATTTTCATAGTTTCTCACCAAACCATTTATAAGAATGCAACAAAAGGATAGATTAAATCATTCATCCTTTTAATATTTCACTAAATATAGAAAAATAAAAAAAGTTCTGACATAAAAGTATCTTGCTAATTTTTTATCATGCTTTCACATTTAGGCCAGTATTAGAAGAATGAATGATGAATTGATATTGTTTAATCAACTAAGTATCTGTTTCAGTCTATGACAGGTTATGGATGTGAAGGTAGTTGCCATATTTTTCACCCCAAGCATCACAGCTATAATACAGCTTCTTTGTTTTTCCACACCAACATACAGCCTGTGGTGTCTTCAGATTCTGCAGCACCACCTTTCCTGTAGAGCAGTCTCCTGATATCTCTTCTATAACATTTCTCCCTTCATCACACACAAAGACAGTACCATCATCTGACAGTGACACTCCCAAAGGGTAACCCATACCACTATAACTACCTACCATATCACCTTGCCAATTTAACATTGTCACTGTCTTCATGTTCCAGTCAGATACATAGATAGAACTTCTGTTACATGTGATATACCATGGATATTTGAAAATATTTTTTTCATCAATTGTTGTCAGTATAGTGCCATTCATATCAAGGATCTGAAGTTTTGCTGGATAAACAAATGACACAACAAGTTTACCTTGATAACAGCTTATACCATGACACTTCCCATCAACTTTCACAGTATGCCTCTTTTTGAGTTGGTTTGATGAGATTGATATAAATTGTATTGTTTGTATGTCGGGAAGTGTGACAGCAAGTTCAAGACTGGTTAATCTAGTGATATTCCATGGTTGATTATCTAGTTGTAGTTGATCATACACAGATTGACTGCTGGTATCCACCATCTTTACAGCATTGTTACTGTAGTCAGAGATGATAAGAAGATCAGGAGTCATCAGAGTCATTCCTGTTATCCAGCATTTTTTTTTATCTTTTGATGTCTTCACACAGATTTCTCCCTCATGTGAAGATTGTCTAGACTTTATTTGTACAGGTTGACATTCTGTATTACAAGTTTTCTGTGTCAATGTACCCAGTGACTTCTCTGTTTTAAACAAATTTAAAATTACATCATTTGATTGAAAGTTGTGCTCTTTGATATCAAATGATGACAGTGTTAGTAGTTTACCCTCCATATCTTTGATTGTTTTCTCTGCAAGTTTTAAATCAATGAAGAGTCTGTCAGCTTGTTTTGTTGTGTTGAGTTGTTTAATTTTGTCTGATGATATCTTCAGGGATTTGGTTATATCTTCACATGTTGTTTCTACTGCTTTCCGATGTTTGTTATTTTCTTGTTCTATGACTTTAGCTGCATCTGCAGCCTGTCTCTCAAATTCATCGAGTCTTTGGTTGATTTCTTGCCGAAACTTTTTAATGTCAACTAATGCATCTTTGAGAGAGCTGTTTGATTTGTGTGTCATGTCCTTGACATTTTTTAATATCTGTTGAAATTTGTCAGAAGTAGTATTTACTGCATTCAAGATTACTTGATATTCTTTGCTGTCTAATATAACACCAGAAATGTCTGGTATATAGTTGACATTGCAGGATGTAGCTTGATGTTCAAGGGTAACACAAACACTACAGAGTAATTCTGTATGATCATTACAGTAGAACTTGATCATTTCTTTAGGGTGTTTACGACAAAACAATGTCAAGTCATCTGACAGGCCTGTGTGAATGGATGTTGAGGGTTGCTGCAAAACTTTAGGCGTACTTGTTGCATCGAGAAGCGTATGCTGTTTGGAAAGCCTATTGATTTTATGGGCTTTAAAGCATGTCTTGCAGAGGTGTTCCTTGCAGACAGTACAGTAACCATGGGCAGGGAGTCTAGTTCCTTCCTCGTCACAAGGCTGGCAGTAAATTTGAAGATCTTCATCTGATGCCATTGATCTTGTTGATGATGAAAATTGTTTTGATGCTTTCTTTCCTGGGACTGCCATGTTTTACCTAAAATGTATTATAAAACATTACTGTGTATTGCATGTTTGTCAAATGTCCTTAAGTGAATACCGGTACATAAAACTCGAGGTTCATAGATAATTTGAAACAATGGCAAAGTTTAGTTAATTTCTTCTCTGACCTTTATTGTGGTTAAAAGTTATGTTGGAAAAAATATTCAAGCATTTATACATTGTCCATTTGATATTTTTGACATGTTTAAATCTTAATCGTGATGAAAGTTTATTTCATGATATGTAATTGATAAAAGCTTTTATGTCCAAACTTCTTGTGGCGATAAAGATTTTCCTTTGTCTATCTACAAGGGTACACTTTGTCAGACATTTTCCTGAAGTTCAGGTTTTTATATACTCCTGAAAGTACTCTTTTTGCTTTATAAAACCAATTAAAATAATGCTAAATTCATATTTTTCAGGTTTTCTGATATCTTTAATTTGCACCAAGCATCTATTATGCTGTCCGTCCAAAGACTGAGAAAACAGAGGAAAGTGGGGGTTTATAATTTAGGCATCCTATTTTAAATTTCATTTAATACCGTTTCTGCAAAATATTTTGAGATTGTAAAGATATTGGTGCAACTGACATATTACATGTTAGTTATTAAAAAATATTTTACACTCTTGTAAGATGTTATATTGATTATTATCTATTGCTTTGTCATAGAGTATAAGTCGAACACGATAACGTTTACATTAATCGGTCAAACCATTATGATATAATGGGTTGTGCAAGTTATTAAGTTATTACATTTTGCACTTTTACTGCAATATAGAAGAATTAAATTGGATAAAGATACGAAAATCTGAGTAGCTTAGTGGTTAGAGAGTTCAGGTTGTGAAGAGTTCATGTTAAGAAAAAAATGTTTTTTTTTCGAGTTCAAATCTGGAATTGTGCAATATTTTTTATCTGTATGGTTTTTACTTTCAACAAACATTTTCATATTCTCTTTTATAAACCTATGACTAATTTAATATTTTGTACAATTTCAAGTTAAATTTATAACGATTCAGCAAAATTAAATGATTTATGTTTTAACAGTCATCAAACAGATTGAAAAGTATTGTCAATTTAATTCTATATAAAATTCTGAATTCAGTTTGCTACATCTTTTAACAATTTCGGCTCATTTGTATATTTATATATATTTAAATTTCTTACATTCCACATTTATCACTATAATTACGACTGTGTTGCCTCTAACATTACTTGTTAAAGCGATTGTGTGTAAAACTAAATGTTCTCAAATAGTATTATGTGAAATAAATTCACGAGGAACTAAAATCAAGTTCTTTGAAAAATATTTAAATACAAAAAAAGAAAAGAAAAGATGCCTTTTCCAAGAATCTAACCACGGTCTCTACACTGACGAAGTCTATACGAACCATGGTCTCTACACTGACGACGCTATACGCTATTACGCTGAATGGTTAAAAATTAGTAATTGTTTAGGTGGTTAAATATTTGGGCGATAAATTGTATGCTTTTATATAAGAATTATCGACACCCCTTTTTGTCAACATTGATGTAAAGAGATAATGATAGGAATAGCAAATTCGAGCTGCATGTCTCATATTAAGGTACTTTATATCAATATGATTAACCGGCCATGTATAAATACATTAAAGCAGACATTCCCAAAAGTGTTTTAACATTAACATTCGCATCAGAAATCTTAAAAGAATCACTGGACTAAATCAGGTTTCGTATCGGTAAAAAGGACAAAATTACCCTGAATCCATGTAGACATTTTGCCAAAATGGTTTCCGACTAATAACTGGACAACCATTGGGCCCTTGGCAATCAAACTTCATATTGAAGGCTTTATGAATACTTTTGATTTTTGGGTCAAAATCTAAAGGTATAAACTCTAAAAAATCAAGTTGACATTGACCTTTTATGCCAAAACTGTTTCCAACCAATAACTCTACAACCCATACCCATAAGCCCCAACCGTAACTCTGTCATACCCAATTTTTGAGTTATTGCTCTTTTAAAAAAAATACACTGTGAACTTTGTCCAGGACATAGCTCTGAAACTTCAAGATATATGAACTAGAAACTATTTCTCTGTGACCAAAACCAATTTGGGGGAGCATCACTCGGTTAAACAGGCTATTGTTGGCTTAAACTTGTACATATGATCATCAAAAGTGTATTTCAAACATAATTTTAATATTTAGATATGAAATATGAACAATACTTCATTTCATTTCTAAACATCCACCCATGCAAAACAGATGAACAGAATAACAAATTAAACAATGTCATACCATGCACAATTTTTATCATTTCAAAGAAAAAAGGTGGAGTTATTGTCATGACCCCTTGTCAGCATTAACATTGACGTGGACATTGGTCAACCTTTTCGTTAAGGTCCATTGTCTCAGAAAATATAATAGCTCATTATTCACTTCAAACTTGGTTTACTTGTTTATTGTCATGAAAGGACACCATAATTTTTTCAAAGGGCAGATAATCCTAACATTATTTTATATCCAAAACAATTTATTTATTTCAAACTTGAAATTTTGTAGACTATTAAGGGCTGGTAAGTCTACTATTCACATTTACGGAATAATATCCCCTTTTCTATATTGATTTCATTGAGCAATGAGAAAATTGGAGCGCTCTGTCCACAGATAGGTCTGGTTACAAATATAAATATTATAAAAGGCATGCAAAATAACCCAGTCTAGAAGGTTTTCAAAACCATGACTTTGTGTATTAAAATATATGTATATTTAACTTCCTTTAAAAAAAAACATAATAAAATAATAATGCTCACTAGTAGCATTTATGAGAGAGTCATTTTTGTAGACATTAAGATATTTAATAAAAATATTGTACCTTGAAATTGTAATCCTCAAATTGTCTCACAGGTTTCTAATGTAAATATTTTCTAATATAAATATTTTGCTGTTAATAGTGGATACGTGGAATTTGAAATTGATATTTACTTTTACACCGATTACATTTTAAAGTAACCACTTTAAACCTGAAAGATATCTTTCATTTATCTAGCTTATAAAGTCCATATTGTGCAAGAAATTATTTAATTTTGTTGTTGTGTTTAGCAGTCGGTATTTTAACTGTTTAGACTATAAAAAAAAGTCCTGATTATGAAATTTTGAAAAATTGTTCTTTCAAACCGTGCTGAAATTTAAATTGTTCTTTCCCCTATAGTTTATCAGTGTGTAAATATTTAAACTTTAATGTTGACCTAGTAGAACGATCATAAACTATATTGAGAAAATGAGATAAAAGGGGTTTTAAATCATTCAGTGAAAACGTTTAAAAAACAGAATGATTTTGACTTCCCAACTTGTATTTAAACAATGTTTTAGCTGTACATAATAAAGTCATTGTTATGGCTTTATGATGGTTTTTGGGGGAATAATGGGGGAACCTAATGAGACTTATATTGGGAAGTTGAAATTTGATCTATGTTTTAGAATCCATAGTCACTTTTAAGATCACACATAGAGGAAAGAAAATGGCTTATCAGTATCACGACAGTCTTTAAAGTCATCATTTGAGCATGAAAAAACATAAGACATGATCTAGTGATTAAAATGCATAAATGATCAAATAGTTTATATAGGGTGCTGAATTGGGTGTGTTTGTGATCTCTAAAGTGATTGAGATTGATAAAATACCTCGTCCTAGGGAGATTTCAGTCTTAGTTTGGAGAGATTTAATACTGTTGTTGTAAATGGTATTTGTCCTGAAGATGAAAACTTTCCGCAGGTTGCACTGAATTTAGAGGTGCAGTCAAATCTGTGAACAAAGATCATTCTATAGAGAGACCAAAACAGTGGCCTTTGCAGACAAGTGGTCTTCATTTCGAGGTAAATTTGTTCTGCTTAAACTAAAAAGGTTGTCTACAAGTTGTCTTTATTCAAAGGTATCTTTATCACAAGTTTGACTGTATACACTAAGCTTTTCTATAGAGATACCAGGCGAAACTCCGATTGCTTTAACTTGTATCGTTTGATTTCCTCCCTTCGCTCGAACTCGCTGACCAGTACCAAAATTCCTCTATAATTTATGGTGTTCGGTATCACTCAAACACTGATTGCTCGAACTCTCGAACTAGATCTTTGCTCCCTTCGGCAAAAATTCTGTCTTTTGTCAAACAAGATACTTAAAATAATCATAAATTTGGGGTATTTAAAAAAATACTTATCAAACATTATGATATTGTCCCCCGGACAAAGGCTAATAGTATGAACAAAGGCCACTTTTACACTTTTCTTTTTGACAAGTTTGACTGTATATTGAAAATCACACATTTTTGGTGGAACACAAAAAGGCAGCAAACTCCCTGGTTGACATGTTGAATATTATATTCATGAATCTCATACACAATGTATTGTTATCTGAATAAAACCTTTTGGACAAAAAGGGTAGATCTTTTGTAAATAATTGTGTATGAAGACATGTTTATATTTCACTTTCAGCATGGTCATGAGTAGAAAATGTACTCATATCAGTTGAAAAGCATGTATCGGTGGCGTCTGTGGCCAAGTGGTTTAGGTTGTTAACTTCAAACCACTTGCCCATGACGACATTTGGTTCGAATCTCGATAGGGACTTTGGATTATTTTGTGAGGAAGTTATCCAGCTAGTTTACAGGACGTCGGTGGTTCTACTCCGGTGCCAGTTTGTGCCAGAAATAATGCACAAAAGGGCACCTGAGTTCTTCTTACACCAGTAAAGCTGGAATGTCGCCATATAACCTATACTGCATTGGTGCGACGAAAACCGAACAAAAAGTACTATCAGAATGTCAATCCAAACGCTGAATGACTTATACACTGAAAAGTTCACAATCACGCAAAATACAATTATTGGTCTCAAATATTGCCAAATATTCCTCTAGGCAAGGAAGTTCTTCAATAGTCGATGCCTATAATGCATATAGATGCACCTGGAGATTTGCTCCACCTGTCAAGAAGTCGCCATAAGACCATAACATTGTTGGTAAAACTAAATTATATTTTATAGTCTGGAATAAATTTAATAAAATTAAATATTTAATATATATGCATTCTACTTGAGTGTCTGAAATAATGCGTCGAGGAACACCTGGTATTTTCCTCCATCTTTCGAAAATCTGACAAGTGGCCATAACAACATTAATTATCGAGGGCATAAACATACCTTTAACAAGGGCATAAATATACCTTAAATTATGGCATAAATAGACATTATTCGATGGCATAAATATACCTTTAACAAAAACATAAATATACATAAATAGAAGGCATAAACAAACATAAATCGAGGACTTGAACATACGTAATTCCGAGGACATAAACATACATAAATCGAGGTCATGGACATACAAGTATCAAGCACATAAACTTGTGTATTGTTGGCATAAAAATACATATATAGACAGCATAAACATATGTCTATCGAGCAAATAAACACATATATATGGATAAACATATAAATATTGAGGGAATAAACATACACATAAACATAAACGTATGTATAGAAGAACATTAACATATATAAATAAAGGGCATAAACATAAGTTTAACAAGAACATAAACAAACATTTTATGTTTATTGATGGTATTTAATAGTATACTTTCATGCCTAAAGTAAACTGTTAATGGTATAATCTACAACTTTATAGCTATATATATAATTTTTATTAAAGTCTTATCCATACATAACATTTATAACAATTTAATTACAAATTTTAAAATACAAAATTATAAATATTTACTGTATTCTTCCACAGATCAACGGGAGCACTAAACACAAATGATAATTAAGAAATATGCTCAGAAATAAAATAAAAGGCTATATTTGCGCTTTTCCTCACCCTATAGGAGTTAAAAAGTGTTGGAATGCTTTTTAATTTTGTGTCACTTTTTACATAAGGTCCTTTGTTATTCAATGCAATGTATTTTCAGTATCACCCTAGAAGTTTCTTAGTTTCTCACCAAACCATTTATAAGAATGCAACAAAAGGATATAGATTAAATCATTCATCCTTTTAAGATATCACTTAATATAAAAAAATTAAAAAAAGTTCTGACTTGCTAATTTTTTATCATGCTTTCACATTTGGGCCAGTTTTAGAAGAATGAATGATGAATTGATATTGTTTAATCAACTAAGTCTCTGTTTAAGTCTATGACAGGTTATAGATGTGAATGCAGTTGCCATATTTCTCACCCAAATTATCACAGCTGTAATACAGCTTCTTTGTTTTTCCCCACCAACATACAGCCTGTGGAGTCTTCTGATCCTGCAGCACCACCTTTCCTGTAGAACAATCTCCTGATATCTCTTCTATAACATTTCTCCCTTCATCACACACAAAGACAGTACCATCATCTGACAGTGACATTCCTGTAGGGAAACTCATACCACTATAACTTCCAATCACATCACCTTGCCAGTTTAATCTTGTAACTGTCTTCATGACATAGTCAGATACATAGATAGAACTTCTGTTACATGTGATATAACATGGACAATTGAAATTATTTTTTTCATCAATTGTTGTCAGTAAAGTGCCATTAATATCAAGGATCTGAAGTTTTGAAGGATTAGGGAATGACACAACAAGTTTACCTTGATAACAGCTTATACCATAACACTTCCCATCGACCTTTATAGTATGCCTCTTTATGAGTTTGTTTGATGAAATTATTATTAACTGTATTGTTTCTTTGTCAGGAAGTGTGACAGCAAGTTCAGTACTGGTGAATCTTGTAATATCTTGTGGTCCAGCATCTAGTTGTAGTTGATCAGACACTGATTGGCTGCTGGTATCCACCATCTTTACAGCATCGTTATTGTAGTCTGTGATGATAAGAAGATCAGGAGTCACCAGAGTCATTCCTGTTATATTGCATGTTATTTCATCTTTTGATGTCTCCACACAGATTTTTCCCACATGTGAAGATTGTCTTGACTTTATTTGTACAGATTGACATTCTGTATTACCAGCTTTCTGTGTCAGTGTACCCAGTGATTTCTCTGTTTTAAACAAATTTAAAATGACACCATTTGATTGAAAGTTGTGCTCTTTGATATCAAATGATGACAGTGTTATTAGTTGTCTCTCCATATTTTTGATTGTTTTCTCTGCAAGTTTTAAATCAATGAAGAGTCTGTCAGCTTGTTTTGTTGTGTTGAGTTGTTTAATTTTGCCTGATGATATCTTCAGGGATTTGGTTATATCTTCACATGTTGTTTCTACTGCTTTCCGATGTTTGTTATTTTCTTGTTCTATGACTTTAGCTGCATCTTCAGCCTGTCTCTCAAGTACATCTAGTCTTTGGTTGATTTCTTGCCGAAACTTTTTAATGTCATCTAATGCATCTTTGAGAGAGCTGTTTGATTTGTGTGTCATGTCCTTGACATCTTTTAATATCTGTTGAAATTTGTCAGAAGTGGTATTTACTGCATTCAAGATTACTTGATATTCTTTGCTGTCTAATATATCACCAGAAATGTCTGGTATATAGTTGACATTGCAGGAAGTAGCTTGATGTTCAAGGGTAACACAAACACTGCAAAGACATTCTGTATGATCATTACAGTAGAACTTGATCATTTCTTTAGGGTGTTTACGACACGACAAGGTCAAGTCATATAAGAGGCCTGTGTGAATGGATGTTGAGGGTTGCTGCAAAACTTTAGGCATATTAGTAGCGTCCTGCAATGTATGATGTTTGGAAAGCCTATTTATTTTATGGGCTGTGAAGCATGTCTTGCAGAGGTGTTCCTTGCAGACAGTACAGTAACCATGGGCAGGTAGTCTAGTTCCTTCCTCGTCACAAGGCTGGCAGTAAATTTGAAGATCTTCATCTGATGCCATTGATGTTGTTGATGATGAAAATTGTTTTGATGCTTTCTTTCCTGGGACTGCCATGTTTTACCTAAAATGTATTATAAAACATTACTGTGTATTGCATGTTTGTCAAAGTCCTTAAGTGAATACGGGTACATTAAACTCGAGGTTCATAGATGATTTGAAATATGGCAAAGTCTAGTTAATTTCTTCTCTGACCTTTATTGTGGTTAAAAGTTATGTTGGGAAAATATTCAAGCATTTATACATGTTCATTTAATATTTGTGACATGTTTAAATCTTAATCGTGAATGAAAGTTTATTTAATGATATGTAATTGATAAAATATTTTATGCCCAAACTTCTTGTGGGGATATAGATTTTCCTTTGTCTATCCATCTGTAAGGGTACACTTTGTCAGACATTTTCCGGAAGTTCAGGTTTTTTATACTCCTGAAAGTACTCTTTTTGCTTTATAAAATCAATTAAAATAATGCTTAATTCAGTATTTTCAGGTTTTCTGATATTTTTGATTTCGACCGAGCATCTATTATGCTGTCCGTCCGAAGACTGAGAAAACAGTGGAAAGTGGGGGCTTATAATTTAGGCATCCTATTTTAAATTTCATTTAATACCGTTTCTGCAAAATATTTTGAGATTGTAAAGATATTGGTGCAACTGACATATTACATGTTTGTTATTAAAAACATATTTTACAATCTTTTAAATAATCTATTGATTATTATCTATTGCTTTGTCATAGAGTTTAAGTCGAACACGATAACGTTTACATTAATCGGTCAAACTATTATGATAAAATGGGTTGTGCAAGTTATTACGTTATTACATTTTGCACTTTTAATGCAATATAGAAGAATTAAATTGGATATAGATAAGAAAATCTGAGTAGCTCAGTGGTTAGAGAGTTCAAGATATGAAGAGTTCACGTTAAGAAAATGTAGTTTTTTTCGAGTTCAAATCTGGAATTGTGCAATATATTTTGTCTGTATGGTTTTTACTTTCGTCAAACATTTTCATATTCTCTTTTATAAACCTGTGACTAATTTAATATTTTGTACAATTTCAAGTTAAATTTATAACGATTCAGCAAAATTGAAGATTTTAACAGTCATCAAACAGATTGATTAGTATTGTCAATTTAATTCTTTATAAAATTCTGAATTCAGTGTGCTACATCTTTTAACAATGTCGGCTCATTTGTATATTTATATATTTTAAATTTCTTACATTCCACATTTATCACTATAATCACGTACGACTGTGTTGCCTCTAACATTACTTGTTAAAGCGATTGTGTGTAAAACTAAATGTTCTCAAATAGTATAATGTGAAATAAATTCACGAGGAACTAAAAGCCAGTTCTTTGAAAATTATCTAAAAAACAAAAAATAAAAGAAAAGATGCCTTTTCTAAGAATCGAACAACGGTCCCTACACTGACGAAGACTATACGAACCGCGGTCTCTATACTGAATAAGTCAACACTCAACGACTATACGCTATTACGCTGGACGGCTAAAAAATGAGTAATTTATATTAGGTGGTTAAAAATTTAGGCGATAAATTGTATGCTTTTATATAAGAATTATCGACACCCCTTTTTTGTCAATATTGATGTAAGCAGATAGTGAAAGGAATAGCGAATTCGTATGTCCCATATTCAGGTACTTTATACCAAGATTAACCGGCCATGCATGATGAGGTGATTTGAAAGGTAAATGTTTACAGCAGACATTCCCAAAGGTGTTTTGACATTTCACATTCGGATCAGATTCTTAAAAGAATCACTGGACTTAACCAGTTTTCGTATCGGTAAAAAGGACAAAATTAAAAAGAAAACTTTTTTATCCTGAATCCATGTAGACATTTTGCCAAAATGGTTTCCGACTATTAACTTGAAAACCAATGGGACCTTGTCATTCAAACTTCATAGAAGCATTGGTCTTGGACGCTTAATGAATGCTTTTGATTTTTTGGTCAAAATCTAAAAAGTCTAAAATCTAAATCATGTAAATCATTGTAAATGGTCATGGTGACATTGACCTTTTATGACAAAACGGTTCCCAACCAATAACTCTACAACCCATAGGCCCCAACCGTAATTGTGCAATGCCTAATTTTTGAGTTATTGCCCTTTTTGAAAAAATACACTATGAACTTTGTCCAGGACATAGCTCTGAAACTGCAAGATATATGAACAAGAAACTATTTCTCTGTGACCAAAACCAATTTCTGGGAGCATCACTCGGTTTAACCGGCTCTTGTTAACTTAAAACTGTACATTTAATGCTTATATTTAGATATGAACAATGAACAATACTTTATTTCATTTTAAAGAATCCACCCATGCACATGAACAGAATAACAAATCGTACAATGTTATAACATGCACAATTTATAGCTCCTCTTTTCAAGGAAAAAATGATGTGGAGTTATTGTTATAACACTCTTGTCGGCATTAACATTGATGTGGACATTGGTTAACCTTTTTGTTAAGGTCCATTTTCTCAGAAAATATAATAGCTTATTATTCACTTCAAACTTGGTGTACTTGTTTATTGTCATGAAAGGACACCATAATTTTTTCAAAAGGGCAGATAATCCTAAAATTATTTTATAACCAAAACAATGTATTCATTTCAAACTTGAAATTTTTGTAGACTATTAAGGGCTGGTAAGTCTGCTAATCACATTTACAGAATAATATCCCTTCTTTTCTATGTTGATTTCATTGAACTATATTATAAAGCAATGAGAAAAGAGGAGTGATCTGTCCACAGATATGCCTGGTTACAAATATAAATATAACTAAAACGCATGCAAAATAACCCAGTCCAGAAGTTTTCCAAACCATGACTTTTTGTATTAAAATATATTTATATTTAACATCCTTTAAAAAAACATAATAAAATAATAATGCTCACTAGTCGCATTTGTTAGAGAGTCATTTTTATTTTTGTAAATATTAAGATAATAAATGAAAATATTTTACCTTCAAATCGTAATCCTCAAATTGTCTCACACGTTTCTAATGTAAATATTTTGCTGTTGATATTGGATACGTGGAATTTGAAATTGATATTTACTTCCTTGTTTTGCGACACCGATTACATTGTAAAGTTACATGTTTAAACCTGAAAGATATCCTTCATTTATATAGCTAATAAAATCCATAGTGTGCAAGAAATTGTTGAATTTTGGTGTTGTGTTTTGCAGTCGGTATTTTAACTGTTATTTATAATATTATTTCAGAGTATAAAAAAAGTCCTGATTATGAAATTTTGAAAGTTGTTTTTTCAACTCGTGCTGAAAATTTAAGTTGTTATCTCCCCTATAGTTTATCAGTGTAAATATTTAAACTTTAATGATGACCTGGTAGGACTATCATAAACTATATTGAGAAATGAGATAAAACAGGTTTTGAATCATTCAGATACAACATTAAAAGGAAAACAGAATGATTATGACTTCCCCACTTGTATTTTAAACAATGTTTTTAGCTATACATAATAAAGTCATTGTTATGGTTTTATGATGGTTTTTGGAGGAATAATGGGGGAACTTAATGAGACTTATATTGGGAATATGATAGTTTGATCTATGTTTTAGAATCCATAATCACTTTTAGGATCACACATAGAGGGAAGAAACTGGCTTATCAGTAACACGTCAGTCTTTAAAGTCATCATTTGAGCATGTAAAAACCTAAGACATGATCTAGTGATGAAAATGCATAAATGATCAAATAGTTCAGATAGAGTGCTGAATTGGGTTTGTTTGTGATCTCAAAAGTGTTTGAGATTGATAAAACACCTTTGCTGAGCAGCACCCTTTTGGAGACAAAAGTGACAAGGTTGTGGCATAGAGGTGTTGTCCTAGGGAGGTTACATTAAATGTTCAGTTTTCGTTTAGAGAGATTTCATACTGTTGTCATAAAATGTTATTCGATGCTCTGAAGAGGTCAACTTTGCTCAGGTTGCACTGTATAAAGAGATACAGTCATATCTGTGAACAAAGATCATCCTATAGAGAGACCAAACAATTGGTCTTTAAAGATAATTGGTCTTTATTTCAAGGTTACTTTGTTCTGCTTAAACTAAGAAAAAGGTTGTCTTAAAAGTGGTCTTCATTCAGAGGAGTTCTTTAACACAAGTTTGACTGTAAACTCTTAACTTGTAAATTTCTGTAGAGATACCAGCTTAGCCTTCTCAGAACTACTGTATAACTCAATCTCACAAACTAGATCTCTCGGGTCCTTTTGGCAGAAATACTGTTTTTTTTTGTCCTTTAAACTAACAATTGAAAATATTAGTGTCCATGATTTAAAAAAGTAATGTATTTTAGAGATTAAAAAAATACATTCTCATCAAACATAATGATATTATCTGCTGTGAACATAGACCACTTTAACACTTTCCCCTTGTTTGCCTTGACTAGTTTGACTGTATATTGAAAATCACACTTTTTTGTAGAACACAGACAACAACAACTTGTGGGTTGACATGTTCAAGAACCACATATTGCTATAAAATAATTGTGTATGGAGACATGTCTGATTATGTATACAATGTTTATTTCACTTTCAACCTGGTCTGGAGAAGAAAATGTACTCAAATCAGTTTAAAAGCGTGCATCGGGGGCGTCTGTGGCCCAGCTATTTAGGTTGATAACTCCAAACCACTTGCCCCTCACAGCTTTTGGTTCGAATCCTAGTAGGGACTTTGGATTATTTTGTGTGAGGAAGTTAGTCAAGTTACCTAGATAGTTTACAGAACAATAGTTGTTCTGCTGATGTCTTCCTACACCAGTAAAGCTTGAATGTCGCCATTTAACCTATATACTACATTGGTGTGATGTAAATCCAAACCTAAAAAAGTATGTATCAGACTATCAATCCAAAAGTTGAATAACTTACACACTGAAAAGTACATAATTGTGCAAAATATGTGCTAATATACTACAAAAATTACATGAATTTATTAAAATTTCACACAGTGATAGAGATTAGTGAAAGGAAATGCAGTGTTTTAGAATCATTATTCTATCTTGTTCAATTTTTGAATAACTAAATATTAATGCAGCTTAAAATTAATCACACACTCAGCCTCCTTATGTCAGCTGAGCAGTTACGGTTGCCCAGACTTCAAACCACTTGACCTTTGATGATATGGTCTCATTTTTGCCAAATATTTTGTGTTCCTCCAGGCAAGGAATTTGTTCAGCTAATTACCAGAATGTTGGTGGTTTTACTTGAGTGACAAAATAATGCATTGAAGGGTATGTGGGGTTCTGCTCCACCTGTCAAGCAGTCGCCATATGACCATAACAGTGTTGGTATGACTAAATCATGTTTTAGAATCTGGGTAATGAATTATTTAATGTTTTTAAATCAAATTAAATATTTAAAAAATCATAAACTTTTGACATTGTTTGAACATGGGTTAAGTCTTGTCAATTTATAGACATGAACAAAGTTTGGATGATTTTCACCTGTACTTCAACAACTGTAGTGTCTACAGCTTCTTCATTTCACCACATAAACATTAAGATCAGGGAAAACATGACATATCTGCAACACCACTTTCTTGTAGAGCAGCCTCCTGGTATTTGTTCCATGATATACTATCATTTCTCTCCCTGGAGTCTAACACGAAGACAAATGTTTTATCATACAGTTATGTTACAATTGTCTCCACTATAAGTATGCAGTCACTAATTCTCTTAATCGATATATTATTCTTATGTTTTAACTTATTTTATTACAACAACAAGAAGCTTATACTGACTTTAATTGATGCAATCTGAATAATTTTAAAATGTTACAAATGCTTATGGTACAAAATATGAGTAGAACAGGACAGGTAACATAAAATATTAAGTGCATTTAATAATAACAAAAGAAAAAGACTCACCAGATGAGTTCAATAAAAATATAGAAATTTTTTTAATCTTAGTTTTTAAATGTTATAATAGATGCAACCTACTACAGTCAGTTTATAAATGGATATAAAGTTGTAATTTTTTAGTGTGTTTGTTTTGAAAAGAAATGAACTATTGTAGTTGGTGCACAATTTCAAGATACAGTTAATAGACTATGCATTATTATGATAGTTCTAAGGGTTTTATACTCAAAGTTCATTTTATATGCCCGAAAGGGCATATTATGTAATACCCCCTGGCGTCTATCTGTCTGTCCGTCCGTACGTCCGTCCGTTAGCAGTTGGTTTCCGGAGCATAACTTAAGTTCCATTTGACCCACAATGTTCAAACTTCATAGGATGAGTGTCCATATTGGGTAGAAGACCCCTATTGTTTTTGGGGTCAAAAGGTCAAAGGTCAAGGTCACTATTACCTTGATACTGAAAACAGTTTCCGGAGCATAACTTAAGTTCCATATGACCTACAATGTTCAAACTTTAAAGGATGATTGTCCATACTGGGTAAAAGACCCCTATTGATTTTGGGGTTACAAGGTCAAAGGTCAAGGTCACTATTACCTTGATACTGAAAACAGTTTCTGGAGCATAACTTTAGTTCCATTTGGCCCACAATATTCAAACTTCATAGGATTATTGTCCATATTGGGTAGAAGACACCTATTGATTTTGGGGTCAAAAGGTCAAAGATCAAGGTCACTATTACCTTGATACTGAAAACAGTTTCCGAAGCATAACTTAAGTTCCATTTGGTCCACAATATTAAAACTTCATAGGATGATTGTCCATATTGGGCAAAAGACCCCTATTGATTTTGGGGTCACTAGGTCAAAGGTCAAGGTCACAATTACCTTAAAACCAAAAACAGTTCCAGAGCATAACGTAAGTTCCATTTGGCCCACTATATTCAAACTTCACATTTGATTTTGATTTTGGGGTCACAAGGTCAAAGGTCAAAGTCACTTTTACCTTTATCCTGAAAAAAGTTTCTAGAGCATAACTTAAGTTCCATTTGGCACACAATATTCAAACTTCATAGGATGATTGTGCATATTGGATAGAAGACCCCTATTGATTTTTGGGTCACAAGGGCAAAGGTCAAGGTCACTATAACCTTTAAATTGAAAACAGTTTCCAGAGCATAACTAAAGTTCCATTTGACCCACAATATTCAAACTTTCTAGGATGATTGTCCATATTGGGTAGAAGACCCCTATTGATTTTGGGGTCACAAGGTCAAAGGTTAAAACCTTTATTAATAACTTAAGTATTAATCAACCTACAGCTGTAAAATTTTATAGGATGAACTGCTAATTCCCATGTCTTACAAATGCTTCATCCTCACTAAAAAAACACTTTCGGGCATATAATGCTCCGCCTAGCGGTGCTCTTGTTGTAGTTATGCCCCTTTTTAACTTTTGTACAAATTGCTTATTAAGTTAGAATGATTTTAAGGCTATGAAAATTTCAACTTAAATTTATCCAGAAAGGAATATTTTAGGAGTTATGACCCTTTTTAGCATAAAGTATTTATGAACATTAGTAATTGATAATCATAGCCCTTATCAGACATGGGGCATTATACTGAAGGCAATATTTTTAGGAGTTATGTCCCTTCTAAACAAAAAATATTAATAAATATTTGTCATTAGCCTTTACCAGAAAAACATTATCACTGCACAAGGTACCTTTGTTGTTCCGTTGTATTATCAGCATCACCAAACCATTTATAAGAATGCAACAAATGGATAGATTAAATCATTCATCCTCATGACATAAGATTTATTTAAACATGTAAAGATAAAAATAGTTCTGACATAAAAGTATCTTGCTAAATTTTCAAAGATTTTTCTAAACATTGAAAACTTTAAAAAAAAAATCTAGCATTAAAGTATCTCGCTATGTTTTCATCATTATTTCACTTTAAAGGGATATTCAGGCAAAATAATGACAAAAATATTAAAATGATCTTATGTACTCAAATCACGCTGAAATGACTTTTCTTGAAGTTTCAGCAAATGAATTTCTGCTTAATTATTCTAATAGTATTTGGGTGTTAAAGCGGTAAAGGATTATTAAGTCTATATTATGTTGAACAAATATTTAAGACTACCAATAAAGGATCAACTAAATATGTTTTTAGAAGACAAGTCAAGGTTGTCTGAAGCGAAAACCACTTGAAGTGTACAATAACAAATATATGTGTGGATATGTGATCGATTTGAAACAAGCCCTAATCATTCATTGTTGACATTGTTCTTTAACGGTTGCCAAGAGTTAATTTTTGACAAAGCT